GGGGGGGGGGGACGCTGGTGCAGTATCCGGGCGCGCCCACTCAGGTGGCAACCAAAAAAAAGACAAAGAGGCGAAAAAAGTTTGGCTTCACAGCACTATACGAACAATCCTCCCTCAACCCAATGGAAAAGAACAACAAAGTCTAGGTTTTTGTGCGTACTAGCAGAATGTGAGGCGCAACCCCAGACCTTTGCTTCCCTGTTCTGTCCAATGCTACTCTCCGTAGCGGACATCTCGTACAACACGCAGGGATGAATGGATGGACAAAAGCCACGGTACGAGTAAGCGGGGGAAGCTCCTCGTCTGTGCTCGACTGCTTTTCACTTTACGAATCCTCGCACCATGGCCAGGAATTTTGTATTGGCTGCACACGACCCATCTCTATCTCACAACGCAGCTTCATCGAGACGATGTGCCCCCTCTCCTTCCCAAGGCCAGGCTGGAGAATAGACTTTTGATCGTTTTCGGTGGGACTTTTCCGCAAGGGCCGCTGTAAGATCCCATGTCTACAAAAACGTCGGCGAGTTTGCTCGACGACAAGGTTTCACAGAGAACATCAGACCACTACGAAAATGAAAGACTCAATCCAGATCATCGGTGTGCCTTTGTCGCTGGGTGGCTGATGCAGGCTGACCCCGACATTTCGGGCCATGGATCCTCCGTACTCGTATTCAGCCTGAAGCCTACCAGTCCTTGTCGAACTCAACTCGTCTTGTTATTGCGTAGGCGACCTTGATGCTAGGAGATGACGGGAAAATGGAACACAAAGAGATGGAGTGGTGTTGACAGATGACAATTAAATGGACTCCTCATACCATAACATACCGAATCAAGAGCGGAAGTATTACAGACGACTTTTACTTTGCCCGACTGTGCATTTATTGAGGTTGAAGCGGAAATACATCGCCGAATATGTTGTCTCAGACAAGGTATCCTGTAACTCTTATTTTGTTCAGCCTGCCCATTACTCTCGCAAGCGCCTAGCTATTACATATCCGCCCAAAAATCCTTTGCGACGCCGAAGAAGTATATGCGAAATGAATGTTCGAACTTTCGATCGAACGAGACCGCCTCGCCTGTAGCCAACCCGACGGCGTGGTCCAGAGTCTGCGCCTTTTGCGGCACTCTATTCAGCAATGAGGTTTACGAAATTAGCACCCTCTGCTGTAAAGTGAGGCTTCTACAGCCAGCCAATGACTTTGGATGCAGAGACATTGGGCCCTGTATGAGCACTCCGTACAGAGGCCGCGGAGAGATTTCCGTCTGGTCAGCCTCCGGTGACATCCTCTGACTCGGTCGTTGTAGGGAGGATGTATTTCCGTCCTTCGAAGCCAGGAACCTGTCGGAGCAGGTCGAGGTTTCAGCGTTCCATATGTCGACGCTTCTTGCTGCTTGAGATGTTTGCTAATCGATTCACGGTATTTGTTGCGGCTCAAGGCAATTCTTGATCCTATTTCCAGGTGCTGGGTCCTCATTTCGGACGGGTACTGCAAGCATGACAGTCGCATGCCGAAGACAGCCTTGTTTCGAGCATTTCTTGCAATGTCGGAACCAGTGCTTTTGAGTTTTCTTTGTACTGCTCATGCTGGGACATGCGGTGTCTGTGATGATCCCGCCAGAGGGTAAATTTGGTGGGAGACACCATCGCCCGCAAATCTTGCGCAGCTTTCCAGTCGTCGTAAGTGAGTTCCTTGCGAGCTGATTTGTCGAGGTTGTAAGAAGGTAGACGCGAGAGCTTTGGTGGTATTACTCGTGCTGCTGCGGCCATAGTGATGTGTGGAGGGTTTTTTCGAGTCACAAGTCGTCTAGCCTGTGTCTATTCTTTGTATCCCTCTTTTCAACTGCCAACCAGGCGGTAGTGGTACAGGCGGTAATATGAAGACTGCAAATGTCCAAGCACCAGGTGCATCTCCTTTTGAACGGCGCGCAAATGTGTTCGTCGCATGGTAATCCATGGCCTGGAAGCATCGTCCGATGGCCTCGAGGCTGACGTATGGCACCACCCTCTGATGATGTACTAGAGGCCCATGCAAGGATCGTCGTCCCATTGGCTCGGAACATGCGCACTATTGGCATTGACGCAGATCTCAGATGTGGGAGGACTGATCGATCGAGGTGGCGTGAGAGAACATGCGACAAGGAGCATGATTGCCAGGTGGCCGCTTCGATTAACCTTCGCCGCAACTGGGTCTTCCTGGCGATCAAAAGCATCGGACGAGGGGGCTAATTGCAATTAATTTGTTGGACATTTCTTCCTGCCTTCCCCGGAATGTGGCGCGAGCACCAACAATTGATTCGAGCCTTGACACACTCTTTCATCACTGACCGCTGATCATTGATCGATCACTCTGGAAGACCCAACAAACATCCATGTATCGCCGTGCGAACAAGAACTGTCTGAAGCACTGGTAGACTTCCCAGCATCCGAGTATCCGGCCTTGGCAGACATTACCATGTTATCCCACCGACTGATATGCGCCAATTCCACCACAACAGTCAGTCAGACGGGCCCTCCTCTTCACACTGATCTACCGGGGACGAGGATCGAAGGAGGAAGAGTCGCCTTGAAAACGCACTGCTCTAAAGAGAGAGTGATCCGTGTACGCTCGTACAAGCTTTGACAGGTTGACGACTACTAGACATTTCCACCCCATCCTTGGCTACTTGTACTCACTAGTCAGTCCGCATGCCTTGTTCCTATCAAGCTGCCCGAGACGGTAAGTACCTCAGAGACCAAGGTACATGGTTGGCCTCCCCCCTTGGCCTCACCCCCCTGGTCCTTCTCATTCTTCTCGACAAATAATCTCCGCTTCGGATCGGACATCTCGACATGGACTTGAGTGCCACAGGGAAGTATGCTTCCGTGCGACATCTACTTTCCACCGTGGGCAGCCTCTCGTTGCTGTAGCGCCATGAGCTCATCTGCCTCGAATTACGGGTATCTGAGCCGACGGGGAGTGCTTTTCCACCATGGCTTACGCCTTGTCCTTCTCCCTCGCCTCCAGCGAACGATCGAACTGGCGCTGGTCTAGAACCATTTCTAATACTGCTGCGGTTCTCAAAGCCACCAGCGTTCTCGCACCAACCCATCGTTTCCATCGTTCATCAGCCCATTGTTCCCACTAAACTACTGCACTATTACTTGCGACGTTCGCGATCGGGCTACTAACTCAGAGCCTTGGATCGAGATCTTACCAGTGGTCTGTAACCACGGGTGGAATCTCCCTACGGTCATTCCGGGCCGAGGGAATCCCTTCTGACTCGCCACTGGCTGAACTATTATGTCGATGCTTTCTTTTTGCGAGATCTGATGCCAGCCGCTTTGAGTAATTTCTTCTCCATGTCTACGGATCTTCAGGGTAGGAGGAAGACCAGCGTGGCCTGCTTTGGTTGCAAAAGGAGACGCACAAGAGTGGGTGTCTCGCTTTCTTTTTTGGTGTCCAACAAAGAAACTAATCAGTTCTCAGTGTGACGATGGCTTACCGTGTGTCTCGTGCATATCCCACAACACCGAGTGTGTCAAGGACGAGAACGACGATGGCCGCCGTAGGTTGGCCATGAAGCGCAAGCTCGGTGCCCTTGAAAATGACCGTCAACTTTTCGATGACCTCTTGGGCACCATCAAGACGACCAAAACGACACAGATTGAGCCTCTATTGACAATCATCCGAAATGGCGGCTCAAGGCATGACATTCGCACTTACCTCGATCACCACCTACGGGTGGACGCGAATTCAATGCAAACAGAACAAGGCGTCGCCGATCGACACAAAGCTATCCGACGTACGATGCGTGGGCGTATCCAGGACGTCGTGAACCCCCCGATCTCAGTCCCGGCGAAGCCATGGACCACTGTAACCGACGATGACGACTTCGTGTCGCACCTCATCTCTCTGTGGTTCACTTGGGCGCATCCCTGGTGGCACTGGGTCGACGAGAAGCTCTTCCTCGAGGCTATGAGGTCTGGAGACGAGAGGGGACTGATATGTACTCCCAGTCTGGTGAACATGATCCTCGCCGATGCATGCGTGAGCTTTCCCCCCATGTATCGTTGTTCTGAGTTGCGCCTAACGACCAACCCAGTTGTTGGACACCCTGTCGGCAGACGGCTCCGAGCCAAACAAATGGATACGCGAGCAGTTCTACGAAGAAGCGAGACGAGGCCTCGAGGCAGAAAAGGGTCGAGTCTCCATGGCTGTGGTGGCGACATTGGGCGTGCAATGGACCTAGTATGTTAACCTTGGGCCCTTTTCTTGTTTATGGTCGCTAGACTAACAAGAACTGTTCCAGTTTGAACACGAGTGGTCAAGATTCGCTCGGCAATACCGTTCTGTATCAGCAGATATTCCTGTCCAAAGATCTGGATAGGTGGCTGCAGAAGATACATCGCAGTATGGATCTACCCAAATGGTACTTCGACAATGTCACGAAATGCCTAGACAGACTCCAGTGGACACTTTACGCTCTCAACTCGTGCACACTGTTGAACTTTGAAAAGTCACAATACATCAGGCCGCCGTCTCGGCCCAAGCCCGAGTCGAACCATGATAAGTGCGACAACATTGACTGGACACCATATCCTCAACACCATCCCCCGGTAAGCTTCCATCCGGCCTGTCATTACCGCAGCTTCGTCTCTCTCACGGAACTTACGGCACGTGGAGAGAGCTTGGTTACCATCGAGACGAAGGAAGATGTCGACAGTGCCATGCGCCAGTTGGGTGAGCTGTATACTCGGATCCAAAATTGGAGCAAGACTTTACCCGATTGTTTGCTACTGGACGAGAGGTGTTCACCTCATGTGATTGCTCTGCAGTAAGTACACCACTCGACACTCGACCACTTCTCGTTGTTTTCGCGCCCTCTCTTTCCCAGCCAAAAACAAACCATACCAAAACCACACACTTCTTTACATACTGACATTTTGTTTCTCCAATTTTTCCAGTGCACTCCACAATTGGGTTATGGTGATGATGGCGAAGCAAATCGCTGCGGTCGAATCGGGGAATCACAGTCGTCCGTTGCTCATCCGCACGCGGTCCCCGGGCGAACAGCCAAAGTGGAAGGAAATATCGCTGACGTGTTCGATCCGCATCGCCGAGCTCCTGGAACAAATCCGCGTCCAGTGGGGGGCCGACCACTTCCCCGTCATCATCATGCACCCCGTCGCCATTGCCGTGTTTCCGCTGCTCGAAAGCTTGCACGAGACTCCCGAGGCCCCCCGGGCGTTTTTCAACCTCTGCCTCACCATCCGCGCCGCCAGTCGACGGTTCCCCGTCGGCAAAGGCTTGCTCCTCGCCGTCAAGCAGTTGGCCGACCGGAGAGGGATCCAGCTGCCCGAGAACTGTCGAGCCTGTTTTTCAGACCTGTCCGCCGTCTCGGCGTCTCAAAACACATCAGATCTCACCGACAAGGGGCTTGATTATCTTCTCGATAAGTGGGTAGATCTAGATCTGCAAGGATGTTGATAATCGACCGACGCCACCGACGGACGAAACAAAAAGGAAGTCTTGATTCTTCTTCACCTTCATGATACATGACCGTGGGAACTTCGCAACTCGAAAGGATAAGGGTAATCTAAGTAGAGCCATCGAATGATCTGCGTTGGACTGGACCGGACCGGACGGGACTCACTGACGTAGACTAGTTAGTTAACTAGTATATACTACTGGTTAGTACAATAGCCTACCTAGATCTCAGGGGATGCTTAAGAAAACGCACCACCTCCTTCTCTCTCTCGACGCCGAGAATCAACAAGTACTGGTAACTTCGTACCTAAGTAACTTCTCAAATAGGCAAGTTAGAAGAAGGTAGAGTCTCTCATCCATCAATCAATCCGCAGTCCCTCTATTCTATTCTGGGGGGGGGTTGTCAACTCAGAATGTATCTGTCTATTTAGTACGACCGTGGCCGCCGTCGTATTGGACACCCCAGAAAACTTTGTCCCCACAAAGGTTTTCCTGTATTGTACGGGGGACTCGGTAGCGGCAGCTTGAGGCACGAGTAAGGTGGTCGTAACTACTGGACGCTCCCGTCACTGAACAGGTGACTTGCAGAGGTATTCAGCTTGTCAAAATCAGAAAGGAAAAAGGCATTTCAAGTGAATCTAGGTAGGCAGGTAACCTGTAGAGTACGCAACGCAAGGTATCTATGTACCTGGGTGCTCGTAAAGGTTGGAAAGGAGAAAGCCACTCATTATTCAAGACACACGCAACCCCAGTCGTCAAATTGTCTCACTCTCACACACACACACTCTCTCTCCCTCTCTGTCTCTCTGGCATGCCCGGAAGTAGGTCATTTTCCATCACCATCGTCGTCCGTAAATTTCATGGTCCTTCTTCTTCGCACCATCACTTACTCGTTCTCTGGCGCGTTCTCTTCCGGGCCCGCCGGCGCCACCATACGCATCTCTCGTGGTCGTACTCGTTCTCGAGGTCGTCTGGGATTGAGATTGGGATTGAAACTGACTAGGTTCCAATAACCCCCTTCCTCTACCAGCGATACCCATACCAACTTTGGAGACATCCACAGGTTGAGAGCTTTCGGCCTCTCTTCCAAACAACTTCAACATGTCCTGCAAGGTAAGCTTCATGGCTCCCGTCTTACCCTCTATCGTCGCATTGGCCAATTCCCGCTTCTTGTCTTGCAACTCGAGGATCCTCTCCTCGACTGTGTTCTTGATAGTGAGTTTGTAAACCTTGACGTCGACAGTCTGATTGAGACGGTGAACGCGATCGATGGCCTGTTCCTCGACAAACGGGTTCCAAAACGGTTCGAGGATCACGACCCGGCTGGCCGCCGTGAGGTTGAGACCCAAGCTACCCGCGCGCAGGGAACAGAGCAACACGCGAGTCGAGGGATCGGTGCGTAGGCTATGGAGACTTGCCTCACGTGCGTCGTTGCGCATCTTTCCATCGTACCGGACGTATCTGATTCGCTGGTGCCGGAGGAATGGTTCGATTAGATCAAGCATCGACGTGAAGAACGAAAAGACAATGTATTTATGCTTGTGGGAGTCGGCCTTGAGGATCCCGAGCAAGTGTCGGATCTTCGCCGATTGCATGATGTTGGGAGACTCATTTTCACTCGAGTCGTAGTCGTCGTCGTCAGAAGAAGATACACACTCATCATCGTCGTCTTCGTCAAGTTCATCATCACTACCGTTATCATCTTCTTCTTCGTCATCACTGTCAACAATGACCCGTCTAGCTTCTTTGCGTTGTTTTCGAATAGTCTGTTTCTCCTTCTTGGCAATCTTTTCCTTTTTGCTCTTCTTGGTTTTGGTCACCTGCATATTTTGCTCTTCAAGATCCGCCTCGCACTCTTGACAACGAATCGCACCGTCTTTGGCTTCTTGTCTGGATAATTCCACCTGACACACATCGCATCGTCTGCTCTCTACACTGAGGCCGCCAAGCATGTTCGCGATGCTGTCCATTTCGTCGTCGACGCTCGCCTTACGTCGGCTGGGTGTCTGACTTCCTACCGGATCAGTCTCGTTACTCAGGTCGCTCCCTGTCAATTTCGGATGATTGCAGGCCTGTCGCAATCTCATGAGCAGCACCAGCGCCGAAGCATAACTCATCTTATTACCAGCCATCATCATTGCAAGGCTTCGATCCGTTCTGTTTTCCAAGCGAGCGTAAAACTCGCGTTCCTGTTCGCTAAATTCGGCCTCGACTTTCTCAACCGTTCGCGCCACAATGTTGAATCCAGGGCCTTTTTTCTTTTCTCCATCCTTTCCAGGCTGGGATCCCTGTTTCAGAACATCTTTGGTCCGCCTCTTCATGAACGCCTTGAGATAAACCTGTAGTCGGGTAATTGCTAGCCCACCTCGCCCGTTAGCCATAGGTTTCGTAATGCTCTCGCGCCACTGGTTGAGGTCATCATACGGTTTGATGCGCAGAAAATGGATCAAACTCTGCAGTTCGTCGAGGTTGTTCTGCATTGGAGTGCCCGTCAGACACCATCTGTACTCGGCATCAAGAGCACATGCAGCTTTGGTGGCTTTGGCATTGCGATTTTTGATGCTGTGCGCTTCGTCGAGAATGATACGATACCAGTGGACTCCAAAGCATCCCACCTTGATATTTCCACCAGACCCAGCGTGCTCGGAAGAAAGAGTGTGGTAGGTGGTAATCACGACATCGTGCTTCTTGAGATCCTTGAAGTTCTTTGTCCGATGTGCACCGTGATGGACAACAACGCTCAACGCATGATCATCCTCGACGCGGTCTTTGATTTCAGCTTCCCATTGTTTTATCAATGCGAGAGGTGCCACGACTAGGGTTCCTTTGCCTATGTTTTCGGGAAGTTTTCGTTTAGACTTCTGGAGTTCTTCGGCGGTAGGCTTGGGGTTTGACAGGATGAGAGCGATGGACTGGATTGTCTTGCCCAGACCCATGTCATCTGCTAGGATTCCACCTTTCGGCAGCACGCCTCTGGTCTTTTTGGTGCCAGTCTCCTTGTCGCACATCCAATTTACGCCATCGATCTGGTGTGGAAGGAGTTTAACCTTTAGGCCGGCAATAGTGCCATCGTCTTCTTCGTCATCTTCCTCTCCCTCTCCATTATCTTCTTGTTCTTCTTTGCCTTCCTCACCCTTGACAGTGAGGACTTTTAATTTATCGGAAAGATCTTCGAGTTTTGTTTCCAGTTGCTTCTTCCGTCTTCTGGTTCGTGGCTTGTCTTCCTCATCTTCAAATGCCCCCTCGAGTAGCGCTTTGATGTTCTCGTTTGCCTTGGCCGAATCGATATATGTGTAAGGGTCTGATGATGAGAACCGTTCCTCTTCCCAATGGCTTCGATTTGTTGCAGAACCTATCTTATCGATAGTCATATCAATGATGTTTTGGGGTCTGAAATACGGATTCGTGGACTTTTGAGAAGAGAAACTAGGATGACCAACGGGTTTCGGTTGCCATGACGGCCAGTTGGAAGGTTTGGGGATTTCGAACACATCGTCTATCGACCGTCTGTCCTGATGCAAGGACGTGGTCTTGGCCTGGGATTGTGAGAGGCTTGCAGGTTTGGGAATTTCGACAAGATCGTCGTCTGATAATCGTGGCTTGGACTGCTTCGAGGCATTGTTAATGTCTCGAAATGCGTTCAGAGGGTTCGCGACAACGTGGGGTTTATGTAGTTCTGGTCGTTGAGAGGGTCTCTTCGAAGCAACGAATAGATTTGAGTATTTATCTGGCTGACTATTGTTACTCTGTCGTGGGGCCGATACATTTGCCGCTGGCTTTACTGGAGGCTGCGGTCGTGCAAACGGTTGCGGAGAGGCTCCCAGCGCCGTCGGTCTGCCGAACTGAGGTTGTTCTAGTTGATTCTGCAAGTTGGGATAGAGCGGTTGCGGACGGTTTTCTGGGCGTTCATCCTTCTCTTGCGGCCTCGTGGGAGGCGCCGCATTACCCATGGATGGCGCAAGTGGATTTCGAGCTGGCGCTTGTTCTCGCACCATGTCGATCGAATAAGATGAAGTCGAAGGAGTGAAACGAGGTCACGTCGACATGAGGGTGCTTGAGTTCAAAGCAATGGTTGGGATCGCAGGCATGGAATAAGCCCTGCGGCTCGTTCTTTTGAGTGACGAAAGTCACCGACTGTAGTTTGCGCGCGATCTCCAACGTTGTCAGGACAACCAATGCGGGCTCTGAACAGCGAGAGACGGCAATGGTCCAACCCCAATTAGGAAATCGGGTGATGCCGCCCTTGCTCACCCCCGACTCGCGCAACGTTATGGATGTCAAATGCTTATCTCTATTCACAATATCAATGAAGTCGGACCAAAGGACTGATGTTTGTATCCTTGTCTCAGGCGAGCACCTCAAGATTGATAGATGAGTACTTACAAGTTGGAAGGTTGGACTCGTTCTACACATATAACATGCCCGAACCTTGATTTGCCGCCAAGAATCTTTATTGAGACAACGCCGGCCCCAAAGTCCGCTGGCGCTGCCACTGGGCGGAAACCAACATCTGCAGACGTTGGATCAGCAAGAGCTTGAAGCACCAGACCGCATAGATCTTCCCTATGAAAGCAGGCCCTCCAACATGACCATTATGCGAATACCAGATTCAATTGTCAAATTCTCGGCCAAGGGCTCCCAATGAAGAGTAGTGGTGATGACTGCATGCATAATCAGATCCGCGAAATGCCTCCAAATGTGCCAAGGTTGCGCTGTGTGAGATACACTTCAACAAAGCTTCACTAATTCAGTGACAACTTGGCGAATCCAAGTTTCTGAACTACCAGCTACTTCCGCCTCACTGCTAGTGAATCGCATGGGCAGCGACAGTGACTGTGCACTCAGGCAGCACGGTGGCCGCCTATAAACAAAGGCTCATGACAAAGGTTCCTGGGCTTCGTCTCCTTCCGCTGAGTTAGATATTTGAAGTCAACCGTCTTTCGTCCAGGGTTTCTTCTGTCACGGTCAGTGTCACACCTCGGCCTAAGCCGAAGCGCCTTGTCAACGAAATCGTTATCCCTCCGAGCGTCGAAACGATGGCAAACTCCAAACCGGACCAAGCTCCATTCTACGACGTGTATTGGGTAGAATCTGCGGGAATGCCTAGGAACCACGTGGCGATCTTTGTTGAGACACACGAACTCGGGCCTGGCACAGGACACAATTTCCAGGTGTCCGGCACCATCCAGCTGGGGATGTACCATAACCACCGGCCTGGAAAGAAGCCCGAAGAGGACGAGCAGTCGGCATTCGTCAGTAAACGACTTCTCGGAAGAGTACCAAGGGCGGTCTACGACGACGGAACTTTTCGACAAGTCTGCGACCGAGTCGAGCCCCCGCCGAAGCAATTCGAGGGCGCCAAAAGATTGTTCCCCGGGCGAAGACTCATACGATGTGGTGAATGGGCAGAGGACGCGGTTGGGCAGTTGAAGTCGGAGGGCATTTTGTTAGCCTAACGGAACCGATGGGAGAATGAGGCGAGGTTCACAAAGCCAATACAAACGCATCGACCTCAGAATGGAGTTTTCATATACGACGGGGAAGGGGGAGCGCGTGCAGAACCGAGTGAAGTTCTCAGTGAACTTGGGGGCCGAATGGATGTCAGGGTTGGTAACTTTTTTTTTTAATCAGGTATGGGCAAATCGGGCACGCTGAGGCGGGAAGCAATGGTATTCACTCGACGGTCAACTTCAGTACCAAGCCCAACCTCGCACGTTACCTATCGATCAATAGAGAATGGATTGCTCTGCCTTGTTGTGGAGTGTGTTCGGAGTGGACATTTACTGTCACCCTGGCCAACCCTTTCGAAGATGGAGCAAAGGCACCATTTGTGAGCGGCTGAGAGATAATATGGACGAATTCCGAAGAATCCCTTCAGCAGGTTGTTTCGGTTGACTGGGGCGGAACTATGGTTTTGCCTCGCGTAGTTACACATGACCAGGAATCGGTCTCTCCCCTGTCGCGCATCTTCTGGAGCTGGATTGATCAATGTCTCCGTAGATGGTCCCGCCGCATGACAGACGGGGGAGGTGCGGGAACATCAGGTTCTTTCGCGATAAGATCGCCTTGAAGCTCTCAGATATAGAGAGACACGTGGATAGAGAAACCTGGGTTGAGAAACCCGCATACCCTCAGATAACGATGGCCGTTGAGGTCACCCAACTATGTACAGCAGCAGCCTCGTGCTTCATTTAGCGTTGCGAGCCTCAGATGCCGCCTCGACTACCTGCACACCAACGGACAAAGGATTAAACAAATTATGGACTATACTCTGGATGGTCGAATGAATACAAAGTTGCTAAAACAAGTGAGGAAGTCATCAGCATGGTAAAGTCATGTCAGGTCGTTAATCCCAATGTCTCACAGCCGCGACGGCAGTGCTTCACGGCCTTTCCGTCGCCATAAAGTACTTGTACGAGCTGTCGGACCGCTTGAGAGTCAAGATTGCAGACTCATCCGGCTGCAGCTCGAATAACACCTTCCCAGAATTTCTTCAAGCCCAGGACGTGTGCCCGGGTGGGATGCGTGCACCCACTGTCCGCCATCTCCCTCTTCGCCTCGGCCTCTCTGGCGATTTCCGCCTCCCTTCCCCATCGCGCCTGTGCCCTTCTCTTCTCTAGACTTACAGGATCGATCTTCTCTGCTCTCTCGAGGGCCAGCTTTCGTGCCGCAAACCGCCTCACCAGAGTCTTGACCGTGTTTCCCTCGGCTGCCTCCAGCTCATCCGCTTTGCGCTTTTGTGCTTGTAGACCTCGACCCTCAAGCCAGGCTCGGAGACCATCCTTTAACCCCTCCCGTATGACCTTTCGTCGTGTCGCCACAATCGCAGGCGAGACATTGCGTCTGGCGCACTCTTCAGGCATGATGTTCAGGGAAATCAGGCTATTCATACTGGGCCGCCGCTCAAGTTTCCTACCCAGGCCGTCCATCAGCCGCCGTCTCTCGACAGCTTGCCGCGACTGGATCAGAGCTGGGGACACGAGGGAGGAATATGTGGTGCACGTAGATGGCAGGATGGAACGCTCCACCAAATCATGCGGACTTGGTCTGTGTTCGAGATTGTGACTGAGCCGGATGCGAACCAGACTTTTGCTGATTTGTCTCGACAGAACGTTTGTCTTGCTCAGCCATATCCAAGAATTGGGCGGGCTAATGGACGACTTGAGCGGTCTTCTTGCAAGCGCAACAGACAGTGTATGGGAGGCATGATGTATGCGCTCGAGGTGCAAAAGGGGGTCGCAAGCAATGTCGCGTAAGACATGGCAAGTACGGCTGAGCTGCAATAGATCTGGGACATCAAGGAAAGACAAGATGCACAGAAGCACCTCGGGAGGTAGGTGATTTAAGGACTGGGACATGGTTGATTAGGTCGGATCTTTATCGAGCCGTGATCCTCGCAACAGAGGGAGATGGAAGCTGTTGGTACGGATAAGTAGCATCGACCGCTCGTATGGAGCAATCTGACATTGTGAGACAGATGGTGTTTGGGTTATCAAGGACGTGATGGTATGGTGGAGGGGCACGGAGGTGTTACAGTAGGAGTGTGTCACAGGGAGAGGGAAGAGGGTCGCGTGGCTGGTCAAGTGTGATGACGCAGTTGCACCCAGAATCCACACAGATAACACACCCCCAGTTTACCAAGTAGGGAGCACAACCATGAATCACAGATGCTAACAGGGCACAGTGCATGCTCCAGATACAAACTACAAACTTCATTGATGAGATGGATGAGATGGATTGAGTAGTTGGAGGACAATAAAAAGAGTTGGCACTCAAAAACCCAGAGAAGAACCTAGATGCCCGTATGCGCTTGGATTCCCTTCCCATCAATTACCTTATTCCATGCTCCAGGCGCCCGTGTATATAACCAAACATCAAGATAGCGCCAGTACTGCAATTGCTGCTCGATGCATCATCATACATCCTCCATAGCTCCAGCAGGCTCGTCCTCGCAGTCGCTATCAAAGTCCTCCACTTCACTCAATTCCCCATCTGTCTCGTTTTCGTCCTCATCGGCATCGGCGTGGATATTCGTGGCATACTGCGCGATATACTCTACAGTCCATGTCAGCATCTTGTCCGTCATCTTCGGCGCCGTTGACGTTACCCTTCACCCTCGCATCGTAGCTCCGCGGTTCTCTCATCAGCAATGCTGCTGCTTCTCCGTTCAACGGGTCTGTAGGATTGGGATATCGAAGGAGTTGAGGTAGGAAGACTTCGAAGATGTTGATCATGTCGAACATAGGCGACCAGGTCTGATTGATAACGTCTAGACACACCGAACCCGACCTGTATCCTCAGTCAGTACCAGCGCTGCTAGCAATCTGCTCCCGTTTCCAACCCACCCTTCGTCAATGTTCGGATGGAAGATCTTGTTGACGAAGCCAATCGAGGGCGATTTATATGGATACTGGTCGGGTAATTCGACGTGAACTTTCCATTTTCCTTCTGCAAAAGGTGCTACAAAAGTACAAGTCATCCAGTCAGTCTTTGTTTGTCTTGTGGGATCGATCAGTGCGATCATTTTTATGAAATAGTCATGTTCTTACTCTCTGACGGTCCTTTGAATATGACATAGAACTCTTGCATGTTGTCGTTAACCAGTGTCACCTCGTAGTCGCTCATCATGAGCTTCATCACATCCGTCTCTATCCTTCGCTTGGGACTACTCATGGTGGTTGTGCGCTGGACGATGTGGGTGGGCAGGCAGTCCTCTGTAAATGCTCGTCTTAGAGCCTATGATTGTGTGCAGGGTCACACCTCTGAGCGTGAAAAATGTCGCCGTTCAGGGAGGATTGGACAGCCTGTTGAGGTGGCAAACAGTTGGCGACCGCGGAAGTGGCTTGGGCTGGCAATCAACGGAGGAGGCTCGGATATGCGGATTGAAGTTGGCCTTGTTCGGAACGATGTCGAGCGTAGGGTTGCGCGAGAGAGGTGAGTCTGGGGAAGGCTAATAGATCGAGGGCTTTAGGACGTGTCTGGGTTTTAGGTAGAACAGGTTGTTTAGGAGATCGGACGAAGAACGAGAGGTGCAGCAGGACTAATTGAGGACTGATATGTGGTGATGCGTGGATTGCGGACAACCGACGTGGGGTGGTTTATTCCCTTTCCACGTATCTTGCTGTCCCTGACTATCCCGATCAATCCGTCCTATCACGCCGCCATTCACAAACAGGTACTATACCTGGACAGGACTGATCAGTGAGTAGCCGTGCTTCACTCGTACCCCATCCGCGACGATGCCTGACAGAGTAGGTCAGCTGCTCTCTTGGATGGCCACGGCAGCGCTTTGGCCGTGACTCCAGCGCCTCTGTTTACTTGCGAGGCATTTACTCGGAAATCCAATGGCGTGGGACAGCCAGTGAAGGGACAAAACCCTCTGATGCTCACCCTTGGTCCCCGGAGACCAGGCCCTGCTTACCAGGTATCCAAGGACAGATCCGTCGTCCCCGTATGGTGCGAGTGCTCCATTCTCGGACAGCCCAGGATCAACAGTCCAGGCGTAGAACGAGGCCTGGAGAGCCCTCGGCAACCATGCACAGAAGCCTAATGCAGTGTGCCTAAACGCGCCCTAAGCTTGGAATGGGCTTAGCCTTCTTCTGTCGTCGCCGAGGCTTACGGCTGCGAGCCACAATTTTACTCCAGACTCGAGGGTCATTTCTCAGATCTACGTTATAGAATTCAGAACGACAACAATAAAAACAACCAAAACCCCCAGGCCACCGTGATAATTCTTTCTGCGCTATGAGTCAGAGTCAAGGGTCCGTCTTTGATATTTCTCTACATTTTCAACCCTCCGGCCTGAAACCAGGCTGAACAACCATGGCCTCCATGGCCGGCGCGAGCAGGTCTTCGCAGACACTCGCACGACCTCTTTCCAGAACGGTGATCTCGCAGGTAGCCTGCTCACGGCAACAGACTCGCTGGAGCTCCCATGCCCCCTCCTCTCCTGCACTTCTCGCCAGAGGTCAGAAACCGGTAACCATACAAACTCTACAGAAGATGTACGCCGAGAAGTCTCCTATAACTATGCTCACCGCACATAACTTTCCCTCGGCCCTCCTGGCACAAGAAGCTGGCATGGACATGGTCCTGGTGGGTGACTCCCTGGCTATGGTGTCTCTCGGTATGCCAGACACATCAGAGGTCACACTCGACGAAATGATCATGGCTGCCCGAGCCGTCAGCCGAGCCGTCAACCGATCCTTCACCGTCGGCGACCTTCCCATGGGCTCCTACGAAATCAGCCCCGAGCAAGCCCTCGCCAGCGCCATCCGCATGGTCAAAGAAGGTCGAATGCAGAGTGTCAAGTTGGAAGGCGGTGCTGAGATGGCGCCTCAGATCAAGAAGATCACAACGGCTGGGATTTCCGTGTGTGCACATATCGGTCTGACTCCGCAACGACAACATGCTCTAGGCGGTTTCCGAGTCCAAGGGAACACCCTGGACAAAGCAATGTCTTTATACCGAGACGCCAAAGCCGTTCAAGACGCCGGTGCCTTCATGGTGGTGCTAGAATGCGTTCCACCCGACGTTGCTGAGGAGGTCACCAATGCCCTTGCCATTCCAACCATTGGTATCGGTGCTGGAAACAAGACAAGCGGCCAAGTTCTGGTCCAGATAGATATGCTTGGCGTCCGACCTCCTGACTCATTCATGCCGAAATTCGTCAAGAAGTACGGTTCACTGTGGGATGCCAGCGTGGCTGCGATCCAACAATATAAGGACGAGGTGACGGATCGAAGTTACCCCGCTGCGCCTTATGTGTACAAGGGCGACGCAAAGGTGACTGAGGCATTCAAGGCGGCGTTGAAAGGGGAGTGAAATCTCCTGGTATTATTCCTCCTAATGGCAGTGTTGTTCGCTTAGGGGACCAAGGTGTGTCTGACCTCAAGTGGGAGTTGTAATGAAGATTTCGTGGATATCCATAGCGCATGAGCGAGCTTCTTTACTTTTTTGACCCTCTTTGACGTACACTGCGTCGTGTACGACTACGACTCGTCATCCAAAAGCAGGCGTTGTAGAATAGCTAACGATCAATTGGTCGTCTGTCTTGAAACACTGAAATCTTAAAAGTCAGCAGTCGATTTCTTCTTCTCTGGAATTTTCGGGAGTGACGTCTCGTTCAGTCGGCTCCTTTCCCAGGAAGAAGAGTATCCGTCCTTTCGACAGGCCGTATTTCTCCCCGTACGTAATGGAATCCGAACACCGCAAACGCAAACGCAAATGGGGGCGGAGACGATAGCGAAAAACAAAGTATAGATGGTGCAGAACGACGCGGACAGAGAGAATAGAACGGAAGAAAACGAACCCGAAACAAGTTCCCAACACTCTCATCCAAGCCAGGTGCGAAGACGCTGTTGACGTACAAAAACAGTCCATCTCCAGGCTTCGCACCGACCTTTTTCCTCAAAAAGTTCAAGACGATACTGAACTTTGACGACGCGCTGATCTTGAACACCCGTTGCTTCAGAATCGGCGCTGACCCGAGTGGTTGGAAGCGAATTGATACTGTTGAGCCGCAAAGAAACGACGACGAACGACACAATGTTAGCTAGGCAAACAACCTCGTACTCCGTATCTTGACATGAGTTCGTAGGTAGGTAGGTAGGTAGGTAATGACCGGCAATCTTCATACGTCCAAGAGAGCCACCTGGAAAGGTGATGTACACACGCGCACACAACCAACCAAGAATGGGAGAGAAAGGAGATCCCCAAAAAAGGTTTCACATACCTTTGCGATTATCCAACTCCTCAACATCCTTCAACGCCGCACTCGCGTCTTTTGGCAGATTCGTCAAAATCACGCTCGCGGTCATACTCATGGGTAGATCTCCTCTTTCGTCTTCGTCCCCACCGCCACCGCTGTCGTCGTCTTCGGCTTCGTCCTCGCTACCATGCTCCATTGTTGGCAGAGGTCGTGGTGTTGTTGCTGCTGCTGCTGCCGCCGCCGCAGCATCACGTCTCCCCGCGACTCCAGGGCCGTTTCCCTCAGGGTCACTAGCCGGGTAGTGATGACTCGTCCTCCCAAGGTCGGTGTTGCTATCCGCCTGTTGCTGTTGATCTGATCTGTCCTGTGAGGCCGATGCGCGGGATGTCCGTTGAGGCAAGGATGGCCTCATGTTGTTCTTCTGGAAGAATACCTGACTTACACTCTAAAACCGGAGAAGGCCATAGACGAAAAGATACGCGGAAATAAAAGTCAAGATGTTCAAGATCCAGCACGACTGGCAAGGCACTTCCATCTCAAACAGGCAGTTGTTTCTACTGTTAGTCGTCTACGTTAAAGCGGCATGAATCGCAACTGGCACTCCTTATTAAACTGCGAATGTAACACAGCTGCCTTCTCAGTCTGTCAATCGCCAGCTTTCACAGCTCCTCTCAGAACGCTTATCCGATAAGCCCTCATGTGAGTCTCGTCGCCCTTTGCTATTTACATCGTATAGCATAAAAGAATTTGCAGAAAACACGGAATTGAGCCTCAAGCGATCAACAGTGTGTCAGCCAATTAATTGGAAACCAATCTCTTCGTCTCAGCAATTGCTCGTCAGCTCTTCATCATCGAGATATTCTGCGGTTTTCTCTGTTCAAGCAAGGTCCGGCCGAAAAAAGACAAGATAGCGCAACGGAAGATGTGGCCAATTTCACCAAAACCCTCAATACCCTCATCAACCTTAAGCCACCTCACTCGTGTGCAGGCTCTACTCACTCGCCTCTAATAAGGTCGGCGGCTTCCAAGAGGTCCGGCAATCTCTTCTTCTCCTTGATGCTCTTCAGCCACTCAAACATCACAAGCTTCTCGTGGTCGTCATCACCCTTGCGATAACCGAGTTCGGCAAGATGCTGATAGTCCTGTTTCTCTCTCTGTAACCCGCGATATGCCATACCGACTTTGCGATTGCCGCCCACGTTTTTTAATCTCTTTGCATCTGGAGAAGAGCCATGAGTACTGTATCGCTTGCCAGTATGCGAAGGATTTGGGTCCTCGCCATCATGGTCAGACCGCCATTTGTGCAGGGCAATCCTAGCTTTTGCCGCCTCCCTTCGTACCTCACTCCCGGTAAGTGCACCTTCTGTCGTCTCTGAGTAGATATACTCGATAGCGTTGTGAAGAGATCGTGGAATCCAATCCTTTGATGTTGCATAGCTCAACAGTTTGCAGATGAAGTCGTTCGGATCTCCTTCCCGCTCCACCTCTGCCAAAAGCTGAGGTAGGTAGTGATCGATTGCTAACCCGATCTTTTCGATACGATCATCAACACGCAAGGCCGCTGGTTTCGGGAATTCACTTTGGACCTCATACGCAATTGCCGCCGATGGTATACCGTGTAATGCCAGAAAGAGCACTTTCTTGACGATGTCGGCGCTCAGGACCCGTCGAAACATGGTGGGCAGAGTTTGGTTTTTTGAAAGCATACGTAAGACATTGTATTCTTTGGGAATTGGCTGGGTCTCGGCGGCGAACAGACTCGGATATTCTGTCACCTCTGTCTCAACTGGAGAAGGGCTCACAGCCTGATCTTTACCCACGTGTGGTTCATCAAGCCGTTCGGGACGTACCGAAGCGCGCTCCTGGGCGTGAAGGTCTTTGCGACTCCCTAAGTGATTGCCCTGGAAATGTTGACTAGGCATGCCCCGAGCCTCAGCGCGAATCTCATCATGATGGTTGATACTGGTTCCAAACATCCGGGTAGTAACATGACGATAGCCTCGAAGAGAAATCTGGTCGTACGGCACGGTTGTGTCGACATGGCTTGGGTACCCAGCTTGTTGATCTCTTGGATGACCGCCTGAAACTGCGACATTGTACTCTAGTTCGTCGAAGTATCCACCAAGACGCGGGATATCTTTGCGCTGAGTGCCAGACTCTGAAGTAGGTTGACGTATTTGATACGGAATGAGAGACTGACCTTTACCAGGCTGGAATTCGGAGTGGTGCTCGCGGAGAGTTTTGTGGTACTCGGCGACAGCCTCCGATGGTGAAGCTGACTCAGACTCGGACGCTTTAGTTTGATTCCCGAATTGCACCCCAACTCCATCCAGCTGAGGTTGCTGTGCATTGAGAGATGCTGGTCCTCTTCTTGCTACAATTGTCGAGAAATTCATGCTGAGACCGAAGGGAAGCCTACTTCTCCAGCCAACCTCAGCCGCATAGCTGAATGCTTGTTGTTGCAAGACATCTTTGCCTGGATAGTAATGTTGCGCCCTGGAAAGTACATGGAGGATACTACCGAAGATGTGGGTGTCCTCGAGAGCCTGTGGCCGGTCCGCCAGGTACCTGCTTGTTGCATGGTCTACGAAGCTGACAATCAGGCGGTCTGACTCTTTATTGCGAGCCTGCGTAGGATACCAAATTCGCGTGGTTGGGTGGAACGGCTGGGCTGTGGCACGAACATAATTTGGGAGTACCTTCAAAGTTTCAGGGCGGTGACCAGAGTCCATGACAGGAGGCGCAGATTTCCTGATGTTCTTGGGGCCAGAATGAGCAGATGCTTGAGGCTGTCTTGGTACCGTTTCGACAGCATGCATACGACATGGGGAAGGAGTTGGATGATGGAACCAACGACCTTCAAGCGGTTGGCTCTGCCGAGCTGGATGACCTCGTTGTGATTGCCGTGAAGGTATGTTTTCCTGATCTCGTTTTGCTGCTTCACGTTGCGGGTCCTGGTGACCGAGCACTTGGGACTGGAGATGATGTTCAGGAAGATGACTGGCTGCCCGGAAGTTGTGGCATGGCTGTCGAACTGGGCCCAGTCTAGCTTCGCTACCGGCATTTTTGGAGCCTCTGCTCATGTCTGGAGTAGCCAGAGGTGTGCCTGTAGGATCAGCATCGACTTTGATGACTGGCGTCAGTTGGTCATTGGCTTTGCGGTTCTCTTCCCCACCATCATCCTGGATGGCAGGAGGACCAGAAGGACTGGCCATTGTGTGAGGAAATGAACCCTTTCAGGATAGTCGCGATCTCTTCCCAAGTGCCGAAACTGTTGTTATCGCCCTCCCGTTCTTGAGCGGTCTTTGTTGTGAGGACCTGATGAGACATGAAGATATCGAGGGTTTATATATCGCGTGGCGGGTTGTTTACCTGTCGCAGTGAATGAAGGATGCGAATGTGCAGCGACATTGGCACTTCACTACGCAGAAATGTGAAGTGACCTGTTTGCTGACGTGTTGGGTGGTGAGTATGTGCCGAAGTAAGAGATGGCGCTTCGACAAGGGGTATGTGTCGATATGAGAGAAGTCAAGGATGCGGCGGCCGACACACGAACACCCCCAGCGGGAAAACGATGGTCTTTTGGGTGTTGGATGTAGGTTTGAACGCGGCCCACCTCAGGAAGCCATCCAAACGGTCATTGAAGAAAGAACGAATCATGCTTACCGACGCGTGCCTCATTCACTTTCGTAGTATGTCTCAGGGGGCGGTACGGAAAGGGGGTATACAGCGCTTCTGTATATGTTCATTCGCCTATCGCATATCATCCACCCAGCGTCTCACCACTGGGATTACCAAACTCCCGCAATGCTGTTCATTATCTGTCTATCCGGAACTCCACCAAGATGCACATCACCCTCACATAAATCTCAATAACTCTCGGACAAGTCGCTAAAGTCAGGGACGTCCGAGTCACATTTGAAGGAGGGCGAATATGCTTTTGAAGGCAATATACCCGCCTGGAGACCCAGCTGCCAGCTCCATTGGACAGCATTTTCCGTCTTCCATGTCCAGTAGAACCATCCCCAGGCTTGCTCGAAGCTGTGCATCTGAGCTTCGGCATACATTTGCAAGAACTGCTTGTAAGCGTCGCTGTAGGTGCTCGGATCAGCATTGGCCTGAGTACACGAACACGGTGGCTCGGGACAGGTTGGCGTCAGGACCGCCGTTTGTGAATCTCCTGTATTCAGAGTACCAGTCCATCTTGATCCCACCCCGACGTTGTTGAGATACGGTGCGCAATCGGTGTCCGCTTGTGACCACTCCCCGTCCAATATCGGGCCCCAGCCAGTGCTAGGGTTATTTGCAGCCACCATCAACCCGGTCCAGCCGGAGCAAGCCAGGTTGATCTTGTCTTGGTGCTTGAGTTTGAGTTGGCCAGTATTGAAAATCTGATACTGATGTGTATCCATCACAAGATTGTTGTCAACGCCGTGAAACATATCGTCCCAATCGTCCAAGCTGAGGAAACCGTCCCCAAACACGATTCTCTGGGTCAGTCCGTTGTCTCGAATGATCTTGATGGCTTTCTTGTTCCAGTCTAGAACGGAGTCGGGCGGGATCACGAGCATCTTTGGTTCATTCACCAAACCATAGATTGTGAGCACATTCTTGTATCGGTCTTGAGCAAAGAATTTCGATAGCTGGTCGTGAATGTCAAGCGACCTCTGGGCATTTGTGGCTCCATCAGTCCCAATAATCCAGTTAATATCGCCCTGGTGGCCGGAGTGCGCCCAACCATTCTGACTTCCCGGAACTGCGTGCAGATCAAGGTTTACACGTAGCCCATTCTGCCGCGCATATTCGATCGCTCGGAGCAAGTATCTCCAGGCAACCTGTGGTACGTAGGGATCTCCGGGGTATGTCGTGACAGCCCAGTAAGGGTAGGGTATCCTCACATGGTCTAGGCCAGCATTTCTGATATCGATGAAGCTCTGTTTGGTAATGAAGGTTGCATAATGTGACTCAAGAGTCCGCTTTGCTGCCGAGGGACCCAGCTTTTGACACAAAGTCCACTCGTCCACCACGCCTGCTGAGGAAGGATAGTCGAACATTGAGGGTGTAATGAAGGGCTCAAGATCCAGCCATCCACCCAGGTTGACGCCGCGTATTGGCATTTTTCCGTAATCCCACTTCTCGTTGAGCGCGGGGACATTATCGTTGGCTTTTGTCGAGTCATCCCAATCTGAGTCGAGCCCCATGACTGATAAACCACCAACGGTCTCAGCCGTATAGGTACAGTTGAAGTCCGTCGTATCCAACCAGGTTGAGATGTCTGTATAGGTCCCCTTCGCACTCGCCGGAACAGAGCTCCCGTTGCATTTGTTGCTCGGATCAGAGGACGAATTTGACGTGCTCGTTGCACCCGACGAATTTGAAGAGCTGCTCGACTTCTTGTTGTTATTGTTGCTCACGACCACCGCCACAGGGATGAAGATCGCAAGCAAGACCACAAAAACAATCAATAACCACCAGAACTTCTTCCGCGACGGTCTCTGTGCATGTCTATGAGTAACTTCATACCCTTCTTTCTCGTGAGCGCCACGCCCTCCTCGTCCGGAGACTTTCTTGTGTCTCTGGCCCCCTCGGCCTTCTTCCAGGATAGCACCACTGACATTGCGATTCTTCTTCCGTCGCTGCCGTTGATGCTGTGCCTCGGCACCTTTCAGGTTTTTGTACTCCTTCTTTCTCCGCTTCTGCTGGTCGTATTTCTCCTGGAACTCCACCTTCTCGTTATACGCATTTAATTTGGCCAACGCATTGCTACTCAAGAGCTGGCTCGTGCTGTTCGTCGAGTTTCCAGAGCTGTATTTTGCTCGGTCCCTTTCTTTCCTCAACGTTGCGCCGCCAGATGCCCGGCGTCGGTCGCTCGGACGCTGGTGTTTTTTCTCAGGTGATGGGGAAGGTCTGGGTGAGGACTTGACCTTCTCTCTGGGCGGCCGCGTTTTCGGCGTGCGTGGTGGCTCATCGTCCGTGTCATCGTCTCGATGGTTTACTGGTGCTGCCGGGCGCGAGTTAGGAGGCCTGTTGAATGCAGGGCGTGTGTCGGCCCTCGCCGTAGACTCCCGACGAGGTTTCGGCATGCAAGTGTCGGGTGGTAGATATGCTCATATCAATGATAGGCTTGAAGCAGACGGATCAAATGGTGGTAAATTCTTTGTCTGTGCTCGGTTCATCAATCGTGGTACGAGAACATGTGGTCCTAGGCGAGAACCCATAACCCATACGTGGCTACCGGCTTGAGTGTCACTATTTTGTCCTCGGTGCGTTGGCCGGGCAACGCTGGACTCTCACTGCCAACTTTTTTCTTGCTCCGCCAAACATCTAAAATCGTGCTGATGATAACACACGAACAACAGTATTGTATGCCGACAAGGTGGAACTCATTCTCATCCTCTTACAAGATCATCAGGAGATCGCAGTCACAATTCCGGATGATTTGAGCTCTCAGCGTTCCCTGACGCTCAAGGGGGCGATAGCCTTGTCACGTGAATCCGTTAGAACCGCGGCCTCGGAGCGAACATAATCGTGCTTGATCGGCTTTCAATAATGTCCTGGCGGGAAGCGGAGGACGTTTCGACCATGGAACCAATACATTTCTCATGGGACTAATGGGAATTATTCTCGTGGTGATGCTGGTGGGAAAACTTACCATCACGTCGCGCCACTTTCTCGATGGGACTTAGCTACTACATCGTCAACTACAAGTCATCTCCCAACTACAACTGTCATTGACTTGGACGAGACTGCCGGGTTCCCTCCGAGCGAGGCTGGACGAACAAGGGTGAGCATGCTGAATCATGTGGGCAAGACATGTTGGAATTGAGAATGGCAAATAGTTACAAGGTGTAAAATACCAGCAGAATGCCCGCTTGAACGCTTTCATTTCTCAAGAATATACCAAAGTGAACAATGAGTGCTCATACAGCCAGGGACAACCCTGTTCAATCAAAAGGGAATAGCCAGGGTCGTAGAGGTTATTAATTGGGTCGAAGCGGAGATGGGGAATCATGAGCGGCCCCATACATTATCTTCTTCGATAAGACTGCCATATCTCGCAGTATTGTCAGTATGCTCATCGTCCTGAGTCTCATCCTCCTCGTCGATAGCGCGTTCAGGCGGGGGGTGTTTGGCAGGAATTGAGCTAGGGTCGAAGCCTTCACGGATTTCCTGGCCCTCAGGATGCTCCTCGTCGATGCTGTAGGTGCGCACGAAGCGTTTAGCTGGACCCCGGTTCCAAGTGTCACCGCCTTCTTTTCTCGCACGAACGCGCTCTGCATCTTCGGCTTGGGTATCTTCGACAATCAGATCAACGATCTGACTCGGGTCCGACTTGGCGGATGATTGTGAGCGATCACGTTTCAACTTAGACTCTATTCCGCCTTGTGGTGGCGGCTGCTCGGATGAATCCTGAGGCGGTGACGTGCTCCTGTGTTTTCCTTTTCTTAGTGTATGCTTAACTTCACTGCGGCGACGGTTTCTGTTATCTCGCGTCGGCTGAAAGAGGTTGCGGTTTGTGGAGGTAGTAAGAAGACCTGGATCGCGCCGAAGCCAGTCCTCACGTCGAGCTTGGTGAGCTGTGATGACAGGATACTATGATAATCATGATCAGTAATGACACATCAGCCTACCGAGAGACAACCTACATTCCAGTCACCATACTCTAATGCTCTCGCATTGGTATAAAGTCGCTCATCTTCGGCATCCATGCCGACCTCAATATCCGGTTCTGCTGCTCGATAGTCGTGCGCATGGCCCCGTGCTTCTGGCGCTGGTGGCCGCGAGGAGCCCTTTCCAGACAGAAGGGGTGTTCTCGCACTCGGGCCTTGGGGTTTCGGAATCCAATATTTAGCTTTGCCACCTCTTTCGTAACGCATGCCATCCATCATCCTCGCGACCCGTGAGTGGGAGTCTTCATGGGCGATGACATTATCACCAGAATCGAAAGTTCGGTAATCGTACTTTTTGCCACGGAATGTTTCCTTTGTGTCCTCAATCAAATCCCTCGGACCGAATGCATCTCTAAGTGCATACTTGACAGGCATCCGTGCTGCGGATATGGTAACATCAGCATAGTCGTGCCACGAGAAAGCGTACCAGTGAGACATTGCGAAGATTGGCATTTCAAAGCATATTAGCGCATCTTGAATCGCCGCTGCCAGGTTGTCCGATGTATAGCCGGGGACGTCGTTAGGGATAGCTCCCAAAAACTGCAGAATCGAGAGAAAGAAACCCTGCCAGTATGAGGCGAAAATGATGAGTTTAATACAGAGGAATTTCGGCATCGGCCGGAAAGGTTTGAGATCCTGGTGCATGCAGACCCAGAACATGGCCAGAGAGTACAAACTCAAAGTGACACTGACATTGTAGACAATTCCAATCCACAAGTATCCCGAGTTCAAGGCGATGTATCCTTCATGATAGGTTCCAGTCAGCTTCAGAATGATCGTGAGGACACTAAGAATTGGCTTCAGCCACGTGTATTGTAGGATGCCTCGTTTAATGGCGAGAAAGGTATACGGATCCGAGATATCAACCTTGGAGAAGTAAAGATTGATGGGCCAAGGATGAGACACGGGTGGCCTCCCGTGCATCATAATGATCAAGGAGCGTTCACCTCCAAGGAAATTGACCAAGAGCTGAAGAAAGGTGTATATGGTGAATGCTTCATATATATCGCGAAGGGGGTCAAGGTAGAACGCCGCCTTCAAAGACACAATGGAACTCCACGATGCAGCTGCGTAGATTGGTACCATAATCAGTATTCTTATTACATATCGTTGAAGCAGGGGCTTCCTGTAATTCTTCGTCTGGAGCCATATCGACCTGTACCTCACTTAGAACCGACCGTGTTTAACTTGGACAACCCACGTACAGAAAAGATATCAATGTTGCCACCAGGGACGCGACACCCGTGAGTATTATGGTGATTCTGGCAAGCCTATCACCCGTCCCTCCGCTGCTCTCTGTGTCCGACATGGTGCCAGAAGGGGCTTGGTGACTTGAGATCGTGGCGAAGGTGAAGAGGAAGAGGGAGATGTAGCTGCTGAGACGGGCTACCTAATTGTGCAGGGGCACATCTCGTGGAAGCGTCGACGGCAACCCAGCGTGGATGAAGGACTGGACGGGGTCAATTGTGTCGGTGGTGCGAGGGCTCGTGAAGAGGATGTTGCAAGATGATGCCTGCAAATGCAACAACACTTCACAGAAACATGCGCAGCTAAGAAGTATTTATTACGCAGTCTGACGGCGATGGAACAGATGCCGATGCCGCACCAATACGGCGTATCTCGTTAAATATTGTAAATTACCAGATCTTTCATCGTTGCGGGGAAATTGACTCGGGCTCTAATGTCTCCTCAGATACTCAATACCGCAGTTGCATTCACCGCGCGTTCCGCGTCCAATCTTTTTGCACAGGCGACATCTTTCACCACCATCTTCACTAATAGCAATGCCATCAATAACTCGGTCCCAGAAGCCTATGAGTTGAAGCCATGGACGAAACGTCCCCAGAAAGTTGCGACATCAACAATGTCGGACCTGGACAACTTGGTCGGACAGCCTATAAACAGGGACACCTCCTTCAATTGGTATGCTACTTCACCCATGTATGTAACGATTGACTGACTCTCCTGTCAGGACATGGTTCATTGAAATTGCGACTTGCGCTTGTTTGGCGCTGTTCTTTCTTTTCTACTTCAATCGCCTCATTGCGACACTTGTCTCCTACGGGCTACGAGCGTGGACATGGCACAAGTACCGAGTCTGGATTGATATACAGGCGTTGCAGCTGTCCTTTCTTGCCGGCCGAATCTTTTTCAAGGGCATACGATACCATGGAGAAAACGAAACGATACTGATCCAGAATGGGTACGTCACCTGGAGGTACTGGCAACGAACCGCTCGTCAAGTTGATTTGACGGGCTCGGATCATGGTGATGATGACCTACTGAAAGAGAAGGAAGCCTGCGATTCAGATGATTCAGAAAAGTCGGAGCCACTGGCAGACCAAGAACTGGGCCGGTCACAAAAAGCTGATACTGCCGACGCTCGAATTGCAATAAATGTCACAGGGTTAGAATGGTTTGTCTACAACAGAACGCCAGTATATGAGGCCATTGTGAATGACACCACCGCTTCCGGTTCGTACGATCTAGATGAGAAATGCCATGTAAATGGCCACTGGCAAGGGGCGTTCCATGCGAAGATTCGACGTCGTAAGCATGCTAAAGGACGGCAATCCGAGGTCGGTCTTGACAGCGACTCATCTACAGGACCGCCGACGGAGAAAACAGATGGTATTGTCACTCGTGATGAACTGAATGTACCTCTTAGTCACATCAACACCGATATCACTGTGGACACGGATGCTGACCTCCCAGCAACCCAAGTATCCTCCTTCTATCCGTTTTTGCTACGATTTTTGCCAGTTAAAGTGGAAGTGTCAAAAGGTGCTATTACCCTTGGGAATGCGACCACGAGAGCAATTGTTGTCTCTACGTTTACAACTGCACGAGGTCATATTGATGCCGCTGCCGCCGGGCCTTTCGATATCTTCCGCCAAGTTTTCGATTTTTCCATTGAGCAGCCAAAGGTCGAAATGAGACCCAATCCAGACTTCCGCGCGTCGCAGCTTACAACAGCTGAGAGGATCATCTCAGCAGCTGAATCAGAAGCTGGTCGTCGAAGGTGGTGGCAACTCGATCTCGGCATCCGTCGTCGACTTGCCAGGGCCATGCGCCGCGTAAGACATCTTCTTCCAGGTCTCCGAAGCTCGCGGGGATCTCTCCGAACCAACACGTCGATCGACAACGAGAAGAATAAGCACTACATCTATGAGGCATTTCCCGAGCAAGATAGATCATGGCATGGTCTTGGCCGGTATATGGACGAGGATGAAAGAGATGACCACGAGGGTTGGGCCCATGTTGATTACGCTCGGTTTTCTCAAATTTTGGAATCACCAAACGTCCATCTGAACTTCTACTGGGATATTCCAGGCCAGGTTACTGCCGAACATGTAGCCTCTTCGAGGGAGGCGCATTTTCAAGATATCAATTTGTCTACGCCACCTGCCTACGGTCTCGACTTAACTGTCCAGGGAGGAACCGTCAACTACGGCCCATGGGCCGATCGCCTGCGACTCGAGCTCCAATCAGCTTTCTTTCCAAACCCGTACCGATCTCCTGTCCCATCATCTGCACTGAAGGTTGGGAATACTCGTCAGAATACAGTGATGACCATTCGTGTCGATCTTGAAGATGAGGTCAGCCTTCGCGTGCCAACCAGAGAACGTTCAAAAGATTGGCAGTGGAGGGGACGAGCCCATGCCGTGAGAGAAGCCGCCGCTATCCGCAAGCAGCGGGAGAGACGACACTTCCGCTTTCGCCGACCCCAGAAATCGAAGCTGGGGCCTGAGCTAAGGCCATTTGGCTGGTTGACCGTCTCTGCAGGGAAAGATTCAACGGTCCGGTACGACATGGATATGATCCCAAATGCGCAAGGCTATCGAAATCAATTGCGACTCGATCTCAAGGATACGAAAGCGACTTCCAGTGTCAACCATGCACTGCTATGGCGCTGTCGATCTCAGAAAGTCTCTTGTGACCTTTCCAATCCGCTTGTGTGGAATAGCCTGCATACATGGGTTTTTAATATTGAGAATAACGCCATGGAAATGTTCTTGTTGCGGGATCATATGTTCCTGCTTACGGACATAATCAGTGACTTCACGGATGGCCAGAAACCAGACTACATGACGTTTGTCCCTTACCTGTACCAGTTACATCTTCAATTTCCAGATTTGAAACTCTATCTGAACGCGAATGATTACAACATCATTGACAATCCGTGCGACTTGGATGAAAACTCATTCTTGGTTCTCGGTTTTCAACTCCTCGATGGACACGTGGATATCCCAATGCAGTACTTTTCACCCCGTCAAAGCAGTGTGAAATTCCTTGCTGAAGGTCACAACGCTTTCCTCGATCTCAGTACTCCTGTTTGGCATACCCTACATACCCTAGCTGAGGACAAGACCATGGCGACCCTAAAGCGCCTCGACCTTGATGGCTCCTATAATTACTATCCCCAAATATCGCCAAAATTGACGGACTCTCTCTTCATGACAATAACTGGATCCAGTCCAAAGTTTTACCTCCATGGATACTTGATCCGATATTTTATGAATGTGAAAGAGAATTACTTTGGTGAAGACCTGCACTTCAGAACGCTGGAAGAGTATCAAGACATACTTGCGGGAAATGCAGTCCGGACCCCCCGTCCAGCAACGAAGAAGGAAAACGACCTCGACGTTATTTTGACCGTCAGGGCCGACAACTCTTCGATTCTTCTTCCCGCAAACATTTACTCTCGAAGGGAGAATGTTCGTGCCGACGTCCTTTTAGTTGAAGCAGACATGCGATTCACAAATTACTATATGGATTTGCAGGTCAATTCAAGTCCACTAGAAGCGTCACTGGAAACAATTCGCAAAGTTGAATCTGGGCCGTCAGAGGACATCACTAATTGCCAATTGTTTATTGACGGTGCTCACATCTATGGCCACCGACTTTTCGGGGCGCCCCCCACAGAACCAGCTTACGTTTGCAACTGGGATATCGATGTTGGAGAGACAACAGGCGAAGTCGATGCGAAATTTGTCCAAGTTCTCATCAATGCCATATCGAGTTTCATCTATACGCTGGACGATTATGACAATGCGTTACCCAAATTGTTCACAACGAAAGTTCACGATGTTACCTTTTTGAGAGCTGCCGTCGCTGGGCTGCGAATCTGGCTCGTTGGTGGCGGTGCTGCATTCCTACTAGAGTCCGACGGAGCAGATATCTCTCTGTCCGACTGGGCAAATGCGAATTTCGCGCAAAGAGTCCAAGCCAATATTCCCCGTGTGCTCCTAGCGGCTGTGGACCATGCGAGTGCTATACGACATCACGGTAGAGAATCGAAAGCCGTCGAGACCATTGCCTGCTTCGAAACTGCCCTTCGGATTGGCTCTCTTGACAAGAGTGACAACCTAAGCCAAACCCGTGCTCTGCAACAACAGCATGTAAAATACCATGACCAACGCAGTCACAGAGCGCAATGGATTTTAGGTGCTCAAAGGAACTATCCACCAAACCACAAGATTCCTGAATGGGCTCGCGACCCACCTGCAACGCCGCTCCCGATGATGCCGGAACCAGTGGTTGAAACCGAGGCCCCGGACATATCAGCAATAAATGATCAAGTCCATCGAACACAGGCCATGAACCGCAAACCCTCATTCCTCTCCACTGCGTCCTCTCTCCATAATTACCCTGCTGGTAGCACCACACTCGCGAACAGATCAGGCCGGGATCCTAAGCCAAGCCTCTCCCAAACACTTGATCCCCAGCACCCTTCAACAATGCTCCAAGGAGACTCCCAAGAGCAAATTGCCGAATCTGTCAAGAATTCTCCGTTCCGAGAAGATGTTCATCCAGCGTTGCCTTTTGCTGGGCCCTGGTTGCCACCATATTTCACGTTGCGAGATGTGAAGCCGGATAAAAAGAACATGCCCAAAGTATCGAGATCAGAACTTACGAAAGCAGCGTCGTTGATGGCAACCTTTAATAACGAGGATCTTCCCAAATCAGATGAGTTTGAAGGCGTACCCCACAATGGTGTCGTCCTCCTGATTGACAAAGGGCTGACAGGGTTTTGTTCCCCAGCCCTTTTCCTTTGTATTGGAGGACTGATACAGGAATTGAACAATGGCCATGCGATCAACCATTTGGACAAGATACAAGTCACACTGATGGAGAAGATACTAGAAAGCCAGAGTCATGACGACAAGGGCCATGTTGTGGACTTCGCCGTCCATGTACCATTTGCGCATGTAAGACTGCTCAACTCCTTGCAAAACGCCGCACAAGCAACTTCTTGCTCGGATGACCAGTATGATGTGAAACTTCTCGGCACCCAGGCTATGTATCGCTCGCTTCATCCACACCTTGACTTTAGACAATCAGGCACCTCGGTACCTAGTCAGTCTGCTTATGCATCCATTGAAAAACTTACAGTCTCGGCTAGAGACGATCTATTTGCGGATAGACCGGCGACACAGGCCGAAGTTTCGTTGTCAAATTTTGGATTTTGGCTCTATCTGAAAGAGCAAATCGACTTCAAGTGCCAGTTGAGCAATTTTGGTGTTTTCCTTTGGGCCGAACAACTTACGAGTATGGCGGGGCTCATACAGAGGACTGTCTCCATGATCGACCGGATCGCTGAGGCTTTCATTGGGCTGGACCAGAGTCGCATGTCAAGACACCTAATCTTTCATCTCACTCAAGCAGGCTCTTCAATTTCTGAACCAATCTTTCTGACCAAACCCTCTTACGTCCTTCGAAGCGCAGACAAGCATGTACGTCTAACAGACTCATGGAAGATTATGTCTCGTCTCAGATATATCTTTGCCACTCTAGAAAAGGAAAAGGGTCCCAAGTCGATGAGCAGCTGTGATTGTCAAGATCTAGAATTGAAGGGACCTGCTCTGCAGAGAGTCCTGACCTCATTTGAGCAATGGCGAGGTTGGGACTACCGAAGGGATACCGTCCCAATTATGAGCACACTGTTCGAAAATCAGCGTCCTGAAACAGCACTCAAGCACCCTGGCGGCCTTGCTGCTCAGGGCGAAATCATCATCGGCAAAATTGAGGTTATCCTTGATCCTGGCCCACGGCAGAGCGACTTCACAGTGTTGGGTTTGGACTTTAATGTTGTTGTAAGCCCTGTGACAGCATTACCCGGTCTCGAGGAGCGCAGCGAAAAGGTCATTCTTCAAGCTTATCTTGCCGATGCCTCCCTTCATCTCAACTGGGCCCTAGTGGAGCTGGCTCGTCAGATCATTGACTTAGGCAGCCCACTTGCGGTGTTGCCGACCAGAGTAAGTTCGAGCAGCAAAGACGGTCCTGATAGAAGCCATACGAGAAGACAGTTCACCGTGGTGGTAGGGTCCGATGTGGCAGCAATTTATCTCACAACTCTGAACCTCAAGCTAAAGTGGGCATCCGAAGGCTTTCGAAGTGCGGTCTCTTTTGATTCTGGTGGGGAACTTCCATCGGTGCACTCATGGACCATTGCGGCAAATTCTGCCTTGACCAAATTCAGAGCGCATTCTCATACTCTGATGACCTGGAAATTGCGTGCGCCGAAGATGTATGGTTCAGTGTGGCCCAGGCAATCGACCGACTCTCAGGAATCTATACTGGTTGTTCAAGTTTGTGCAGCATCGCGCAGGTATCGCTTCCAGCTGAAAGAAGACGTCTCCAAGTTACTTGGTGTGATAGACCGAGTCGTCCTTGATGAAGCCGCTGCAGTCTATGACCTACTTGAAATGACATCGAAAACGTCGAATTCGGAGCTTAAGAAGACGTCACGACCCCTTGCTGCTTCCATGGAGCTACGTACCGCCCTCTTCCTAGACGACTACCGATTAACATTTGCAATCGTGCCTACTTTGCGCTATACTATTGCTGGTCACGTGGCCAGAACCTCCATTCTGCCCCGGAAGCATGGCAGCCTTGAATTCAATTTTGATATCAAAGAGCATGAACACCTGTTTGAAGGACCAGATGACGATAGTAAGAGCAAGTCGTCAATTTTGAAGATGCCGCCCATAAATGGTCGAGTGTCTATCGCGCAGACTAGTAGCATCATGTCGATAGGAGCGCGAGTTACGATTGAACAGATCAACTTGGAAACAAGTGGCATCCGAGCCTGTTTTGAAGCGCTAAATCAGCCTGGTGTGATCCAGCAGCTTTTGAATACCAGGCGAGCTGTGCAAGACGTGCAGAACTCTGTGAAACACGTCACTGATGGCAGGTCCAAACTCCAGAGAGCAGCCTCTACTGAAACAACCTTATTACTCCGCTACGCGGTACATGGAACCCTCGCAGGCATCAAGGTGCATATGAGTGCTCCAACAGTTCGTGAAAACCAGACCTACCGAGCCGATATGGAGCTAAAGCTTGAAGCCACTACATTGTTCGTTCACAATCACACCAACCACCCTGACACTATACATGAACAGCCACAATTCATTATGAACTCTCAGGGCGTAGGAATAGGCATCTATCGAGCCACCGACCACGCCAAGAGCAATGTTGGGAAGTGTACAGTGGGTATCAAAGCGTCCGGGAAAACAGAACCAGCTGGCAAGATAGGTAAAGTCCACGTGTACAGGGCTTGGAGTGATGGCATCGCTATCGAACTCTATGAAGATACTGCTACATTGGCAGTCGACATTGCGGGGTTTATTCACGATAGAATCAAGTCAATTCAGCTTGCCGAGAGTCCAGAGAGCATTCAACGACTACGGAAGATGACGACAGCCGGGATTACTGATCGCCTGAAACCCAAGGAACAAATCGAAGCAGCTTTAGAAGCTGTGTCAACCAACGAGTCCTTGTCCTCTACTCTATACGATTCGACTTACGCCGTGAACCTCGACAACATCCAGGTCAGATGGAACTTGACCAGAAGTTCCTTCCTCTCCCCAACGCGAGAGCTACAAGATCTTGTCTTCTCCATTCGCAAAGTTGATTTACAGACACGACAAGAAGGAACAGCTCGGCTGTCGATCTTGGACACACAGTTGCAAATTGTTCCACAATCCCAGTCCTCGCAACCGACACTACGTACCGCCAACTCGGCTCTCCTACCAGAAGTCGTTTTCGGTAGTGCATATCTATCCACCAAGCAGGACCGACGGTTTGCGTTCCAAGCCAAAGGCAAAGCGGTGGACATCCGCCTGGCAACTGACTTTGTAGTACCTGCACATGCTCTCCAGAAGTCACTAGCTCATGCGAGTAAAGAGCTTCGCAACTCAAAGACACTATATGAGACCAGCCTCCAGACTGCGCAATCTGGGAAGATCGAAACTTCAAGTGGGAAACATCTAGCTTCTCTCCTGGTAGACGCGGACTTCGCTGGTGCTGTTGTACATATCAGCCCCTGGGCCGAGGTCCGACATCGAGATTCGGCCTTTAGTTTCCTCAAGGGGGGTAAACGGTCTCGAGCAGGTCGATATGGACAGGCTGTTCAGGGAGAAAACGCCTCCTCGGCACGATTGCAGTCGCCTGGGGTCGCACTCAAGGTTGAGTACAAGGACAACGGCTCTGGTGACCCCTACCTCAGTACAGAAGTCAAGGTGGCGGCCTCCACAAACACTCTCTACCCTACAGTTGTGCCTCTAATCCTAGAAATTTCATCCAGCATCAAAGAGATAATGGACGAGAGCAATAATGACGGTTCCGGCACAAAGCCTGGTGATATCAGCACTCGTCTGTCGGAAGAGACTATCAACAACGCCAATCCGACCGCGATTTTAGGTCGATGCAAACTGAATGCGGGCCTGTATATTCAACGACAAGAGTTCAGTCTCAGTTGCCAGCCAATAGCCCGAGTTGCGGCCACTACGAGGTTCGCAGACATCTTCATCAGAATAAACACAGTGTCAACACCTGATCAAGGACGATTTTTTGCCATTCTGACCACATTTAACAAACTCGAAACTTCTGTTCAGCATGTTTACTCTCGAGAATCCACAGCCAACTTCGAGGTCGATTCTATCGTTCTGTCACTCATGAACAGTAAACATGTCAGCGCTACTACTGGCATTTCTGCTGTTCTGAACGTCAGTCCAATGAAAACTGACATCAATGCAAAGCAGCTGCAAGATTTCCTCTTGTTCCGTGAAATATGGTATCCCGCAGAGCTGCGTGGTAGCTCCAAGCCAAGTGCCTCTGTCGCCACTGCGCAAGATCAGCATGTATATGCAATGCAACGATATCAAGAGATTTCAGCTAGGGGCACGTTGCCGTGGCATGCGATTGTCTCAATGCAGGAGATCAAGCTTGCCGTGGACTTCGGGCAAGGGCTGGGCAAGTCGGTTTTCACCATATCAAAGCTATGGGCATCATCCAAGAAGAACAACGATTCGGAACAAAACCTTTGCATTGGCTTCGACAGAGTTGGTATCGACAGCAGTGGAAAAATGAGTGGGTTCGTAGAGCTAGACAACATGCGACTTCGTACCTCGATCAGATGGCCTGAAGACTCATCACGCAGGGTTCGAGCGCCACTTGTCCAAGCCTCAATCAGCTTCGAGCATTTCCGGGTCAAAGCCGCATTCGAGTATCAACCATTTGCGGTCGCTGATATTTCGTTTTTCGAGTTTTTGATGTACAACGTGCGCCAAGGTCAAGGATTTGACAGTGACCGCCTGGTAGGCATCGTTGATGGTGGGAAAGTACAAGTATTTGTCACCACCAGTACTGCAGCACAAGCCTTCGCACTGGTTGAAGCATTCGAGAGATTGATCCAGGAGAAGCAGGAGGCGTACGAAACGTCCTTACAAGATCTGGACAAGTTCCTCCGACGCAGATCTAACTTCCCGTCTAGTAGCTGGACAGCTCCTACACCTGATCCACAGCTCAAGGGGCATCCTCCACCGAAACGGACATTTGCACTGCATACTGACGTGGTGGTGGGCCTGAGGGAAGTCGATATTGGTTGTTTCCCAAATACTTTCTTTGACGACCGACTTCTGAAGGCCGAAGCGACAGAAGTTCAAGCAAGATTTGCAGTGGCCACAACTGACGGCAAGACTCATAGCGGGTTGGGTATGACGCTCGGAGAATTGCGAGTAGCCCTCTCCAGTGTAAATCGCACAACGACCAAGGCATTGAGCGAAGTGTCAGTGCCCGATGTGATTGACCGGGCAACGTCCTCGCGTGGTGGCACCATCGTGAAAGTACCTAGATTGGTATCCTCGATGGAGACATGGCAAGTTCCTGACTCAAACACGATCGAGTACATTTTCCGCAGTACATTCGAAGGGAAGGTGGACGTCGGTTGGAACTATGCACGCATCAGTTTCATTAGGGACATGTGGCAAACTCATTCGCGAGCACTGGCTCAAAGACTCGGAAAACCACTCCCACCCTCAGCCATCAAGGTTACGGCCGAGCCACAAGGCGATGGCGAAGGCGGGCAGGAAAAGATCACGGCTGTGGTGAATGTGCCTCAATCGAAATTCACATATGTTGCGCTGGAGCCTCCGATTATTGATACACCACAACTCAGGGACATGGGTGAAGCCACTCCACCTCTTGAATGGATTGGGCTGCATAGGGACAGATTACCTGAGGCAACACATAGTATTGCCATTGTATCGCTCTCAGAAATTGCACGGGAGGTGGAGGATGCGTATGCGAGGATCTTGGGCGCAAGTTGATCTGACGTGTACGAGGTATGAATTCACTAAGTTGCAATGGTACATGTATGATTCACTGTCATTTCTCTCGTCCTCACGAGATCAGCGACTTGACACGTCTATCCATAATACAACAATACATCATGCATTGGGTAATGGGCATTACGCACCCCACCTAAAGCGGTTAGCTAACCCTGATTAGGTTAGCGCCTGTCTTGGCACAACTGAGGTAACCCCCTTTCCATGCTATCTCTACCTACTCCTCGATCACAACCCTCTCAACAACATATTCCTTGCCCGCAACAACCTATCATTGCGCCGTCTAGCCATGTGAACCCCCGCCCAACTAGCCGCGGAAATGGAGGCTCTACTGGCCTATGAAACAGCCTCAAATGATGAGTTCTATGAGTGCAACTCCGACCCAGAGGCCGCGGAGGAGCGAGTGTTGATAAGGCCTTCTGTATTCTCATATTATCTGAGTATACATCAAATTAATGGAGCCTCTTTAGGTTAAGGATTTCGATGTTTATTGGTGTCTAGATCGATACCGAGAGATCACATTTAACTATACTAATGTTACACAACCACCAGATATTATCTCGCGATATCGATATAATGTGAATAACAGGCGGATACTGACCAAGCCTGAGTGGACTGACGCCGCAATAGAACAGGCTAATCAGGAGGCAAGGAGACATCTAAATGAGTCAAACAGAGGCCTAGGAGGAAGAGGCCACAGAGACACAGAAAAAGACGCAGGAAGAGGCGCAAGAAGAGGCCGCGAAGAAAGAGGGCAAGGTCGAGGACAGTAAACTCATATCCCAGGAACCATGACCTTTCGACTAGACTAGGTGTGGAGCGCAATGCGCGGCGAAAGGAACTCCCATAGAAAATAGGTGAGAGCCGCCTCTAACTAGCACTGGGACAGCATCACTTGCATCGATCCTTGCATGATTCCTTGCTTTCCTTGCATCGTTCCTAGCATTATGATATTTTGCGAGCCTAGGACGCCTGTAACGCCGCCTAGAACGCTGTGAATAGGCGCGCCTGGGGGGGATACAAGGGAAAATTATTCTTTACAAGGAAGGTTACCCGATAGACGCTAACCGAAAGGGGTGGGGTGCGTAATATCCATTACCATGCATTGGTAGCAGCAGCTTCCTGTTCGGTTCTAGCCCCGATGACTGACTCCTTACACGGAACCGTACGGTTACCACAGAGATAAGGCTAAGCCAGCAGGAATCGCTTTCCTCCGGACCCCAGCTATCAAGGCCTCGAGCACCTTCTCGCCGCTGTGTTGTCCGTCCAAGCATCAGAGAAGCTAACTTGCTGCAACCATGTCTACGTGCACGGTAGGTCGGGTGCATGCGAATGGGCACGACAAGTCACAATACCCATAGCAGTGATGTCCCCCTTTGTCGCCGGTCTCGACGGAGCAAGCTGTGGCGACTTGTGTGGTCTTCACGCACCATGAACGCGATACTTTTAGCTATCCTCTTGGTATTCTTGGCTTTTCAACAAATCCCCCATGACGTGTGATCGTCCGGGTTATAGCTTGCGATGGTGTCTACACAGCAGTCCACTTGGGAGTATGGGCAAGGTTGGTAACGTTACATGGCACCACATCGATTTGGTGAGCTTCTCGGGATGCGGATAGCAATCGTCAATCATGTCGTTGGCCCCGTTCATGGTTCCTGGCTGTGGCGAGCAGGTACCTTACATCCCAGCCTCGGTTGATCTCGCTGCCATCCCCAGCTTGCCTAGAAGAATGTATTCTCTTCGCGGGCGTCTTCACTGAGAATACTTTTGAAAGTCTGTCACATCTTGATAGGCAGAGCGCTGATTGCTGGTCATCCAATATGGGTTTTCTCACCCCCCGGTGCGGCTCAATCTCGACAATAGTCGCGACGGCAGTAGCCACTTGCTTGCCTTATGGGGTTTTGGCTCAGTCGTCCGACCCGGGGCCTGGATTTCAGGTCCAGATTTCTATTGCGGATGGACTGCTCAACGGCACTGTGGATGGGCGCGTTGTGCTCATGTTCGCACCAAGTGGTGTAGCCCCTCTGGACGACACCGAGGTCGACTCAAGCCCAAATCTGTTCTTCGGCATGAATGTGTTTGATGTTGCAAGCTTGGATACAGTCACGCTTTCTGGCGGGAGTGGAGAGCACACCATGACTGGTGTATGGGGGTATCCGAATGTGAGCCTGAACGATGTTGCACCGGGCGACTACTCTGTTCAAGCCTTCTTGAACAAATACGAGACTGTCACTCGTAGCGATGGGTCTACGGTCAGCGTCCACTTCCCTTGTGGTGATGGTGCACCGAATGTCGACACCTTCGGGAGTCTCATAACATCAGTCGTCAACATCACTGTTGAAGGCGGGCCCCAGACAATTCAGCTCGACTTCGACGACATTGAACCAGTTGAAGACTTCACTGGTACCGAGATTGGTGGATGTGCGCAAGGAAACTACGAAGACACCCCCACGTTCAAGTACGTGAAGATTCGCAGCGAGGCTCTCAGCACCTTCTGGGGCCGTGATATGTACGTTGGTGCGAACATTCTACTGCCATACGGATATGACGCCGACGACAAAGACACACGCTACCCTGTCATCTACTCGCAGGGGCATTGGCCTGGAAATAGGACAAGTTTTGGCTATCCAACGGCAAATTTCTCAGCAGAATGGGACAATGGAACCATCGTGGGTAAGGACGGCGAACCTGACAGGCCAACCCCCAAGCTGATCTTGGTGACCATTCGCCACGAATCTCCGTTCTATGACGACTCGTATGGGGTGAACACGGCCAATATAGGCCCGTATGGCGACGCGATCAACGACGAGCTGATCCCATATATCGAAGAGACGTTCAACACCATTCCTGAGCCCTACGCGCGGGTCCAGATTGGCGGGTCGACCGGCGGTTGGATCTCAGCTGCAACTGTCATTTTCAGACCGGACTTGTTTGGTGTCTGTTTCAGCTCGTATCCGGACTCTCTCGACTTCCACAGGCATCAAGATATCCCCTTATACGGCTCAGCAAATGCATATGTACGCGAAAATGGCAGTTCAATACCCTCGATCCGTGATTTTGAAAACGGAACTGAGGTCGTTCTGGCAACTGTGGCGCAGGAAAACCATTGGGAACTCACATTCGGCACATCGACACGCTCTTCTCTGCAGTGGGACGTCTGGAACGCCGTATTCGGTGTCCAGGGACTGAACGGGTACCCTCTCGAGCCATGGAATAAAGTCACAGGAGAGATCTACCCTGAGGCTGTCGAGTATTGGAAGCACATGGACCTGGCCAACTATATAGTCAGCAACTGGGACAACGAGCGCAATCTCGGGGAGACGCTACGAGGAAGGATCTTCATCTACGTCGGCACGTGGGACAATTACTACCTCAACGAGGGTGTGGTGGAGTTTCAAAAGCGTGTTGACGCCGTCGGAGGCCCGGGTTGGGCCAATGTAACGATCTTGCCCGAGGAACCTCATGGCGGGAATTACCAGCGGCGTGAAACTTGGAATTTTCTGGAACTTGTCAACGCTTGGGTCCAGGATCACTCGCCCACAGGGAGAACGCCGCTTTTGAGTAACGTCACATCGCCGTCCTCGAGAGGAAACACGTTTGCAGAGGTAATGTCTTACGGTGGACACCAGGCTGCTCTTGCGCGTCAGGCTCCTCCTTCTCTTGAGAAGGGAAACTGCACGAAAGCAGGATGTGTCTTCGAAGCGAGCGTCGGACTCTGGGATCCTGGCATGATTCTCGAAGCACAGTGGGTGGTGAATGGGAAACCGAGCTGTGAGCCCTTCAGTGTGAAGCAGGGCGAGGTGCTTGCGTACACGCCTGAGGCTGGAAGCAAATGGTCATTCGTCCAGCTCTCGGTGACTGGGCGTAAAATGGGCTATGTTGACGAGACAAGGCTGAGTAACGGTGTCAAGATACGTTGAGGTACTCGGTCGGCCTCCAGTGGCAATGGTCTAGAAGCAGAACGTGACGTGAGATACGGCACTAGAAATGAAAGAGTGACTGTGTAGGACTCCTCGACCGCTCCCTGGTTTGGCCGCCCGCTATTCTAACTGATGTTTCGAGTTGAATGGTGACACGGAGAGCGGCGTGGGCGTGCTCTTAACTCCGAGATAAGCAGAACATGAGTCAAGGCTGCTGAGGCTGAGCGAGGGGTTCGTGACTAGAGTGTTCGTACTCCGTACCACCAGTCAACCACGGCACTGGTAGTGAGTGAGCGAATGGCCTGTTGCCCAGTGAACTCGAACTGTGTTCGCCGTCAGTGGCATTATTAAGCGCAAAGCTGCCCAAAGCCCATACGAGGGACAATTACCTGAATTGTCGGTGCCGCCACAGCCGCCAAGACTCACCCCACCCGCCGCACTTGCCAGTTGCTCAGAGAAAACTTCACGGTCACCTACACCATCCTGCGCCCTTGTCCTTGTCCTAGTCTTTGCATCGCATCCTCTTTCGACATCCATCTCCAATCTCATCACATCGTCTGCGACGACAAGCGCAGGCGTCCCAGCAGGTCGAGCAAGCCCTCGATTCTGCCATTTTCCCTGTACAAGCTCAAAGAGAGCCACCTACCCCGCCGTTCTAAGGCAATTCTCCTGGTCCCGAGCGACCCCCCTACGACAAGATGGTCAATTTCACAGTGGAGGAAATCGTAAGTGGTGGCTCTTCTTCCGTGCTGAGATGGACTTGCTAACCAGCGGCAACACAACAGCGGGCGTTGATGGGTAAATATCACAACCGATTGAACCCAAGATGAGGCATTAACCAAAGCGCAGACAAGCCCGCCAACATCCGTAACATGTCCGTCATTGCCCACGGTATGTTTATTGATCACTTGCTAGAAGCCACCAAGTACTAACGAGCATCAAAGTGGATCACGGAAAGTCGACTTTGACCGATTCCCTGGTTCAACGAGCCGGTATCATTTCCGCAGCAAAGGCTGGTGAAGCGTACGTTCACCCCTCCCTACACGGTATCCACGAGTTGGCAGACAGTAACAGTACCGCAGGCGATTCACCGATACCCGTAAAGATGAGCAAGAGCGTGGTATCACTATCAAGTCGACTGCCATCACGCTGTATGCCCACTTGCCCGATGAAGAAGATCTCAAGGACATTCCTCAGGTAGGGATTGTACACTGTCCGTTCATACCATCGCAAGCTAATTGTGGCCGCAGAAAGTTGATGGTAATGAATTCTTGATCAACTTGATCGATTCTCCTGGTCACGTTGATTTCTCATCTGAAGTCACTGCGGCTCTCCGCGTCACCGATGGTGCCTTGGTCGTCGTCGACACCATCGAAGGTGTCTGTGTCCAAACGGAGACTGTGCTCCGACAAGCTCTGGGTGAGCGTATCAAGCCTGTTGTCATCATCAACAAGGTCGATCGTGCTCTTCTCGAGCTGCAGGTCTCCAAGGAAGATCTGTACCAGTCTTTCCTCCGAACCATCGAGTCTGTCAACGTCATCATCGCTACCTACTTCGACAAGGCTCTTGGTGACTGCCAGGTTTACCCTGAAAAGGGTACCATTGCCTTTGGTTCCGGTCTCCACGGCTGGGCCTTCACTGTCCGCCAATTCGCCATCCGATATGCCAAGAAGTTTGGTGTTGACAAGTCCAAGATGATGGAACGTCTCTGGGGCGATAACTACTTCAACCCCAAGACCAAGAAGTGGACCAAGACCGGAACGCATGAGGGCAAGACCCTTGAGCGTGCTTTCAACCAGTTTATTCTTGACCCTATCTTCAAGATCTTCGATGCCTTCATGAAGGGCAAGACCGATGACCTTGTCGCTCTCTGCGGCAAGCTCGACATCAAGATCACCAACGAGGAAAAGGAGCTCCCTGGCAAGGGTCTCCTCAAGGCTGCCATGCGAAAATTCCTCCCAGCTGCCGATGCTCTGTTGGAAATGATGGTTATCCACTTGCCATCTCCCGTCACTGCTCAGAAGTACCGTGCCGAGACTCTATACGAAGGTCCATCTGATGACCCGGCCTGCATCGCCATCCGCGACTGTGACCCCAAGGCCGACCTCATGCTGTACGTCTCCAAGATGGTGCCCACCTCCGACAAGGGCCGATTCTACGCTTTCGGTCGTGTCTTCGCTGGTACCGTCCGCTCTGGTATGAAGGTCAGAATCCAGGGTCCCAACTACGTCCCTGGCAAGAAGGATGATCTCTTCATCAAGGCCATCCAACGAACCGTCCTCATGATGGGTCGTACTGTCGAGCCTATCGATGATATGCCAGCTGGTAACATCATCGGTTTGGTCGGTATCGATCAATTCTTGCTCAAGTCCGGTACCCTTACCACCTCCGAGACTGCCCACAACCTTAAGGTCATGAAGTTCTCCGTCTCTCCTGTGGTGCGACGATCTGTCGAAGTCAAGAACGCCAACGACTTGCCCAAACTGGTCGAAGGTCTCAAGCGTCTGTCAAAGTCCGACCCCTGCGTCTTGACCCTGATCACCGAATCTGGTGAGCACGTCGTCGCCGGCGCTGGTGAACTCCACTTGGAAATTTGCTTGAAGGACCTGGAGGAAGACCACGCTGGTGTCCCTCTCAAGATCAGCGACCCCGTCGTCTCGTACAGAGAAACCGTCGGTGGTAAATCTAGCATGACTGCCCTGTCGAAGTCGCCCAACAAGCACAATCGTCTGTATGTCATTGCTGAACCTCTTAGCGAGGAAGTCTCCAAGGAGATCGAAGACGGAAGAATCAACCCCCGTGACGACTTCAAGGCCCGTGCTCGTATCCTCGCCGATGACCACGGCTGGGATGTTACTGATGCCCGAAAGATCTGGGCTTTCGGTCCCGACACCACTGGCCCTAACTTGCTGGTTGACCAGACCAAGGCCGTCCAGTATCTCAATGAAATCAAGGACTCCTTTGTGTCTGGTTTCCAGTGGGCCACTCGTGAAGGTCCTATCGCTGAAGAGCCCATGCGATCGATCCGATTCAACGTCATGGATGTCACTCTTCACGCTGATGCCATCCATCGTGGTGGTGGCCAGATTATCCCAACTGCCAGACGTGTGCTGTACGCCGCCACTCTCTTGGCCGAGCCTGCTCTCCAGGAGCCCGTCTTCTTGGTCGAAATCCAGGTGCCAGAACAGGCCATGGGTGGTATCTACGGCGTCCTCACCCGACGACGTGGTCACGTCTTCTCTGAGGAACAGCGTGTGGGAACCCCTCTGTTCACCGTCAAGGCCTACCTTCCCGTCGCAGAATCATTCGGTTTCAACGCCGATCTCCGTGCCGCCACTGGTGGTCAAGCTTTCCCACAGATGGTGTTCGATCACTGGCAGATTCTGCCTGGTGGTTCACCCCTCGACGCCAACACAATGCCCGGCAAGATCGTGGAGTCAACACGTACGAGAAAGGGTCTCAAGCCTCAAGTTCCAGGTTATGACAACTACTATGGTACGTTTCTATCCTTTGTTGATTCCCTACAACTGCTAACCGTTCAACAGACAAGTTGTAGAGTATTAGGCTTGCAAGCATTAATAGACAAGGCCATAATGTTACGACCCACATACCCAATTCTATGGTCTTGAAGCATTGAATAACGGCAAAAAAAGCATTGATTCGACTCGCTGGTATGCTTGAAGCAAGATACCTAGATGGTTGTCGAGCGGATGAAGAGCACAAAGGAGATACGTGAGAGGGAACGGTTGATCCTGTTTGATTTTGAAGACTGGCTTTACAAGGACATTTACTCTCGTCGCAAGAAGGTCTCTTCCACCCATCAGATGTGAGAATAGAACTTTCTGAAACAAGTAGATGACAATTGATGCTTTGATGATTTGGCATTTTCGACGGATTCGGTCGTGGTATCTGTCGGCACTTTTTTCTGCACGTGACGAAGTATTTTCGATGCGGAATATTTATTCGTCTATTCTATCGACAACATCCCCTTGCCCGCCTGCAGTCCAACATCGTTCACTCATTGTGTCATCTGAGGGGAGAGATTTAGATGGATGGTTGGAAAGTGTTCGACAAAACCATGGGCACCAAAGTGCCGTTGTGATGTCGGGGCTGGAGCCGTTGATACGACGAGTATCCCATGCCATGTACCTTGAAATGTTTCGAATGCGGAATTCTTGACCCAAGACATACCAGCTCTTACTATTGTTCTTGATGACAATACTATGGACTCTACGCACGGATGTCTTTGTGCACCTCTTCTACGACTCAGGACTCACGTTGTGAGCTTGATCGATGCCCCCCTCATCCAGACTCGAACCAAACCACCGCACCCCTTCTTGTTCAAGGTACGTTGAGTCTGGATCGACCATGAGTTCTCCAAACTATCCCGCACTGCTCAATAAAGATTTTGAAAAGGTCATAAGCAGATACACCGACCAATTTGACGGAGCACACGGAGCAGACGACGGGCCTCAGGCCAAGGACAAGACCACATCCTCTCGACGCCAGCGAGATGACGGTGGACGAGCGACGAAGGCCGCTCAGGTCAGCGACTCGTGAGCCACCTGCCCCCCTTTTTCTTCTGCAGCAAATACGGTACACTCTGTATAATTGCCTGCCTTGCCAGGTTCATGTTCTTGCGACCCGCCCGAATCCCTCTTCACAGACTGCCTTAGAAGGTGTTTTCAGACCCTACCCCAGAGAGCCGGTTGGATTGGCAGGGCGGAGTACAGACCCTACACCAGATAGCCCGTTGGATTTGCCAGAGCAGAAAGAGATACATAAAGTTCTGACATAGTTCCCTCCACCGGGGATGGAGGAAGCAGGTACTACGAGTTTGCGACGGCCGCGTACGAAACGAACTGGAGCACGAGATTCCACTACGCGCCTTTCTCGCCCGCCGACACCTTGCACTCTGCGCAGTGCTTCTACGAACACCGCATCGCGCTCCTCATGGGTCTCAGGCCGGGCATGAGAGTCCTAGACGTGGGCTGCGGCATCGGCGGGCCGGCACGCGAGATCGCGAGGTTCACAGGCTGCGAGGTGGTCGGGATAAGCATCAACCAGACCCAGATCGATCGCGCGATCCAGTTGACGGCCCGAGAGGGCCTGATGGACAAATGTACCTTTGTCAGGGGTGATTTTCTTGTAAGCACCACGTTTCTCGGCCCTCCCATTTCTTTCTCTCTTTTCTTTCCCCAATATCGTCTCTGAAAGTTTACGTTTCGCAAAGCGAGCGAGCGACCAAGTAAACGAGAGAGCGAGAGAAGTAACCAAATCCAAAACGCCGGCAAAAGGTCACAGGACAAACTCAGTCCAGCCCCATCCCCGTCGTTAATGTCGTAACGTACATTATTAAGTGTCACCGCCCCCTTCGTCACAGAACATCCCCTTTCGAAGTGACATCTTCGACGCCGCGTTCGCCATCGAAGCCACATGCCACGCACCGTCGCTGAAGACGGTGTACGCGGAAATCTGCCGGGTCTTGAAACCGGGCGGCGTGTGCCTCGTAAGCGAGTGGGTGATGACGCCCAGGTTCGACCGGTCGAATGCTCGCCACGTCGAAATGCGGACGCGGATCGAACGGGGCAACGGGGTCGTCAATCTGCGCACGAGCGTCGAGGCGCGCGAGGCAATGGTGTCGTCCGGGTTTGACCTGGTGCACGAGGAGGACTTTGCAGGTTACTACGACTACCTGAAACGCCGCGCCGACACTCGACGTGCCGAAGACGCAGAAGCGCGGGTGGAAGAGAGTACAGAATCGGTTGGCTGTGAGAGTGACTCTGACCAGGACCAGGACCATGGGAAGGGGGACGGGAAGAGGACCGGCAGGGAGAGGGCCAGGGGACAAGCACGAACGACAACGCCGGCGACGAGCGTCCCTGCTCCTCCTCCTCCTTCTCCTCGACACCGCGAATGGTGGTGGATGCTAGAAGGCCGCACCGCTCCGTCGACGACGTGGACCGATTGGTGGACGGCGTGGAAAATGTCCCCGTTCGCCCGAAGAGCCTGCTACGCTCTCGTCTGGTCGCTCGAGAAGCTGGGATACCCTCGTGCCCGAGGCGTCTGTGAGGCCATGGACATCCTGGCACTGTGCGTCGACAGCGTCGCCGAGGCAGGCAAGGAAGGAATCTTTTCGCCTTCTTGGTGGTTCATGGGTAGGAAGCCGTCCGCCGAACACAGCTGACCCTGTTACGGTTTTACTCAAGATGATAGCTTAAAAGATGCGGAGTGAAACAAGCAAAGTACCTCGTGCCTAGTCAAACGTTGATCATTCAATAGTGACTTCTCCACTGAACATCGATCATCTCCTTTTCTTTAGGAAGAAGTGTATCGCTTTGTCTTTGTCAGCTTCTTGCTGCTGCTCTTTTTCTCCCATGACACTCACGCCTCGTCGAGGTATCCTCAAGTCTTTTTCATACTCACCAACTCTGATTCATATCACTTCCCCAATAATGAAGAAAAGGGCCCAAGAGCCCAGCCCGACAAGGTCCTTCGCTGTTTCTTGACGGATGCGATTACAAAGAATAAACCGAGTAACCTGTGTCGCCACTTTCCAGCTCCCAAAGAACATCTTTTCGAGCAATCCTGAATATTCTAGGATGTGCAACCACATTGATGAATCTTGCTTTTGGTTCACATCTTTCTTTCCGTCTTTCTACCTTTCATTCCAATCAACCAAAAGCCTTACTTTTGAACGTCCGCAATAAACGCCTTTGCCACAAAAACCATCCGCCCTTGGTCGTCATTCCGTTGCTGTTGATAACCTGAGAGGCCACCAGGTCAACCTCACTTGCGACCTCGCTTGGGAAATTTGAGTCGGCAAGCGCTTATGACGGCTCGGAATTGACCCTCGAAGCCGCGTTTCTCGGCATTCTGTGCAAATCCGGCCTTTACGAATTTGGCCCAGGTGTTGGTGAGGACCAACTCCTTGATGCTTAGTTCGGCTTTATCGAACACGGTAGCGTTGAAAGTGTCGGGGATACCGATGTTGGCAGGAAGTCGATCTCCAAAATTGGTCATCCTTAGTTCTCGCAATTGGCGAGCTTGCATTGATTCGGGCCGTGATTCTTGGTGCTCGCTGTCGGATACGGCAGTTGATTCAAATGACAATTGGTCTTTCCCTGCTTGGCTCTCGAGATCGTCAGAGAAGGTCGATGACCAGTAATTCTCAAAAGGCGTGGCTGCGTTCGAGGCCGGCTCAGCGCACACTAGAGCCGCATATTGTTCAAACATGACCTCCAGTTCTCGCTGATGCGCCGACGAAATATTGATTGGGAAATCGGAATACTTCAAACTGACAAAGGAGGCGTAGATGCCAACGGCTTGTTGGAATTGTTGTCTCACCAGCTCTGAATCGGCAGTCTTGTCGTGAGAAGTCTTGCGAAGCATGGTCGATTTGCGCTTATCCGTGTTCCATTTGGCCTTCCATTGGCGGATGTGAATTAGAAAGCTGATGTTCTCTCCGGAGAAGTCCTTCAGAGCTGAAAACATGAGCAGCGGCTGCGGGTTGAGTTTCAGCGTCTTTTCTAGAGCACTCATGGTGTACATTTCACCCTGTCGTGGGTTCGTGCTGGCGGTGCTCTTCATGGAAACGCGCGTGGACATTCTAGACCGTACCGCAGTCTGGCTTGAATTGGATGTTGCGAGAGAGCCACCTTGTTTCTGCTTCTCTTCCCACTCGGCAATGATCTCTCGTGTTTCACTTTCGAGTCTTCGATTCTTGAATACTTGGGAGAATGGGACGAACACAACTGATCCTTGCATAATAACAATGGAGGCCGAAAACCTGTCGCACATCATCAGCGGATTTCAGGCAGTGAAAGAAAGCCTCGATTGACACTCACCACAGAGGGGGTACAAAATATGTGTCGACCTTCTTCATACCCTTCGCATAAAGAGCAATCAGCCACATAGGAGAAGCAGGCAGTCTGTTTTGGTCAGTAGAAGCTTTAACAACAGGGATATCACCGCACCCAGCAACGATACATGCAATAGTCTGCTTTCGCCATCCATGTACATCACGAATGGTTCTAACGCGCCATAAAAGCACTGGTGCATAGATCCAGGACCAAAATATCTGCCAGGCAATGGATGGCCACCTGGGAACCAGTCAACAACTTTGCATCCACGACGCGTCGGGCAACTTACCACTCCCAGCCTCGTCGGCAGCCAGCTCTCGTGGTGACCACACCGGTTGTGCCAAAGCTAGGGTGGAATTTCCTGGAAACTAGAAAGATAATCAGGGCACACAGAATCTAGCACTGTCAGTCAGCACGCTCAGCTTCATCTTTCAACCTTCAACGAACCTGAACGCTCATGCCGATGCCAATCCACGTCATGGTATTCTTTGTTGCATTGTAAGTCTTGAGCTTCTGAAGGTATTTGCGCCATCCTCTTGCCCTTGTCTCTTTCGTCGTCACTGCAATGTTTCCCTGGACATATCTCTTCTGTGCCGTGGCGATTGCAAACAGTTGTGTGTTGGTGGCTTGGAACAAAGCGATACCAAGAGGTAGGTAAATGCTCATTATCCAATATTCACTCGCGCATGGAAAGAACCCATTCAAGACATAAGCGATCATGCACAGGACCCAGTATACGTGAAGGACAGCCACGGCGCTGACTGCCAATGGGATGTTGCGCATGCGAAGGAAGGGAAGGTGCCGGTTTCTGACGAGGAAGATAGCAGCTGGAAGCAAGAGACATGTCCATGCAATCACTAAGCCGACATAGAGGAAGCCGAGTCCGTCGGTGTTATATCTGAGCGCCATGTCGTAACCCAGGGCAAAGGGAGTGGAAGATACAGCGGTACTTGGTCCTCCGTCAAGTCCATTATCAACCTTTCGAGGCATAGCCCCTGTGCAAGGACGAAGTGAGGCCATCCGTACCAGCGGGCAGCGATATCGACGTGGGATTTGCAATTGTGTTGATCTGACAGGTCGTCAAGACCCAAGATGGTTGAAACAGGAGATGAATTGCGGAATGAATGGGAGATGTGAAGGAACAGGTGCTGAGCCCAGTTGACAGCCCGTGCGACTCAAGGTAGAGTGGAAGAGATATGTGATCGAGCAGGAGAGGGGAGGAGGTTGCACGGAGACGGGAACGAGGAAGGAAAGCGAATGAGTATGGCAAGAGGTGGGGATGAAGACGTGTAGAACAAGAGGATGTGATAGTCGCGAGCAAGAGAGATATGACCAGCCCGTTGTGAAGCAGCTGGTGAAGTTGCTTTGCATCCTTGACCTCTATCTCACCATGAGCTCAACTGCCTTGGGTATGGCACACGAGAGGTTTTATGTGCCGTTTCATCACCACCAGCCTTCACTTCACCTTCTCTGAGATTTTACTGCCTGGTCGAAATCACCACCCGCAACAAGTGCCCATCTCGAGCAAGCCACTGCCATCGCAGCGACCAGAATGTGAGCCTGCCGCCACGGGTGACTTGAAGCTGCAGAACATGGCATAAGACAGGAGGTCGAGAGAGTCAACATATCTCCGTACGGAGTACAGTGGGTGGCATTCTTGGCCCCCCGGAAAACACCTAGAAAATGCCACTACCGACCACAGCCCTGGTCGGACTCTGCAAGCTTCCTGAAGATCTCCTGACGATGGTTCTCGCCTGTCGCACTGAAGCTTCTTTTCGGCTCTACTCGATATTCCTTCATTTCGCTTCCCCACGAGCCCCGACCACAACGCGGTCTGACCATCACGCGAAACTGTAACTACTCTCACAGCCAATCAAAAGCTACAATATGGAGCCCTGCGTGGTTTCGTGTGTGCAATGCCTGTCGTTTCACCCGTTCGCCACTGGGAGATGCAGAAGGAGATTCACAGCCTCAATCGCCTTAAGATTTGAAGGCTAACATTATAGTTAAACTTTCGTGGATATGAGCTAGAGGTTCGCGAACTGTCCGCATCGAAAGGGTCCCAAAGTACAAGAATGCTAGCGAAGTTCAAGAGCGGCTTTGCCAACAAATCTCATCGGCGACACGCTACTTATCGGACATTTGCCTTGCCGTGATACGAGTATCAGCTGTGCCAGACTGCGAGTACACTCTGTGTCCCCGGAACACGTCATGCCATATGTTATCCGAGCAAGGTACGATGTAATGTAGTCAGGAGGTGGCACAGAACTTCTGTCAGGCTCTTCAAACCGTAGCGAATACGACGCCGTAGTATGTTGAAGCAAATCTGCTCACAGGTAGAGAAACTAGGCGGCGTCGGAAGAAGTCTCGAGCATAGTCTAGCCCCAGAGAGAATGGGCCCGAACAAAACAGCGCCAGCGCGAAGGAAATCATGTTTTTCATTGAAGTACAGTCAACAGCTGACATAGATGCCTGCCCAAACTACCCATCCATGGTTGAACTGACGAGGGCCTACGCAATGGGCATCCAACCGTGTGCTGTCAAGTTACATCATCACTGTCGTGCGCAACGGGAACACAACCAATCTGCCGATAGCCTCCCGTTGCGACGCAGACGAGCACTTCGTAAGACCCAGCAACCAGGGCCAAATAGACACCAATGGAATCGAGCATCGGACGCCGCTAGCGGTGGGTCGGACTAACTCAACGATGAGAAACCTACCTGAGGAAATGTTAGTGCTGCCTTGACAAAACAAGAGCGACATCTTTGCTGCAGTGATTCCCTCAGAGATCTTGGTGTAAAATGGGTACGATCATTTCAATCGATCATTTACTATCTAGTGCATAGTGGTGTAATCATCGGGAAGTCCGCGGGGGAGGTGTTCGTACCTGAGATGGTCCGCAGCAACAGAGACGATAGTGGCATGCAAGCAAGCAGCATGCTTGCTATCCACAAATCAACGGCCTGGCAACCGGAGATCTACTTCATCTGTCAGTCAAGAATTCATACCAGATGCCAAGTGAGAAGAGAATCGATCCATGTGAACTTTCAGCATATGTAAGAAGTTGAATATCATGTCTCCGCCGCTGTTGAGAGTCTCCGGCGAGAGACTCCAGTGACAGATTCAATCGCAAATTATAACATCATGAAAAGAATGAGTGGCTCAGAACGTGATGGTACTTACTCTGGATTAGTGTTGACAACTACAGAACTGTCATTCACCATCAGTAACAAGCGAGACATGAGGGAGCATTGTGCAAAGGCATTAAACACATCATTCAGCGATGTAGCAAGAGTGCAGACAATGTTTGTGATCGAACATAGAGGTGTGCATTAAAGAAGGAGAAAACTTCTGTCCTTGCAGCTAAAAAGGTCCTGGCCAGCTGCAGAATTTAGCACTAAGCCGAGAATGGCATTTAGCCAAGGACTAGTCTTGGCAAAAAGTCGATCTTGGCGTTCACACACTATCGGCTTGAGAATTGCGACCGGGCACTTTGGATCTCGACGGCGAACACAATCAAGGCGACAATCACATTTCCATATTTTTCTTGTATGCTTATCTACCTCTCTCCCTTACGATCCACACACTGATCAACCGCGCACAGTCTCTTCGCGAAAATGTCGAACGTCGATATCAAGGTCGCCGGATGGAAGTTGGTCGAGGTCGGACGCATTGTCACTATCCGACAGGGCCCCTTTGCTGGCAAGCTGGCCGCTATTGTTGAGATCATCGATGCTGGAAGAGTACGTTTCAAAGCCATTGATGTGAGAGAGTAGGCTGACTTGAGTTTCTCAGATCCTTGTCGATGGTCCCTCAACGAAAGAAGACGCAGTCGTGCCCCGACAAGCCATCTTCACCAGCACAGTCACTTTGACCCCTTGGGTGATCACCATCCCAAGATCTGCCGGTACCGGTGCCGTCAAGAAGGTGTGGGAGAAGCAGGAGGTTGACAAGAAGTGGTCCGAGTCATCGTGGGCTAAGAAGAGAGAGCAAGCCGACCGAAGGAAGAACCTGACAGACTTTGAACGATTCAAGGTCATGAGATTGAAGAAGCAGGTAAGAATCACCTCGGTATTTCGCCAACAGTCACTCGCCTACCTGACTCTGGTCGTAATTTGACAAATGACATCTGCTGACGATCAGGATGAATAGCAACGATTCGAGACACTGAAGGCGCAAGCCAAAGTTCGGGCGACGGCAAAGGCATAAACTAGGCATTGTTTCGGCGTCATATGAAAATTCACCGGTTCAAAATAACAAGACAGATGGCATGCGGGCTGTGGGCATGTCGCTGAGACGACCTCAGTGATGAGGGTGACAAGATTGTTCGTGGCTGTGGCTATTCTGCTATTCCGCCCGCGCGAGCATCTCTGAGAGCATGATCCAATAAATTCATGAAACTCAACACAAAGATTTGACATGATACTCAGTAACAGGGCGTCGTTCTGTGTAACGCGACTTGAGCTCGAAAAATATTCAGGCGTTCAGCCAGACATTACTCTTTTCCAACTGTCTACACGAAATATCTCTCATACTGTTCGTCGTTGCTATGCTTCAGAGCCCGGGCTACCTTCAGCTACTCCGGCCCTATTTTCATGGTGCATCTGGAGTCTTGGTTATAAATCGCATGGTCACCAACTGTCATGGTGCTTTTAGATCTGTCGCTTGGCCATGCTTGAGCATACCCAGGAGCCCTTCACCTCTTCAAATTCGATATCTAACAGCTAGAACTCTCATGATGTAGTCGCCGCTCTAAGTGACAATACCAACAGCTCCGGCGTATTGGGTGCTGTAGAGAGGCCATCACGTGACATGATGCCGCCAAGGATTCGATCATCGAAGCGGTGCACATCGAATACAGCTTCACCACGACGGACACACAAAATCCGATTTGACACCACTACGCACCTGGATATAACTGTGAGGCTCCCTGCTGTGACCCGGCAATTTCACAGACTGTTGGATAAAAAATATCCCCGAGTTCTGCCTGCGAGACTGCGGACACGATATCCCGACCTCATATGCTCTTTTCGCTAACCAAAGCTCTGGCGCAGGCTTCACTCCGCTTCTTACATCCCGAACGACCTTGGCCTCCATCATGTCGAACCCAAGAATAGAAGAGCTCCCTGACGATGAGCCCACCAAGAATACCCAAGCCGATGATGCGTCCAGCTCATCAGACTCCGAAGCCGAAGGTGCTGGAGAAGGTGAAGCCTCTATCCCAGCTGGATCAGCAGTCGCAGTCCATAGCCGAAATGAAAAGAAGGCACGCAAGGCCATTGGCAAGCTGGGTTTGAAGCACGTCCCAGGCATTACCCGTGTTACCTTGAGAAGACCAAAGGGAGTAAGTTATCATCCCCACGATCGCATTCTCTTCGATTCCCTCCCTGAAGAGTCATTGCGCATCTCGCGAAGCGATGGCTGACACAACTTTTCACAGGTTCTCTTCGTGATCTCCAACCCTGACGTCTACCGATCCCCCACCAGCAACACCTGGATGTAAGCTAGCTCTAATTTCTTCAACTCCCCCGATATCTAACGCACTGTAGCATCTTCGGTGAAGCCAAGATCGAAGACCTCAACTCCCAGTCGCAAGCTGCCGCTGCTCAACAACTTGCCGCTGCCGAAGCCGCCAACGCTGAGCACGCCGGCCACGACCACTCGCACGACCACGGAAAGGGCAAGGAACCTGAGAAGAAGGCCGAGGAGGATGAAGACGACGACGAGGAGGTCGACGACAGTGGACTTGAAGCAAAGGACATTGAACTCGTCATGACGCAAGCATCCGTGTCACGAAAGAAGGCCGTCAAAGCACTCAAGGAGAATGGCAACGATATAGTCAACTCCATCATGGCGCTAAGTGTATGATCAAAACCAGCAATCAAAAGTGCGGGATTTGGACTTTTAGGCTCATGGTGCAAATGATCCAGAGCAGTTGACGGCCTAGTTTTATCTGTTGCACCGTCTGTACACTGAACATGGCATACTAGTTTATGCTTCTAGATGAGCGGAAAATACAAAAATGCTTGTCTTGCCAGTTAATCTTAGATGTAAAGTGTTTCGAGTCTTTGCGGTGCGTATTGCATGAAGAAACCGTGCTACGCACAGGACTTCTGTGGGTACTGACTGCTAATCACTGTCTAACCACGTGATCTGTCCGTATCAGGCATGTTCGCCGAGCCCAGGGACGAGAACGAAGCCGGACCTTCAAACATCACTTTAGAAAAGCTGCACCGACCGACTCTCCCCTCCACCACAACCACACCATACCGCCAAAATGGCTGCTTCAGTACGTCCCGAAGCTCGTGCAGGGTCTGGTTTAGCTCCGGACTGCGCAAAATCATCGCCCCGACGGCGTTTTGAAGTATGTCACTGACGAATATCTTCTCGTTTCTAGTCCCGCGCAGTTTCGAAGCTCGATTGGAGCAAGGTCGGCACCCAACTCGGCCTCCGAGGCAGCACTGCGACGGCGCTGGCCAACTTTAAGAAGCGAAACGACGACGCCCGACGCCGCGTGCAGGTCCTTTCCGAGCAGCCCACGACGGTCGATTTTGCCTACTACCGCAGCGTGCTCAAGAACACGGCCGTTATCGACGAGATCGAGCAGTACTACAAGTCGTTCCAGCCCAAGACGTACGACGTCAGCAAGCAGATCAAGGCGATTGAGAGCTTCGAGCAGGTCGCCATCAAGAATGCCGAGGAGACGAAGTCCAAAGTCGAGGTCGAGCTGAAGAGCTTGGAGAAGGCCTTGAACGACATCGAGGGCGCGAGACCGTGGGAGGAACTCACCGTCGACGAGATCACCGCCGCCGCTCCCGAGATCGACGAGTACACTGCCCGCTTGGTCAAGAAGGGACGATGGATGCCTCCTGGATACTTGGTACGTCCGCTGATGCGCCTTACACCTCCCCGAATCAAGATCGGAATCGGTGCAGGGGTCGACGCCGATCCCCCGTGCGAAAATGTTGGTATTGCTAACACACGTGTGATTCACAGGAGAGATTCCCGAACTTGTCGGTGCTGTAAGAAGTGGTCCGGGTGCAATGCAAAAAGGAAAAAACCGGGCGTGCCATGGCTGCTCTTTTCTACCCGCAGAAGAAACCCATCCTCTACTTTCCACATGGACATGGACTTGGGGATTTGTGTATAGTGATAGTGGTTTAGATCAGACAAAAATTGTTAAACAACAAACACCTTACCTCACCTTTCTCCCACTGTTTTCTTTCATGCCGGCACACTTCATCTTCCATCTCAGCACAGCCGTTACAGCGACATCAGGTAGGAGAGATAGTCAAAGATGGGTCGAGCAAATCCTAGTTGTATTATGAGCTACAGAGGTGACTCGACACACAAAAAAAACCACTGTACGACCCCTTTCCTTCCGAGACCCTTCCTCTTAAGAGTCTACTTTTCCCATCCAAGTACCCTATATTTTGCGTCCTAGGAACTTGAGAAACCTCACAAACCAGAGTCTTCCTGGAGGTACTGCGCGGTAGCATAGTACTTGTTCCAGCTCTTGCATTCGTCATGCCACTCCTGCTTGATACCCAGCTTGCTACGGATATAATCGGGCTGCTCCAAGAACTGGGCTCCGAAACCCAGACTGACGTGGAAGGCGATGTGGCAGTGCATGAGCCAGGCGCCGGGGTTGTCCGTGATGAAGGCCAGGACGAGGTACCCGTTCGCCGGCAACAGGGCCACGTCCCGCCGCGGCGGGTTCTTGTAGTTGAGGGTCTGTGAGTTGTTGTACACGCCCGAGTCGGCGCCGAGGACGTAAAAGTCGTGGCCGTGCAAGTGGATGGGATGCGGCTGGGGTGGAGCTTGGGTCTGCAGCGCCTGGATGACCCAGTAACTCCACGTGTTGGCGTTGGGCAAGCTGATCAGGTTCATGCTGGTCGGGAAGTTGGTGTTGTTGTCGAGCACGTACTGCAGAGTAGGATCGCCCCAGGGGACGTTGATGGCGTTAAAGTCCAAGTTCCACTGCACCTGTGTCTGCTGGGCGGCGTCTTGCACAATGGCGAACCCGACCTCGAGGTGCGACGACTGCGGGATGGTGTAGTTGTCTGGTACGTCGAGCTTGACGTACGGGACGAGGCTCTTGTTCGGGTCGGAGCAGTCTGGAGCACCGGCCGGCGCGTTGGAACGAGTCGCATTGGATGGTGTGGCTGATGTGGCCCCAGCGTATGTGAAGATGGCGAGCGCGTTCTTGTTCAGGTTATTGCTGCAGCCGGTTTGGGGCACGACGTGGAACCAGTAGCTATCGACGGGCTGGTTGGCCTCAATAATAACGTCGTAGCGCTGGCCGATCGCCAGGAACAGCCATTTCGTCACGAACGGTTTGATGGGGACAAAGTCTGCCGTCACAACTGTGAAATTGTGTTCGTCGAGGCCGACCTTGAAGTTGTCGTTGGTTGAAGTGTTGATGAGGCGGAGTTTGTACTTTTTCCCTTTGGTCAGCGTAGTGCGACTGTATTTGCCGACTGTGCCATTGACCTTGACGTTGGTGCCATTGATGAGGATGTTGTCGCCTGGTGGTGGACCTCGAATGACGGCATGCTGCACCAGGGGCGCAATCTCGAACGCAGGACGATAATACCAGTCGGTTATGGGGTACGTGCCGAGATCGATGTCATAATTCGATGTGGTAGGACCATCGATGATGATCGTCCCGACTACACCGTCGGAGTACTGGTCGGAATAGTGGCTATGGAACCATGTCGTGCCGAACTGTGTGCACAAAAAGGTGTATGTGCGAGTCTGGCCTGGCGCAAGAGGGCACTCGGTTACACCGTTTGTACCATCCATGTGGTTAGAGTACCACTGTCGTACACCGTGCCAGTGTATACTGGTGCCATTGGTAGTGAGGCTGTTCTTCACCCGAATCTGCAATGTGTCCCCCCACTTTGCTCGGATGGTAGGCCCAGGAAATTGGTTGTTGATCGAGTAGACAACCCTCGGAACTCCATCGGGAGCCATGGTGGTGTTTGTAATCTCGAGGTCATAGTATTCGGTGTGGTGCGTATTCGGCCATGTGCTGTCGTAGTTGGTGGCAATGCTGAACCCATTGCCCCAGCATTGGCGAGTGAAGGGCCCGTTCGTGCATTGGGGGTCGGCCTTTTTGGTGCTGGTAGCTGAGCTGCTACTGCTCGTGGATACCTGTCTCTGTACAAGATCGCGCGGAAGCTGAACGAGTTCCGCAGTCGGAATAAAGGCAGCAAAAGAGCGGCAGAATAAAAGCGAAGAGAGTGACAGAAAGAGAAACATAGCGAGTGACTTGGTCGGAGCCATTATGTGCTGGGAAACAGAGGCAATGAAGATAGGCTTCTGTCACATCGCGACCTCTTCAACAGGAAAGTCACCTTCATATCGTTCTGTGAACTGCCAGTCTAGACTTCGACTCGCACCGATATGCAGGGGGCAAATTTACCATGCCTTGGGCGCGTGGTACACGTACATTGTATGTCTTACCTCCTCGTTTCTGGCTGCATCACACCGTGACACAACTAGGGGTGAATATGTTTCTCAAGATAATCACAAGGGACGGCCATCGAGTCGTTGAATTCTTCGCCGGCGAACACGAAATGGTCGCGAAATAGTGGCTTAAAGTGACCGAGACAGGATCCAGATGGCAATTTCATCGGAAATACGACTTAAACATTGATGTTGTTTCCGGATGGATTACGGCTTGATGCATACGATTCCGAAGTTGTCGAGAACGTGAGGAAGCAAGGACAGGGTCAACATACCTTAGTCCCGGGAATCTTGGCGCTTCTTCCCCCTTACAATGGCCATTGTCGCTGGTCCTTCTTTTCCCTTCCCCCAGTTCTGTTTGCGATATTGGACAACTACACCTTGTGACTCCTTGCGGTGTGTAATCCACGCTCCAGGATCCCTTGTCAGCTTCCTTGGATTCAGAAGTTGCTGGTCTTCCGACTTTCTTCAGGAAATCATGCCCAATCTCCACCACCTCTTTGGTCACACAGCTTTGACATTTACCCTCCAGGACATCAGGTAATACCCAGTATTGCAAGGGAAAGCTTGCGATGCTCGTGGGTCGCCTTTATGTTTTGAACCTGAGTGAGAGATTGCGCCAGCCTCCGTTGCCTGAGACAAAGCCATCACAAGTGAAGATACTCCCCTTATATTCCTTGCTTGCTATACACCGCCCTGTACCTTCATGTCTGCACATGCTCAGCCGGGTGGCTTTCGTTTTGGTCTTGCCTAACTTCGTAAGGGTTGTTTACTCCATGGAACATGTAAGGGGAAGATGGAAAGACTCTAGACATTGGGTTTTTCGCCAGCGGATTTTGATATATATTGTCCATGTTACCCACGACCTGTTAAGATCTCTATTCTTTCGTTCACGTCCAATTGACATCATGCATTCGTTTACTTTCCCTGTTTTGATTGTGTTAACTGTGCTACGGAGAGCTTCTGCAGACTGTTATTCGTTTGGAGTTGATTATGTTGATGGTGGTGGTCCCTACTGTATCAATACCACCTCTACAGACTATTTCTCATTCTTGTCAGACTTCGAGGGCACGTCTGGCGACTTCTGATCTATCTCTCCATGCTGACAGTAATCAGGCTGCCAACCAAGTGACAGTCAAGGAGACATCACTCCGATCCTTATCGATCCCAATGGAGATGAGTACTTCTGCTCCGACGTTCCAACCATGCCAGATGATGTTGATATGAAATCCACTTGGTACAAGCCCCCCCCTTCTGGTCCTTCTATGCTGGTACTGACGTTTTATCTGTAGCAATGTGGATGGCAACCAGGTCACCAAGAATAAGATGTTCTCAGGGAACTGGATGGTCGTCATGGAAGGACTGACCTTCGCTTGGATGCGGACCTTTGAGATTGTTGCCGGTCCGCCCGTGACGATCACCTCGACGCCCACAGCCACATATACTATCACGAGTACCCCAAGGGCTACTGTCACGACTACGAGCACCGACATATACTCGACAACGTTATCACCATTAACCGTTACGGTGCCATCCAGCACCTCGACCAGAACAATCACGACCACACCGAAACAGGTGACTGTCGACTCGACGTCAACATCAACTCGTACTCGTATCTCGAGGACCTGGTCCGCGACTGTCACTACGACCACGGTTACTGTCTCGTGTCAGCCACAAATTGTAAAGAGAGACCCTACTTGTACGATCCGCCCGACCAAGGCAACCCTGGCAGCTGCCTCCAATACAACATACCCCGCGCCCCGAGGACGCTTTTTCCGTGGCGCTCCTAGACGAAGTAGGCGTAGGGAAGCTTTTGTTGAGCCAAGAAGAGAAAATCAGCTCTTTGAGCGAGGAGCAGGTACGTTGCTGTAGAGAACACCACACACGACTATTCTAAGTTCTCGTTCCAGATGTCTGCACAACAACGGTTCTCCAGACGACTCAGGTGATATCTTCATATGTGACGGTGACTGCACCAACAAGCACCGAGTTCATCACAGATATTGTGACATCAACTTCTACTATGTAAGGACACTGTTTGGCGCATCGGATAGGTGCCTTGTACTGACTTTGTTAGCACACCGGCCCCAGTGACCGCCTTCTCTGGCATTGTCAACACCACAATCACAGTCACTGCGCCAACCCCAACTCGCACTCGAACGAAGAGAGCCTATGTGACTACCTGGACTACCAGGACTATCGTGGCTACGTATGGACCCCACAAAGATGCTCATCAAGGCTGCAAGCTGACACTAGACAGCATTACATCCACATTGAAGACAACCCCTTCAGGCATGGTATGTGCGACGAAACCGGGGTGGCGAAGGCATCATCGAAGTCTATCGATATTGTGAGCACACAGCTGGGGCAAGACTGTACGTTGTCATGGTCCCAGGTCGAATTCTGCGTATAGCGTGCAATATGACGAGGGCAGTAGCTGCATGGACTTTGCCTTTTTGTTTATGTCTCTATTCGTAGCTGTGTGGATGATTGACTACAGTTCTCCAACATGGACTAGAATGTTTGCCCGGAAGATTGATCTTGCGAAAATGCAGAGCGATGGAGGTTCTCGCAACCACAGGGTACGGTAGTGACCAATCGGAATGCACAATTCCTCTATTTGTGGGTAAAATGGGTGTTGAAGGCTCCGACGGGTCAATTGTTCCTCCGACGAGGCTCCCAAACTTCTCCATGTCAACAGTCGATCTATCCGTCCTTCACACCCATCGTTTCTTCAACACAGACATTGACGCAGCCCCCAATGATGGGACTCTCAACAATGTCAAACTATTGTGCCGTCGCTGTAAATCTTAACTTTGCGAGGAGCCTAGATTGCAGTGAAGTGTTGCTTTTCGCACGAAACAATCCTGTAGGTGAAAATGTATAAAGATGCTGGTTAACTCGAGTGAGTCGAAGAGGACACTAGCCAAACAGAAACACATCCCATCAAAGTCCTCGACCTCGATAGTTTGAAACAACAATACTGTCTAAAAACACAAAGTCGTAAACGTCTCTCTCATCTCCAATTGCGGAACGCCCACCAACAAAGCAAACCATTCAATCGCGCCAAAGTTTCTAACACCATGACTTCCACATCGAGGACTCACACCGTGGCTTTTTTCGGCGCCACAGGCGGTGTTGCCAACGCCATTCTCGTGCACACCTTACTCTCAGGGCACAGAGCGCTCGCGCTGGTCCGTACACCGTCCAAACTCCGCGACCAGCTTAACGCACAAGGTCTCGAGGCGGCGGTCATCGATAACAATCTCACCATAGTGCAAGGGAACGCGCTGGACGTGGCGAACGTCAAGGAAACCCTGCTGGCATCCCCTGACGGTGCGTTTCCCACATACATCGTCACCGGGCTGGGCGGGACGCCGAGCCTCACGTTCGACTGGTGTCATCCAGGCCACATCGCGACACTCGACAACCCGACGATCTGCGAGACGGCGGCCAGGACGCTCGTCGCAGCGTTGCGCGAGATTTACACGAGCAAGGAGGCACCTCTCCAGGCAATCGCTAAACCGGCCTTGGTTTTCGTCAGCACCACAGGAATCAGCAGGGGCGTCGAGGACGTGCCGTTTGCGATGCGGTTCTTTTACCATCAGGCGTTGGCGGTCCCGCACATCGACAAGAAGAAGATGGAAGACGTGTACCGGGGCGAAATGGAAAAGGGCGAGGGCGAGGGCGTGTTCCGAACCGTCGTGGGCATCCGGCCAACGCTGTTGAGCGGGAGCGTGAATTACAAGGATGTCAAGGGCCTCAAGAGCCTCAAGGTAGGGACGGAGAGTAAGCCCGCTCTTGGTTTCAATGTCAAGCGTGCCGACGTGGGACATTGGGTGTATGAGAATGTCATCAGCCCCAACGCCACAGGACAGTGGGATGGTGAAATGGTTTCGTTGACCAGTTAGTTGAGAATTCGGCACATATATAATGCGAGGATTATTCACGGATTCGGAATGGATGAGAGCGACATACGAGAGATCACTGCGGAGTACGGATACTTGAGGATATCAGGCATAGATACTAGCACCAAGCAATTATATTTTTCAAAAGGTCATGCAATAATTCATTAAACTGCTAGCTAACATCACCACTGGCTGCTTCTCTAGAAGTCCTTGTGCTGTGCTGCTAAGGGTATCGATCGTAATGGTACACAAAAAGCCACCTTTGTCCAACTCAACTTGCTTCGCCAAAGCAACACTCTGCTGTATATGACGGTACTCGGGCTCATGGAGATTCTGTAGAGTGTGCGTGTTGTGTGTGTCTGTGTTGGACGATAACCACTCCCCCTCCTTCTTGCGCTGTGCTGTGCTGAACTTCTCAAGGTTCGCTCGGACTCTCTCACATTCGTCGAGCCTGATTTCTTGTTTTGAGAGTCCTCCGATCAAATTGTACTTGTCGTATGCGTCCTCGTCCTACGGTGTCGTCGAGTGCGGCCGCAGGTGAGGCATGAGATGATGATGTCGAAGAGGGACACAATGCCGTTGACAATGGCGGTGATGATCGAACCAATGCCGTTCACGATTGCCATTAGCACTGAGCCGATTGTCCGGCAGATGGATTCGAACTGGTGGAAGGGAAGTGTCAGCATGTGTCACGGTGAGGAGGCGCTGAAGCGGGCAGAGGTGGGTGACTTACGCAAGAGACGACAGCACCCATTGTGGCTTATCTTGTCGAGGTTTTGTGTAAAGTGTGAGTATGTGTATGCTTTGGAGTAAGAGACACAAGGACGGAGTTGGTGGGTTTTATGGTGAGATGTTTGGAGCGAAGAGTGTCTACAGGAGAATATTCACGGAGCAACTTATAAGTAGGCGAGGAATGAATGGCTGCCCGCCGTCCTTTCGTGTGTAACAAGATCAACCAACTACATCATATCTCGTCTCACAAGAGACTGGTCCAACTACCTTGACCTCATATTCTATAGTATCTTCGATCAATCGGGCTTTCTAAACTCAATACATTCTAGTGCGGGAGCCACCTACACATGGAAATGTCGTCGCATCCAATCTGAGAACGAATTCGAGTGTCGTTGATCTGGCAATGACGTGGGCGGGTGATGTTCAATCTCGTTTGGGCACCTCATCAACAATTGGATCCCATTTGCATCCCGTTGGCCTTGGACTCCCAGCCTGACCATCTGCATTGTGGCAACGATCTCACTTTCTCGTCCAGCCATCTCCACCCCCTATCGTTGCGCCATCGACCAAAGCGGAAGTGTTGAAGCATAACATGACAAGTGTCTCGCTACGAGCCACTCACAGCAACGCAAGACCGTTGCATGGAGGTTTGAAGCCGTTGGAAAACAGGGAATTCCTGGCGCAGTCTACGTCAGTGGGGGGATCCTTGTTGGCGGCTGTCGATCGTGCAAACCTTATGTCATAGATGTGGCGTTAACGCTGCGGATAACTGCTCCGGCCAATCAATTAATCTTTGTCCAGCCGCATATCCGAGACCAAGACTCGCAGCTGTGGCGGTGCGTCTTCCCGCTGCACGAGAGAGAATCTGTCCCTCCACCAATGGCTGAGAGATCAAGATGTCGGCGCGGTACGTTTCCATGGTGGAGCTGATAGCCTCACTTCACGACAGCTGCGCTCCGTATGTGTCTCTGTTCGCCCTTGGGACGCTGTCTGCTGTGATTGTGTTGGTGACGGGCAGATTCTTCGTCACACCACGCGAGGATGAAATCCGCTACACTATCCCGGTACCTGAACAGCTGCGTGCTGGATACCCGGAGCAATGCAAGGTTGAGGAGCAGGCGCAACAGGAAGATATAGTAGGCTGTCATGTGTGCGACTGGAAAGGTCTCGATGCTAAGACGTGAACCAGATCCGCGCTGGGAAGATATACCCCAGTTGCCCTGCCGATGGTCGCCCTCTCGGAACCCCCATCCAGCCAGCAACTCCCTCCATTATAGATGCTGCCATATCTGAAGCAGCTCGAGCCCAGGTTGAATGGGCGCATACGACCTTCTCCCAACGACGCCGAGTCCTGCGCACCCTACTCCGATACGTTCTTGACCACCAAGACGAAATTGTGGCCGCGTGCTGTCTTGACAGCGGGAAGACCAAGATCGATGCTTGCTTCGGGGAAATCCTAGTTACCGTCGAGAAATTACAATGGACGATAAAGCATGGAGAACAAGCACTGCGGCCCTCTAGGAGGCCAACCAACCTTTTGATGTGCTACAAGTCCAACACCGTCGTGTACGAGCCACTGGGCGTGGTAGCCGCATGCGTGAGCTGGAACTATGCCTTCCACAATTTCATATCCCCCATCATATCTGCTCTCTTCGCCGGCAATGCCATCATCGTCAAGCCAAGTGAGCAGACATGCTGGAGCACCTTCTACTTCACCGATGTCGTTCGAGGAGCACTGCAGGCCTGCGGCCACAGTGGGGACCTTGTGCAAACCGTCATCTGCCTGCCAGAAGTTGCTGACCATCTTACCAGTCATCCTGGTCTGAGTCACATAACCTTCATTGGCAGCAGGGACATTGCGCACAAGGTCTGCTCATCAGCTGCTAGAGCATTGACTCCCGTTACGGTTGAGTTGGGCGGGAAAGATCCTGCGGTCGTACTCGATGATCCACAGACGGCCAGAAGCATCGATGATGTAGTCTCGATTCTGATGCGCGGCGTATTTCAATCGGCGGGGCAGAACTGCATCGGCATCGAGCGCGTCATTGCTCTCCCTGGAGTCCACGACAGGCTCCTGGAGGAAGTCCGACACAAAATCTCTAGACTGAGGCTGGGTTCGGTGCTTCTCGACCAGCACACACCAGACATTGGCGCCATGATTTCCAGTCGAAATTTCTCCATGCTGGAAAATCTTATCACAGATGCTGTAGAGAGAGGCGCGACGTTACACTGCGGTGGAAAGAGATACGTCCACCCGAAATACCCCGGTGGCCACTACTTCGAACCAACCTTGCTCAGTGGCGTCACCAAGGATATGCCGATTGCGCAAAAAGAGCTATTCGCACCGGTATTCCTACTCATGCGGGCTGATAGCGTGGATCAAGTCATTGAGATTGCCAATTCAACCGAGTATGCCTTGGGAGCTAGCGTCTATGGCCATAACCGGGGGGACGTTGCGAAGTGCGTCAAAGAAATCAAAGCAGGCATGGTTGCCGTCAACGATTTTGGCGCATACTATGCGTGCTCCATGCCCTTTGGCGGCGTCAGGGGTTCGGGCTACGGACGGTTCGGTGGCGACGAAGGCCTACGCGCACTGTGTAACGTCAAGAGCATATGCGAGGATGCACTATGGGCAAGGACGTTGGGTATTCAGACGAGGATACCGCCAAAGTTACAATACCCCGTCAGCGAGCATGGCTGGGATGTGTGCAAGGGCGTAGTTGGCACCGGGTACTCTCTGGGGTTGGTGGAACAAGGACAAAGTGTCTTTGACCTCCTCAGAGCATTGTTGCGCAGGGAGTAACTGGAGAGCTCCAAAGTTGCAGGCTTCACATATCAGAGTACAGTACTGAGATGGGGAGCAAAATAGCCAGATTCTTATGTATCTACACTACGTACCTGCTGCGTAGAAGATACAATATACACTACTGGGTAGTTAGAGTTGTCGAAGTTGAGCTCACGTGGGTGATTCAATTCATTCCATGCTCATCGCGTCTTCCTTTCTCTATCTGTATATCTCTGCACAACGCGTACAAATTGATCATTCAAGGCAGTTAGGTATCTGGCGATGCTTTTTCTATGTAGGGACTATGGAGGAGTAATATGTCCCCAACCAAAGAAGGAAACAAATGACAAGGTGGTCAACCTTTTTTATTCTATTTTTCATGACCATGAGATGCCGAGCATGATGGCAGCTCCGACGAACATGGCGCCGAACTGCAGAGCCGTCTTCTTCAACTCGGCGCCCTTGTCGGAGCCCGTATCCAGCAGCTCGGGGATGACAGCCACGGTGCCCACGTACAAGAAGGTGCCCGCGGTAAAAGGAAGCAGCATGTCCCCCCACTGCAGACTCGTGCCCCAGATGCCCTTGGGCGCCGCACCGGCCGCCAGGTCAGCGGCAGCACTCGCGCTGTTGCCGCCGTACTCCTGCACGAAGATGCCGATGCACGTGCCGAGAAACGCACCCACTGCGGTCACGAACTGCGCGCCCATGGCTTTGCGCTTGGAGAAGCCCGACTGGATGAGGAGTGCAAAGTCGCCTACCTCGTGGGGGATCTCGTGGAAGAAGACGGCCATGGTCGTCGTTGCGCCGAGCGCCGGCGACGCGTAGAACGAGGACGACAGCGCGAGCCCGTCGGTGATGTTGTGCGTGAAGTCGGCGATTAGGTTGAGGAGGCCCGCGAGCTTGACGGACGGGTTGATCGGGTCGGCTTGGGTTTGTTGTTGTTGCGGTTTGGGAGTAGTTTCCTTTTCGCCCTTGGGGGATTTGTCGTTGCGCTTGCGAAGTTCGCCGTTGGATTTCGATGGGGTGCTACTGCTGCCGCTGGTGGAGGCGCTCCCGTTCGAAGAAGCGGCCGAAGAAGAGGAATGCTCGTGCGAGTCACCGTGGCTGTGGCCGCCGTCTCCCCCTGTTGCAATCCGCAGGGCCTTGTCCATGGCCATGAAGGTGACCAGGCCTACTATGATGCCAACGCCCAAGAGCAGGTTGCGGTTGGGTTCGAGCATGACAAACTTGACACGGTCGGGGTGGTCTTCACCGAGAAAGATCTCGGGTAGGAGGTGGAAGAGAGTGTCGCCCAGCAGGCCACCCACCGCGAATGCCACCATGACGCTGAGGCTGGACGGGTCGATGTTCGGAGGGCATAGTGCCAGAAGGAAATTGGGAGGGCCCGAGATGTAGGCTGTCGCCAGGAGAGAGTTGATGGCTGGCGACGAGGAGGGGAAGAGGACAGCGAAAAGCTGCGAGGTCCATGACTTTTGGGAAGGTGATGTGCGGATTTTATGCTCGGCCAGGTTCTGAACGAATGCACATTTCTACAACGGGGCGTCAGCAATCGAGGAGCATAGAGACGTCTACCTGAGCTAAGGTGGTTGCGGCACTCTTACCTGGAGGTTTTCTTCAATCTCATCGAGACTCAGTTGGCCAATGTCTTTGCCCAGGAGAGCCTCGGCACAGACAGAGGCCGTCAGGCCGAGAAACAGTGCATATAAGCTGTAACGGAGCATACTGGGCGGTCTGAAGAACGAGGAAGCCATTTTGTGCGGCGCGTTGTGAGTCGTCTCTGTTGTCCACAGCGCAGCTGGCACACGACTGTCCCTCAGTACTCGTAGTGACAGATCCAAATGTTATCCTTGTTATCCTTGTCTGACAAAGCTGAGCTGTCTGGCGATTTGGGCTGTCAGGCCTAACCAATGCTGCCGTCAGACAAACTTCCCCAGTAGAGCAACTTTGGCGAGGAATCTTATCGCGATAAGGAAATTTATCTGCGCTGCAGCAGTTCTTTTCGACTCGCCGCAGCCGGAACGCAAAGAACGTCTTTCAACACAGACTCGTGGAGAGAATAACACAGTCACGATGGGCCGAGAAAGACAGAAAAAGAAGAATCGCTCTTCGATATCCAAAGCCAGACCACACTCCAACAGGACGAAGGCTGGGAAGAAAAGGGTGAACTTTTTAGGAAATGCAACTATTGCGCAGAATTGGTTTGTTCAGACCAGACCTGCCACCAATCTCAGGGCCAGTGACTAACTGTCTCCTAGGGATAGAAAGCTTACCGTATCACAAAATTACAAGCGTCTAGGCTTGTCATCAAGGTTGAATGGTGCGAGTGGTGGCACTGAGAAAAAACCAGGGCTTGACACCGAGGACGATGAGAACCAAAAGCGGGACTCTCTTGCCATTGCCGGACCACGGGCTCTCAACATGCAGACGACTCAAGAAGTCCAGGTTGAAAGAGATCCCGAGACCGGACGAATTGTTCGAGTCATCAGAGCAGAACCCGATGAGCGAGACAATCCTCTGAACGACCCTTTGAACGATATTATGGATTTCAATGATGATGGCGCTGCGAAAGATCGTCCGCAAAACAGCATCGTTGCCCAACTTGAGGCAGAAGCCGCAGCGGAGGAAGAATTGTTGGCTAAAAAGAAGCAGCCACGGAAGCAAAGTCAACGAGAGGAAGAGTGGATTGCAAGACTCGTGGAGAAACATGGCGATGACACCAAGGCTATGGTTAGAGATCGAAAGCTCAATCCTATGCAGCAAACAGAAGCAGATATAGCTAGGAGGCTGAAAAAATGGAAGGCAAAGCAGGAACACGGGACGTGAAGGCTCATCTCGAGAACTCATCTTACAGAACACACATCGACGTCTTCTACGGTTCGTCCTGGAAATTCCATGAGAGCTCGACAACTGGCGCTCTCGATATATGGTAATCTACTCTGACTGAAGCATTCGAATTATTGAAATGATGATAAGCGGTCGCCAAAGCAACATTCACCCGTGGGTTGTCAGACTCAGCGGCTCATTGTATCGACAGCTCTATTGCCAGGTGGAGGTTGCCACTTCGAATTTGACCACTTGGCCATCAATTCACAATGTCGGACATAAGACATCAAAGCTTGATTCATACTGAATCAATGACAACTACAGGAAACTGCCAGCCCATCTACAGGTGTGATCAGGGGTTCAGTTATCATTGGACAACGACGAGGTGCGGTGGCTTTCAAATGAAGTCAAGCTGCACCCGACCTTGGTCACACGCCTTTCATTTTCACCAATGTCTGCACTGCGTGACAACGTTTTGGAGCAGAATAATCACCGTCTGTTTGGGTTTGTTCTGTAAACGGAGGTACGTGATGAACAGGTTGGGTCCACATCGAGCGCCGAGCAAAATAGCTTCCGCCTTCAAATAACCAAGCGTGTTTCGCTGAAACTCCTCGTGCTCCTTTCCAGCATTCTCGGTGTCCGCAAAGCACGCGCATTGACATTGTGATGTTGGTTTTATACTAGAAAACTTCCGCACATCTTCTCAGACACGTTGAATCTGGGACACACCGGGCGGAATTTTGACTTCAAAACAATAAGAAGGAGAGCACTGCCCTCGGAATGAGTTGCAACATGTCAACATGTAGTAGGTGGTTTGCTTTCATCACAGGAGGGCGGTCGATAGAAAACGCTCTGCCAGGGTGACTTATCCTGCCGTACCTGTGTTCTACTCTCAGCCATTACTTCTATTCACCGCCCAATATGCTGACAATAGCAATCGCGCCGACGCGTCGTTCACGCCATGAGAACTTCACGAGACTCGTGGGCAATTTCTGCTTTGCAGCCAGATCCGTGAACCCACCAAAAGCTGCCACGATGGATAACAAAACCGAACAGTCTCTCTCGCCCTCAACTACAAGTGCCCCTTTGATACCTGATAGAATAACACCGGGTCTGTATCTCTCTGAGTAAGTCATGCCTGACAAGTGGATCTTCCGTTAGAATACCTAACAAGGAGATCAGTATCCATACAGCATGTGCGGTGTTGAGCCCCTACTACCCAGCGCCTAACAGACCAGACATCAAATACATTTTGTCGATCATGGACAAACCCGAACGCACGCCTTCGGTTCACCCGGAAGATGAATCGAAGTTTGTCCTCAAGTTCCTCAAGCTGCGGGATGTGAGCACCGACGACCTTCTTGAGATCCTCGGGGAAGCCTGCGAATTCATCAAAAGTAGTATGAGTAACGATGACGGCGGAGTTCTGGTACATTGTGCCAAGGGCATCTCACGCTCTGCATCTGTGATTCTTGCTTTTGTCATGGAGGATATGTGCCTGGATTACGATACTGCTTTGCGATATGTACGTCAATTTCGTCCTAGGGTCAAGCCAAATCTGGGCTTTGAAGCTCAGCTGAAGTTGTGGCACCGCATGGAGTACAGCATTTTCGAGGCGGATGGCACAACTCACAAGGAAGAATACAGTGTCTGGAAGGCAAACAATGAGCACGCCACCAAGGCCCTTGCCTTCAGGATCTTGGAGAAAGCCGGGGAATCGAACAAGAAGGATGGCACAACTTGAGGACAGATCACGGACACGTCTAATTGCATAGGCCAGTCGCCCTGGACCATGGACTACTCGGGGGATTTTCTTGGAGAGACTCGGCTCTCTACAGAGCATGGTGAGTGCTCTCAAGGTTGCTAGATCTGCAACATGTAAGGACTTGAGCACAATGCTACCCTCACAAGTGTAGCTGCGAGTATCCAGATAGGAATATGGGCAGGGAGGGGGAGGCTACCGTGTGGAGGTAAGCATTCTGCTTCGGATCTTCCACCAGACGCTCTGGGAATGGCAATCACAGTGCGGGAAGACGCTCGCTTCCTGGTTCTCTTCTGTAAGATTACAGACTGCGGTCTGTTTGAGGCACCTGGTGCAAAGCGCAGTTCACAGGGCATTTGGCTGACTGGTCCAGAGTGGCAGATACAAGCTTACTCCAATACTCCTCAAGCGGCCCGCCTTCTTCCTCTCCCAGCCTCCCCCACGAACACCGCACATTCTATTTTTTCTGCTTCATCGAGTCTTGTCTCTTCCTCTTCATCGATTTCCTCTCGCATTCTGCAAGTCCGACAATACTTTTCTGTATTGCTACGGAGTATCCTTATGTTAAGCATCCTACAGCAACAACTCTTCTCGGGTCTGCAGCAACACAACATTGCCAAAAGTCGTCAGGCTGCCGTGACATTCTCATACTGATACTGGTTTCTACAACGCCCTCATCATATTCTACGTTACTTCGTTGTCACAAGAGCACATTCTATCTCTCCCTGGTGTACCTCAGAGCGTTGTGTTGAGCGTCGTCTCTACGTTACTTCCACATTATCTTGACCCTGTATTGGGCGACTTCTTCGTCAGTCATTTTTCACCTGCTCGTTACCTTCTCCTTTTTCCGACGTCGCCTCTTCATTTTATCGTCGTCTTCCTTGAAAGTCGCCTCCTCGTCTTCTCGTCGCTTCTTCTCTGCGTCGTCTCTTTATTTCGGCGTCATCTGCTCACTACAAGATCTTCCTCTGGCGTCCAGTCTCTGTCGTCTCTTCTCTACCTAACCTACCGTTTTCTATCGTCGCTTCTTTGGTATCGGAACCAGAAGGGAAGCCAACCTCATATCAACGCAATCTTTGTTCTCCTCTTCTCCTCCTCGTTTCTCCAACCGTCTCGTCGTGTTTCAACTTTACGTTACCAGAAGTTGGCATCACGGTGCGGTGCGGTACGACGTCTTACAGTCACACTACAACACTTACACGCACAGAGCAACTGCAGTCGGATTTTTACTGGATAGCGACTTTGCCTTTGAGGTATTTGTCCTTTCCCTTTCTCTTCGCAACATCCGAAACATCCCTATACACAAAGACACGCACAAACGTACAAACAATCTACGGATACAAACTTTGTTTGCGTGAGTACTACTGTTGCCCCTTACGAGGAGTGATCTTGTGCTGCTTGGCCTGCTGCGCTACACTGCAAAGAGATGGGAGCCTGTTCAAACAAGGCAAACAGTGTCATTTCGCCAATATATGAGGTGCAAGGACCTGTCTGCTGTTCTGTGGAAAATCTTCCTCCCCAAGAGCACATTCGTACTGGGGTCAGTGCTAACAATGGCTATATTCAACTGCAGCTTGAGGATCTGGTGGCAGACGGTGGCCCGGCGGAGATCTCAAAACACTTCCGATCAGTCGCTTCTGCACGCTTTCATATCAACTGCAAAGGTTGCATTACTGTCTCTATGTTTTTGTTTCTGTAATGCTGACAGCTGATAGTCGTAGACCGATCTTTATCGTGAGTTCTGACCTTGCCCTCATTTCAGTCAGCCAATCCTCGTCACACCATCATCACATCCTCGTCACAGATGCAGACTTGTCCTCCTCACCTTACAAATGACGAAACATCTCCCTCGATAACCGATGAGCTATCGTCGGTTCAACCTGGCTATCCATGGACTGCTGCCTCGTGCGTCAGTACCCTGGTCTAAGCGACTAAGCATGTGGTCCTCACTATCAATGCACCCAGATTGCCGTCTATAAATATATCCATATATCTCTCCCTCTTCCTCTTCTACCACCATCATCGGATCTCCTCTATCATCATCGGATCTCCTCCACCATCTGATCTCCGCTTACACACATATAGCTCGACAGTCCCGTCGACCTTTATATCCTCAAAGCAGACCTTCGAGACATCCGAAAGCAAGATTGACGAAAAGTACTTTGTCTCTTTTCTCCGCTCCTACAAACGTCAAGATCGACGCCACTCAAAACACAACTTTGCTGCTTTATTCGCTTTTTGACAGTTGCACGCGAAATCTGTCTCTTTCACGGTGACAGACAGAAGTAAATAAAGTGAGTCTTCTTTTGACACAGCACCAAACACCCCTCCGAGACACAAAGCGGTCAAGTTCTTCATGGACACTTCATTCAATCGGCCATCCTTCTGTATGAGTGTTTGCATGCAATGTCATTCACGTTGCCTGATTTGCTGGGCACTGAGCAACCTGGAATCTGTGGATTGTGGTCTTTGAGGCAATCTGGTTCAAACGGTTCAGGTTTCAGCAAAATGGACTTCTCTGTCGCCTTCAAATCTCTGATCCCACCTACGGTCATGCTGAATGTGAGGTCGCAAATTGTACCAGCAGATGTGGTGCAGCCTTGTCTGTGCTGAGCTATGCGGAGCCACGCGGGTCTATGTCTACCTTCCTAACCAAGGGGCGCGGGTCCGCGCCGAGACCGACAAGGCTGACTCCTGAAAGGGGTTTCGTCCACCATCATGACCTTGGACCCTATGCGCGGGTCCAGCACGCGGAGCTGGGCATAACAACAAGGCTTGTGTCGACATGTGACACTACACTGTCTTTGTTTATCTTGTGCCAGACCACGAAGGACTTCCTCTTCCTGCCTTTTCACTCAAGTTTTGTCACTCCTTCCTTACCTACTATGCATCGCCTTTATGCTGCATAGCATGAGCATACTAACAATGCCTATAGTATTATTATCATATACTCACCCCATACCCGACAATACCAGAGCCACAATGGTGTCTACACGCTCCGGAACCAAGAAAGAGATCACGGCACAAGTTGCGGCGATTGATCGAGCGTGTGCGGCAAGATCGACCAAGCAGACGGCTATAACGGAGTTCTTTGTCAAAGTCGTTGCCAGGTCCACGGTAGTGACGGAAGATGGCACATCGAACAATGGCACTGTCATGGAAAGCGCTGTCAGTGTCACCACCTCGAACTCCAGCTTGACGACGGCTTCGGGATCAGTGGATTCTTCGAAGAGCGATGTGGCGTTGCAAATAAACTTGCACAATCACCAATTCACGTCCAGCACAAGCCCTGAAGAGAATGCACAAGTCTTGTCCGTCAAAGCCAACGGCAAGTCACCATCAACCCCAAGAAAGCCACTCAACGCCCGTGGCAAGAAGCGCCAGCCAGTCGAAAAAGGTATGTTCGGCTTATCTCGTGCAAAATACCACGTTCCTGACATGGCCTAGCTTCATCATCCACGGTCGTCAAGAAGTTGAAGGTGTCAGAGACCAAGGGCACGAAGGTCAAGACCGAGGATGTCGATGAAGAATTTCTTCCTGAGCAGACTGAACCGACCGTGAATCAGCAGCCTCAGTCTGAACGCCGTGTGCTGCGTCTAAGACCTCGCCGTGGGAAGGATCAGAAGACCGCTACTGAGGGTTCCAATGGTATGTTATACATACTAACGCTTTACAGATGGAGTACTTACTTTTGTCCAGTCGGTCAAAGCTATCCAGCGAAGATAGTCCTTCTTTCCCTTCCACCAGCAAAGCTCAAGGCCATTGTTGATGCTGCAGATCGCCAGGCTGAAAAAGATGCTCAAGGCACAAAAAAAGGAGCTAAGGCTCTCAAATCTGCTCAAGTGACTACCAAGCGGAAGCAGGGATTCAGACGTCCACGAGGCATGCCATACACGAACAACTACCAGTTTGCGTTCGGCGAGGACAGACTGCCAAACCACCTTGAACCCACAGCCGCAAGCATTCAAGAGGTCGCCAAGATCATGGAACTGGAACGCATGGATATGGTAAAGTCTGGCAAGGTTGCACCAGGAGCAGCGACGCCATTTCATGCCGGAAAAGGAATTAGTGCAGAGTCTCTTGTGCGCGTGATTCTGTCACAGGTGTGCACAAACGAAGCAGCTCTTGACATCCAGGCGACTATGAGACAGGCCTATCCGTACTGGGTCAACGGTCAGAAGTTCATCGGCAACTTCCCGAACTACCACAGTATGCGAGTTCAGAGTGTGGAAAAGCTTCGACAAGTGATCCAAGTTGGCGGATTCGCGTTCAAAGCCAAGTCAATCAAGGACTGTCTCGACATCATCTACGCAAAGAATGTAGCTCGCATTCCACCTGGAACAATTGAACATGCAGGAAATGAGCCCTTTGCGACCGATTTCGTACCCGGCTTGCTGTCCATGGATTACCTCTGGGACATTCATCAACAAGGTGGCAAACAAGCCGTCTTTGACAGCCTTGTTCAGCTTCCACAGGTTGGTGTCAAGTCAGCTTCTTGCTTGATGGCGTTCAACATGGGCCTTCCCGTGTTTGCTGTCGACACTCATGTTGAAAGCATGGCAAAGCTTCTTGGCTAGGTGCCAGAAGATTGCTCAAGCCTCCGAGACATGTGTAGCCATCTGGACACTCTTTTGCCGGACACGGATCTCAAGCTCCACCTCCACCAAGACTTCTGGCGACACCGACGAAACTGTGTGCGATGTGGTGGACAGGTCAAGGCTGGAGGATACAGATGGCAAAAGGCAAACTGTGTCCTGGAACACCTTGTGAAGCGAACAGGCATCACCATCAAGGACATTAGCGATGACGCAGTCGAACCAAAGAAAGCCGCAACCAAGAAAGGCGTCAGCGACGAAGCGCAGATTGCGAAAGGCTTGGTCAAGGCAAGCTACGTGATTGACGACGACTTTGATGCGGTCACGGGTGGAACAGGGGCTATACGAGAAGTCTGGATTCCGGATTACAGCATGGTGGACAGCGAGATGCAAATTAAGGAGGACGTGGTGGAATGTTGCAGAATGTGCACTGAGGAGGAAATTTGAGATTTTGCGAGATCTACGTGTGACTTAGAGGTGCTGTGAACATACAGGGCTATGGCGGGCAACATAGACACATATTGCTATGAAAAGTTATTGATTGCTTTGATTCAAACCAGCTCCTGATACACATCAATCACATTTGCTATGGAGGATATCATATCCTCACTGAGAATTAACCTAATTCATTGTTCCTGCATGTCCTCCTCCTACTCAATGCTCATACTGAGTGAGAAGTTCCTGGAGTTTCACCCCCGTATCAAGGCAATATGTACCCTCTGTGGAGTGGAAGCGAGCCGAATGGATATCCCTACGGCCAGCCGGGGTGCTATCTGTCGGGAGGACCTCGCACTGGCAATGCCACGATGGAAGCGGCCGGGTCGGCGATCGCCATGATGAGAAGTGTAAGCAGGTGAAGCTCAAGAAACAGCGGACCCTCGGAAGGCAGAGTCGATGGCAATGTCACCTTCCCCCACAGGCAGAGTGGTACTGTCGATGTCTTCCCACCGGGCATTGGATGCTCTCAGCAGCACTAGCACCGATCCGGACAAGGCTCTCAAGCTTAACGAAGCTTCGATAGCTTCTCTTATCTCTCTCCCAAGGTTACAACACCAGTCGGTTCTGTACCACAACATCTCTTCGTCGTCATCCAGTTGGCCCTGTCCTCGCCTCTGAGGCCCATCGACTGCGGCGAAGCTTTCCTCTTTGTGTTGCCATGGCCTGCGATTGCCACGCGGGGTTTGACGCTGGCTTTCGTCATAGCTCGCAGAGCTGTAAGAGCTATCCATCGCGAAGCTACCCTGCAAAATAGCGTTGTTCCTGGCCTGAGTGGCATGAGATCCAATGGAGCGCGGTAGGACAATGCGCTTGTTGAGCTACAGCAGGTAGGATTCCCCGGAGGAGCTACAAAAAGCTGCCTTCTGCCCTTTATCCTCCTGCATCCGCATTGCTGTTTGTGTTTTGTTCCAGCCTTCGTCTTCAAGCGACTCTCCTCCAAGATGTTGTCGCTACTCTCCTCTTCGGTCTTGCTGGCTTGTGCTGCCCAGCAAGCACTTGCTCAATTCGTGACCCCTCCCACGAATTTGACCTCGAAGAAAGGCTACGCAGGAATCAACGTCCGCTACAAGTCTGTCCCGGCAGGAATCTGCGAACAGGACCCCGATGTCAAATCCTACTCTGGCTACGCCGACGTGGCCCCCGGCGAGCATATCTTCTGGTGGTTTTTCGAAGCACGGAATGGAGATCCCTCGGAAGCGCCTCTGACCATCTGGATCAACGGCGGTCCCGGTAGTTCCTCCATGATCGGGCTGTTCCAAGAACTAGGGCCCTGCAACGTCGATGCCGACGGAAACCCGGTGAACAACCCATACTCCTGGTCGGAATTCAGCAACATGATCTTCATCGACGAGCCGACTCAAGTGGGCTTCAGCTACTCTACGCCCGTGCCCGCATACACCGATCCTGTGTCGGGAGACCTTATCGAGTTGCCCGACAACACCTGCCCAGAGTACGCCAGCGACTGGGGTTGTGGCACGTTCAGCTACTTCAACGAGAGTCTGACGGCGAACTCGACGCCTGCAGCTGCGCCGAATATGTGGAAGACGCTACAGGGCTTCATGGGCGCGTTCCCCGAATACTCAAGAAACGGCGTGTACTTCACGACCGAGTCCTATGGTGGCCACTACGCTCCAATTTTCAGCGAGTACTTCGAGGAACAGAATGATAAAAACATTGAGGGAGCGCACAACATCAGTCTCGAAGGTGTCCTGATCGGCAATGGATGGTACGATCCGCTCATTCAGTATCAAGCATACTACAACTTCAGTGTGTTCCCTGGAAACACCTACGACTATGACCCGTTGAACCAGTCTGTCAAGAGTAAGTTGCTATGTGGTTGAATCTCCACCACACCTGGTTCATTTTTGTTTTGACTTGGCGGATTTTACTAATGTCCAAAATCTGCTCAGACCAATGGTACAACAACCTCTACGGGCCAGGCAACTGCTACGACCAGACGGTCGACTGCAACACGCGAGGAATCAACGAGATCTGCACGGCGGCCGACAACTTCTGCTACGAGAACGTCGAGAACCTCTACGACATCTACCTCGGACGCGACGAGTACGACTTCCGGTACCTGATGCCCGACCCTTTCCCGCCCCTGTACTACGTCGACTACCTCAACACGGACAGTGTGCAGACGGCGATCGGGGCGTACGTGAACTTCAGCGAGAGTAACACGGCGGTGGGCAACGCGTTCGGCAGCACGGGCGACGACGACCGCGAGATCGGCACGGTCGAGGCGCTCAAGAAGCTTTTCGCCCGCGGCATCAAGCTGGTCATGTACTTTGGTGACGCCGACTTCAACTGCAACTGGCTCGGCGGGCAGGTGGTGGCCGGCCACGTCAACGCCCCGGGCTACGAGGACGCCGGCTTCGTCAACATCACCACCCCGGACGGCGTCGTGCACGGCCAGGTGCGCCAGTCCGGGTCGTTTGCCTTTGTGCGAATTTACGAGTCCGGCCACGAGGTGCCCTTCTACCAGCCCCTCGTGAGTCTGGAGATGGTCAACCGCACCATCCACGGCCTCGACATCGCCACCGGCAAGATCCTCGTCGACCCCAAGTACAAGACCTCCGGCCCCAAGGTGAGCTCGTACCACGAGGGCAACGGCACCGTGCAGCTTGAAGTCGTGCCCACCAGCGCCATCTACAACGTCACCACCGCCTTGCCTCAGAACGGGACCGACACGACATCATCGGGGAGGATGGCCAAGAGGAGCAGCGAATCGAACAAGAGGGCTCATAAGCGGTTGAGGACTAAGAGGGACTTCCTCAATGCAGGGAAGAGGAGGTGGGTGCTGCTTGACGAGCAGTGAGTGGGTGAGCTTTTTGGTTTAAAATTAACTTATATACCTCGTTCCTAGACTAGACAACTAGACGTTGGTCCCCTGATAACCTCCGTACGTAATTCCCTCAGTTGCGAAGCGTAAGAATTCTCAGTGTAACAGTAAGTAATGTGTTTTCACACCAGGTACCGACAAGAATACGGCGACCAGAGGAAAAAACCACAAAACTTACGAAAGAGGGGGGTTGCATTACCCGCGGGTACTTTTACTTGTACCTGAATATTCTAGGCTAGGTACCTACAGACAAGCTGTAAACTTATTAGGCGCCGACCGTTCCCCGAGCTCTAGCCTATGACTGTGAGTAGGTAGGTAACAAGGCCTCGTCCTCAAGAAATGCTTGTTCCACGTCGGTTCTTTTTCGTCACGACCGAGAGAGGAAAGAAGAAGAAAAAAAGAAAAAGGAAATAAGCAAAGGCAAAAAGAGCGATTCGTGTCTGCATCGGTCTCGTGGTTCCAACTTGTATAGACGTGGACTAACTACTAACTAACTTACTCCCCCCAATTTTCGTGTGCCCCGAGGTACTTTGCCACATGAAAACCCCCCCGTGTACGCTCGGCTCGGTTCCTCTCCTTTGCACCACATTTCTCCCCATTCGAGAATGGAAACTTTGAAAAGGTAGAAGGAGAAAACAAATCGAGAGGGCTCGGTCAGTTATTCCGGACGAAAGACGGATGGATTGATGATGACTCGACACAACGACCGCCCGCCCGGCTCTTCCGAAGCAGAAATAGAAAAGAAAGACCTGAAAGAAACTCTTTGGTGGGATTCGAAATTCCATACGAGAGACCTTTATCCTCTATTCATGCGAGCGAGTTGGCCCGGAATCAATCATTTCATTTCAGTCCATTCCATAGCCATGCAAAATGTCTGTCGACTTCCACCATTTTGATCGTTGCCGAAATCAAGTGCCCATGGTCAAAACCCCCCCCAAAATTGACCGGGTCTTCACTTGTTGTACGTATTATCTTTTTTTTCGACATGTGCGTGGGCAAAGGCAAAGGGAGTTCTGGTACGCCAATGGAGTGGGCTCGGTTGGGCGTTTTAGATATTCTCCCAGGAGAACGCAAACGCCTCACTGCCGGTCGAGAGAGAAGGAGAGGAGACTGTGGCCGTCCTCCGAAAAACTCATTACTCGTTGTAGTGATACACCTGCAGCCGCAAAAATTAGTAACCCTGTCCCAGCCAAATCTTGGGCCCGGTTTAACCATGCTGGCAAATCACTTACAAGATAATCAGGCAAGCCCCAAGACTCAAACCCGAGCCTGCGAGCCATTTTGGCAAAACCCTCCGTCTCAACGAGATGGTAGAATGGGAAGGGAGGAAACATGGCCCCATCTCTATGGACCTCTGCTTTCACCATCAGCGCGGTGCCTCCGACGCCATCCAGAGGCATCAGACGACGCTCGTCCTTGTCCGGACCAGTCTTCGCTAACATTGCCATCAATGTTCTGTACGTAGGCATCTCAGCGTATCCTTCCAGCAAGATGTCATCCGGTCCCATTTGGGAAGCCAACTCTTGTGCCACATCACTATCACGCCAGGAGTTATAGTCATACGGTCGAACACTAGCCTCTCCCTTGTCGTTGAGGTACCGCTGGAAACAGTTAGGAACAATGATAGGCTTGTTGTGACTCGCTAGGTCTTGAATCAACGTTGGAGGTGTCTCGACGATGTCCGAGTCCAGCCAGAGTACCCATGATGTAGAGGGTCCGATGGTGGTGAAGAGCAGACTGTTCCTTGCACGGGCCATGGCCGCCCGGCGAGCCTTTTGATTCTCGATTTTATGTCGTTCCTTTTCGTCTTGTGAGGCAATGGGCGGCTCAAAGTCTTGACGGAGGATGATGACGGATTGGAAACGTTTCTCCTCGGGCCCCGACTGTGTGATCTTGATCGCTTCTTGTAATGCTGCAGTTGCAGCGTTCCCCTCTTTTGTCTTCGGTGTGATAAAGCCTAAACTGATGTGCTCGTGGGGGTAGCTCAAGGCCAGGAGGTTGTCCCAGTACTCTTGGTAGAATCGGGCGAGGGGAGTGAGAATGAGGATTTTTTCGTTGTTTTGTTGGGGGTTGGCACTGCTGCTCAGGTTGTTGAGTTGGTAGTGTACAACAGGAGGCGGCCGGCGAATGCCATTGTGAGATCTGGAGGAGTCAGGTTGCTTGCGGAAGGCAGATGTGGGAGGTGAAAGAGGATTGTCCGCTGCGGCATTCGACTTTCGCTGGCGCAATTCGGAAGGACTTGTGGAGGTGTTCCCGATGCTGTAGAGGAAGTAGAGAAAGACGACGCCGAGAAGAAGACCCAAGGCCAATGTCCGCTGGTTGCTGCGTGGTTGACGCATCTGGTTGGAGTAGGGCATCGTCTCGAAGGCTGCCGGCCTTTCTGGAAAAGGTGTTACGTACGACGCTGGTAGGAGGGACGCATGGCCGGACAAGGTGGTAGACGGCGGGGGACAAGGAACTGAGAACGAAGGAACCAGGGCTGCAGGATAGGAGGCACAGAAGAAAAGTAGACAAAGGAGTGGACTGCTTGCTCAGGAGTGAGGAAGAGGTGAATGGTGATCACTGACTCCGTGCACGATATAGTGTATCTGTGCTATAAATATGAAACATGGTCGAAGTGACATTTGCATCGCACCCACATTGCACCGCCACTCCCGCTCGCCCTCAAGCCACCATTCAACAAAGTTACACACGATGACAAAGGCTTTGTTTGTACGAGTGAGCGAGGCTTTTATTTGGAACAGTTGCGTTGATATTTGGTACATTGTAATTCGTGCTGGCTTGGTAGATGGCTTATTTGTCCACCTGTCGCAGCCAAATGATATGCAGGCATCGGTCTACATGGCACTTCGTCCCTGGGTCATCAATCAACCCAAGATAAGGCTGGTCGATGGTATTGACAGCTTTTGCTCCCTGCCGTCCAATCCAACCCTGATTACCCTTACCCCAGACAGGGGTTTGTCCTTTTCCACTAGTCCCATACATTGTTTGTGCAATGATCGCTATGCATAACCTGAAAAGCCGACGAAGAAAAATGCACCCAGAGCTCCCAATCGTCTCTTTCATGTTGCGCTAGGCAACCAAAGGGAATGTGGTTTCGCAGCAGCTCGTTGGTGCCGCGGAGATGCTGTTACGGTATCAACCCCTAGCAGCCGAAGGCATTCACAGTACGCAACCCCCATGAGGAACCTGTCCTAAAGGGCATGGTGTGTAATGAACTGCGGGTAACATATGGCAATTGGACGAGGACTACTGAAAGGCCCTCCCGATAAAACTTCGCTGCGAATGCATGAACAAAGGGAATTCGTTTCGTTTGCGTCGTCATATAAGCTGTCATCCCAGTTATCATGAAATTTCGTGTTTCTGGGTCTTCACTGATAGACATCACTATGTCGCTTGTTCGACTTCTTGGAGTCCTCCTTGTCTGAAATGTCACTTCTCGGGCTCCGTGCGCCTGGGCTGCCGGCTGGAGAAACCTTTCCGGCTCCTGCAACCTGGAAGTAATCGCCGCCCTCGTCCAAGGCCAGAGGGGTTACGGGACCCTTTGGACTACCGAGAGGATCGAGCCGTGGAGCACCGGGCTTGACACCCATCGATGAGGCTGCAATCTTGGCGGACAGGTGAGCCCGTTCCAAGAATTCTCGCTGCTTTTCACGCATCAGTCGAGGTGACTCAAGCTGCATTGTCGGCGCTACTCTGTTGATGGTGATGGCTGGAGATTGTACCGCCGACGATGGCGTGGCAGGCGAATCGAGATTGGTGAAATTCGCGGGATGGAACCGTGGCAGACTCATGTGCATGTTTCGGGATCCTTGTCGATTATGCTGAACGGTGCGCGATCGTACAGGGTTGGGCGACATAGGGCGATGGTTTGCAGCTAGTCGAGGAGATAGAGGCGAGGTTGGTGTATAGCGTCCGGAGAATGGTTCGGGATTCATTGTATGGGTCATCAACTGGGACATTATAGGAAATAATGTCGAAAAAACCCGCCGAGTCTGGTGCTGGATATCTGGGACGCTCTTCGACCAGAAGGCTACTAGAATGTTCATGCGGCAGGTGAAGCTGGCTGGTTGACGTCGTTGTTAATGTTGATTGTTGGTAAGCAGAGGCAGCCAGTCGGATCTCGGCCAAGCAAGGGGCAAAATCGTGGAGCCTGGGTAGAGCGTGAATACAGGCAGGATACACGGAGAGATGATAGCGGTTTGTGAGTATTGAATGGATTCGTCGCTGTGGCCGACTGTCCTTTTCAAGGTTGTTTGAATCTTGGAGCAACGGAGGACGGATGTAAGGGGGCGATGAGGTGGACTGCGAAGCAAACGAGCCCGCTTTGTATTCTGGCAATACTTCTGCACACCAGCCTGTGGAGCCAGGCGGGCTGTATTTCTGATCCCAGGTTGTTTTTCTTAGGATCAGTACAGACAGCTTGCCGGGACCCGTTGATCAGCGGCCTGGTTAAGTGGTCGCTAAGAAGAAGGGAGCGGATCAGCAGCTCTGATTTCCCGGGATGCCTAGTGTTGCACAGCCTGAAACATCAAATGACCTTGGAAGGGACAGCACATGGCGATAGGTTACGGCGCGGAGAGTCGAGAGTGGAGCTGATAGTCATTGCTACCAGGAATTGATTGTTTTATAAGTGTTCTGATCAACCTCGACAGCGATGAAGTATCGGTACCCAGACGACTAGCAGAGAAGCGCTGCGAGAGATCGTCATCGTACCCAGGATCATTCTGCGCGGTTCTCCAGTCGGGCAACCTCGGTCGACCGAAAAATCTTTCAGGGTTTCCCGCTTTGGCAGTCTTGACGCAGGGCCGGATGGCGACAGTGAGCCCCTCATAAACGGCTGGAAACTGGCAATAATCGGTGGATGAACATGCCCTTGGGATCGGGAAGAGTGGTTCGCAAGGAGAACCACGCGAGACTCAAGGCCGGTCGATGGCCTGATGACGTTGAGACAGGCGCCACAGCCGCCCGGTGATTTGCAGGGGCCGAAGCAGAGGGGATCTCATTGATTGCTACAATCAGTAAAACTGGAGATCGGAAGATTCGGGACACCATGGCTGAGGGAAGCCAGGCCAAAGCCTTCCAGGTACCATATCTGTCAACCCCAGTCAAGAATCATGGACGTCGGAGGGATGAATTGTACTCGTATACACCAGCGACGGAGACAGAACCTGCCTGAATGGTTCTCACCCATACCAAGGATGCCCTTGGAACAAGGCAGCACGAGGGGGGAGACAGGAGACGCGTAGTTTGTGTCCTTGAGACTTGACGCCCTCAGTCCCCACCACCTCCAGCAAAAAGTCAACCAGCATTATTGGGAGCCGCTGTCGCCGCCCGCTGTATAAGACGGAGGTTCGCAGCCAAGTCACAAGGCCAGCCGGTGATTTGCTCAGGCCTCCATGGATAAACAGTGTGGCAGTGGTGTCACTCCCTCCCGCAAAGCTGTTAATTGCTTCGCAGCCCGTTGGCAAACCAACGAAATAGTCCATTCTCCACCAAGATAACAAATGCCGGTTGCCGTGTTCCCGGCTTGCTGAGCCTGGGTGAGCAGGAACCGTCCCACATTCTTCCGGGCCAAGTGTCACAGGCCTTTTATATACGCATTCTTGGTAAATATTTTTGAGGTCCAGTGCGGATATTGACTTCTGTGACCACTGACGCGTTCGCATATGGTATCGTTCAATTATCTCCGAAGATGAGCACAGTGGAATCTCCACGGATGCTGGGTTTGACGACGGGACTGCCTGCCTCCGGTATACACGTATTGCTGACTTATGTACGAGTACAAGAGCTACCTGTAATATAGTGATTGGCCCGCGACTGTTAAATGTATTTGCGAACAGGTGATATCCCAAACCTTTGGTCTTTCGTTGGTGTGAACGATGCGTACGTGTCTGCAAAAAGGCTCCAACCCTGCACACTCGTACCTCCTATCAGGACTTCAATCGGGTTGAGTGAAAAGTCGGCCTTCCCCTTCTCCTTGTCACGAATGATTGAGGTTGTATACTCGTATTGATTTGACCGCTTTTTTCCCCTCTTCCTCAGTCAGGGTCATCGGAAGGCTTGCTGCTGAGACGTGGGGTATACGCGCACTAAGGATTTTGATGAAAACAATATTGCACGCCAGCTGACAGCGCCGATCCTCTGGGACGTGGAATCCAGCTGCTCCATAACCGAATGATACCGTAAGACAGGAACAGACTTTCAGGATGATGTGCACGCATCATTTGTTGGAGAAAATGGCGCCCTTGGATATGAATGACGCCTGGTGGTTGGACACCAGATGAAATAGCTTAAAGCCCTCGCGGAGTTTGCTTCCGGACAGCGAGGCATCCTACTCGTACGAGTAGCGAGCTGAGGTTGGACAGAAATAATGTCCGTGCACAGCGTATGAAGAGGCTCACTCTGTCCAGCTTCCTCGTCACCAGCTTACTGGAAAAGCAGACGGTCCCGATCCTTGGCTTTCAGTTCAAAAGCCCTGTGAATGACTCGGATTTGAATCTGCATTGGCCCAAGCACGGCATTCCCTGTTTGGCGTCAGACGCGAGACAGTGAGCGGTAAATACGAGTAGTATAGCGACATTTGAGAAGGACGAGCGCACTTTCTTGAGTCGATGCGAGACCCCGAACACGCGTGCTAGCAGGCCAAAGGCACTGGCCCTGGATACGTTCATGGTGGCATCATCCGGCATCTGACTTACCATCGGCCCATAGCTGCGAGTTCGTTAGGGCGCATCATCCCCAAAACTATGATATACACCGCAGAATGTCTTTCTGTCGGTTTTCTTGTCTTTCGAGCCGCGTGTTAAACAGTCATCCGGTTGTCGGGTGTCTGCGAATGGGAAGAGCTTGGATAGAAACCTGTAATTGGCTTTTGCTTAAGGCTATGCACAGGATCGTAGCCCTCGGCGCTACGTCCATACTGACGGAAGCAACCAACAGCCCATTCCGTCTGCCACCAGGATCCAGATGGATCGTATTTCGTTTTGCCAAGTTGAAGTGGGCAGCAAAGGTCGCATATGTGAGGTAGACTCAATCTGGTTGGCGACGAATCCATACAATGTCTGCGAGCTGTCCTCATTCTCACTCAAGAAAAGCTGCGAGCCTACCTTGCCTCCGAGCCAGGGGTCTAGCCGTCTTTGGTGAGGAGCCTAGTGAAGAACGCTGGATATCATTATTGTAGATGAGAGCTCGCTCTCTTCCGAGCTGGTCGGAACGATAAGCCTGACTCTTTGGCCATGGATCTCTGCTATTACCAGGTTGTGATCTTCGCATCAGCCACGGCCGACTGACGGCCTCAAAAGGGCCGAGTTCGCAAACGATAGTAAATACGAATAGTTGGTGGTGAATAGAGCAAATGGCATCTTCCCGTCTCGTTTTTGTGGCTTCGTATTATCGTGGCTGTGTTGAAGACCGGAAAGTCGAGAGCCGGCGTGCTGCCCTATCATGCTATCTCGGTTAGGCTAGTCAGGGACTCGTCTACACTATCGTCTTCACTCATCCCTCCCACCTGGAAAACATTCTTGTTGCCTTCGGTGCGTACTGGTAATGCGCGAAGCTCCTCGACGACACCATTTAAAGAAAGCAAAACCCCTTCGTAATCCTGCCACTTCTGGCAGAATGCCTTGTATTTTACAGGTTCGATAATCATCACCATCGCTCACTCTATCTGCCATGGACCCGCAACTCGACCTCAACTCGGCAGGTCGCGATTTCGACAATTGGCTTGACTGGAATGCCGCAAGCACGTCTGCGGGCACTGCTACAGAGTCAAAGTCAACCGTCAACCCGGAACAGGTTTTCCAATTCCCCATCTCACCTTCCTCGACCATCAACGGCGACGCGCATCACTCCTTGAAGGCCGACCCTCTCACCGCTCATCCCAAGCACGATCTCCTAACCCCTCAACACAGCTCGTCTTCACCAGAGTCACATTCCAGCCTCGACTTGAGACTCAGCGGGGATACTCTACGTGAACAAACATCGCCGAATGAACGCCCAATGCTAAAGCGGAAGCTGTCCCCCTCCGATGTGCCAACGACCGATCACCGCAACGAGGTGAATCCGACTGCGAAGAAGCGTCCCCACAACGTGATTGAGAAGAGATACCGAGCCAATCTCAATGAGAAAATTTCCGAATTAAGAGACAGCGTACCGAGTCTGCGGATCATCACAAAAAAGACGACGGACGGATCAAACGCAGATTCGGATGATGAAGACTTGGAAGGCCTCGCACCCAGCAATAAGCTCAATAAAGCCTCGATCTTGACCAAGGCTGTGGAATACATCCGGCACCTTGAATTTCGTACGAAGCGACTGGAGGAGGAAAACAAGTCGTTGAAAGAACGACTCGAAACACTCGACAAGGTCATCGCACAGGGTGGCCATGACGCCCAAAGAGCTGCTGCGTTCACGAGTGATACAGTGATTGAAGAGTCCCAAGCCACTTCACAGGTCGAATTTCCCTCGGAAACCCGAGCAAGCTCCTCGAAACCACCTCAGGGATTGATTCCCGTCCCTGACAGTTGGCGAAAACTACGACAGAATCAGAGCCAGGAGCATTATGGCCATGTTTACGACACGGACCGGTCCAAGTATCGCGGCAAATGGCCAACAAGGATCATGTTGGGATCATTGGCTGGGCTCATGATTATGGACGGCTTGAGTGAGTCGGATACAGGCACCGAGTCACGAGAAAAGGGTCTATTCGGCATTCCTCTGGAGCTTCTTGATGGTTGGAAGTTTCTTCAATCTCCCAAGATTTACCTTGCTGCTTTCACTCAATTCTGTCAGGCAGGAGGCGTTATTCCATTGATCAAAGGCTTCATGGCTTTGACGATCCTTGCGTTTCTCGTCTTCTCATATCTCTTCAACTCCAAGCCAGCGCCAAAGGAAGATATTGAAGAGGCTTCGTCAGCCACCCGATTCGCACCGGCCCCTGCCTCTCCAATCCAAGTCAGACGCCGAGCCTGGAGCACCAGCATGCAAGAGCTCCATCTTCCCCATCACAGCTTCTTTCCGGAATGGGTTGCCGTCACTTCCGAGTGGCTCAGGTACACAGTCGGTTACCTTTTTGGAAGTCGGGCATACGCTTGGCTGACCGGTCGAAGTGCTGAAGATGACGTGGCTCGCATCAAAGCTTGGGACATCGCGATTGATGCTCAATTGGCAGGCGGAGACATTGAAGTGAGTCGCAGCAGAGTGGTCCTGACTATATTCGGTTCAGGCACTTTACCCAAGACTCCTCTGCGGCTGATGCTCAAGGCACTCCATTGCCGGGTGCTGCTGTGGAACGTGGGCTCACTCGGAACGGCTCCTAACCGAATCGCTAACCGGGTCGGCCAATTTTTCGCCAATTGGCAGTGGACAAGAGCTCAAGGGTTGCACGAAAAGCTGCCCCTGCGTGATACCGATCGGTTGCCGCCATATTTATCGGAGATGCTTGATCTACCGTGTAACGAAGTGTTTCTTGACACCGTCTGCCAAAGGGCTTACAATCTGATGTACGATCGGCCAACGCAAGAAGAATCTTCCAATGCCTTGATGAATGTGGTGGTTGAGGATCATGCTATTCGGTCGCCGCTCGACGCTGTTGCGGCATGGCGATCGACGTACTCCTTGACACAAGCACTTGACGCCATTTTGCGTTGCCCTGAGCCAAGCGAGATGGTGCAGAAGCATCTGACTGAAGCCATGAAACTGGCCCCACCCGGCTCTGCGGCCGAGACACGGGCCCTGGCAGCAAGCTCAATCTTCAGCACTACGGCCCGGAGTGCTTGCTTCGTCCGCGCCTCTGAATCCATGGACGCCCCTCCACCCAATGCGCAGTTTGAGCGGCCTCCCTACATTATCGATTCATCGACGCCGTCGTCAGCAAGAAGCGATATCTTGAATTGTTTGCACTGTGCCAGGACCCTTCAATTACTTGATTATGAGCAGAATGAGGAAGAAGCTAGGAAACACTTCTACTCCAAGGCTCTTGATTCTGTGAATGTTGGTCTTTTAACTAAGGCTTCTTTGGCTTACCTTCACCAGCGGCTACCCGAGTTTCAGTTGCCAGGCGTTTTTGCTGGTAAAGATGAGGTCCGCCTCCTCCCAAACGATCCCGAGTCCTCGGCTGACCTGTCTGCTCAAAGCAAATTGAGAAGATACAGCAGCTATAGTAACGACACTGGCTACGAGAGCCAGGATGACTCCCTATTTCCATAGGGATTTGACAGATATATAACTGAGCAAGGCTCGCCGGCGTCAGGGAATTGTATTTGTGGTTTAGAAATGGAATGACAATAGGAGCGCAGCAGATTTTTAGTCGTTCACTGGCCTCCCCAGTACATATTATGCCGCGAATTATGGTTATCATGAACATACATCTTTGCACTCATTCAATGTGGTGTTGATTGGCGCATTTCCCGTCATGAACCTCACTCCCCTCGCTCTCCGGGCCTGACCATCAACTTGTGCAATCCATTGGCCTACTTACATCCAGCCTTTTCCTGCGGCGGATATTGAGTCTCTGCAGCACAGAGCATGCTTACTCCGTTGATTGTTTATACTCCTAGAGCCGCATATTCTACCCCTGCTAGAAAATTTCTCACTTCCATCCCTGGCCAAGGTACAGCTGGCGATCCGCGGGTGTTTCTAATCCTCTGATCAACGACGATAACATGCAACAATAATTTCGTCAACGTGCTTTATCGCCCTCAGTATTCTGTACGGTGGGTAATAGTGCGTCATTTATCCACCGCTTTACGTCTGCTTGGCGTAATTGACCTCATATTTGCTCAACGCAATGATGTCTTACCTACGAAGCCTACCTTACGAAGTTGATTGTTCTGAGTCGAAATCTTGAAGCACCCACTCCTATAGCAATGAGCGACGGAAAAGACAAGAATGACTCGATCTGGGAAATTGGGGTCTTTGACTCCCACTGTCACCCCACTGACATTATGGCATCAGTCAAGGACATCGCCAGGATGAAAGCCAGAGTCTTGACGATCATGGCCACGAGATCTCAAGACCAGGATATGGTTGAGAAGACGGCGAGGTTGTGTCCTGTGGGCTCCCCCAGTGAGCTTTCTGATATCCAATCCACACGTGTGGTGCCAGCTTTTGGCTGGCACCCTTGGTTTTCTCATCAAATGTACGATGACCGGAGCACACAGGATCAACCAGAGCCTGTGGAGCATTACAAATCTGTCCTCGTGCCCAGCCCGCAAGACAAAATGTTTTTGGAAGCTCTGCCAGCCCCGGTGTCTCTCCGAGAGTTTCTACAGCGGACCGAAGCACGACTGAAGGAGTTCCCATATGCTTTGGTTGGCGAGGTAGGCTTGGATCGTTCTTTCAGATTGCCTGAGGTTCCGAGTGCCATGACAGGTGATACAACACAGAAAACTGGCGGCTCCGAGGAAGAATATACGCCCGGGTCGCGCGAGGGCCGGCCTCTGAGTCCGTATAGGGTGAACCTGGATCATCAGAAGACAATCCTGAAAGCTCAGTTCGATCTTGCAGCGAAGATGCATCGGCCAGTGTCTGTGCATAGCGTTCAAGCACATGGCCTCGTCTTCGAACTCATGCAGAGCTTGTGGAAAGGCCACGAGAAGCCCTCGAAGCGCGAAAGGAAACAGCAAACGGCCGCTGCCGCCAGCACAACCAGGGACGACGAGGAGACTGGCAACGCTATTACACATCCAAGCCTCCCTTACCCCCCACGAATTTGCATGCATTCCTACTCTGGCCCCCCTGATGCGCTCAAACAGTTTCTTAATCGTGCTGTGCCTGCAGACGTCTATTTTTCGTTTTCCTCCGTCATCAACTTCTCAAATGTGTCGTCCACGAAGGTTGCCAAGGTCATTGAGGAAGTACCCGACGATCGAATACTTGTGGAGAGCGACCTACATTGCGCTGGAGAACGAATGGATGCCTTACTGGGTGAGATCGTCGAGAAAATATGTGAGATCAAGGGATGGTCTCTGGAGGATGGTGCTCGGAGACTGAAACAAAACTGGATTAAGTTCATATTTGGTTGAAGGATGATCTATGTCAGCCGCCTTGGGCGGAAGCCGCCCTTTGAGCTTGTAAGTGAAGTGCAAACAAATGTTAGATGCTTTTTGTTTGGTGTACTCTGCCTTCGGTTACTGATGTCGCAAGTACTAATGCTCTCAAGAAGCAGGGCTTGCTCGTATTTCAGCACCAGAGACATCCTATTTCTAAAAAAGATTAGTATCCCCCATCATTGTGGACATTTCAGTACATCTTTGACAGGACTCGTCCTAAAGCGATTGCATTGTCAACCGGCCAACTCACCACCTGAACGCCGCACAGCCTCATTGTCAATGTTGCTCCAGGGTTAGACACTCCTAGGACAGCGTGCAACCTGGCCTGGATCAATGCAGCACCCGAGTCGATGAATCCAGATGATCGCAAGTATCGTCGTGCTTGTTGCTGTTCAACCTTACGATCACCTCTAGACCACGGTGAAGGTAGACCGTTTGATCATGAAAGAACGATTGCAGAAGACAAATGACTGGCTACGATTCAAGCCTGAATGCTCATGACAGGCCCTCGAGCGATCTAATGAGCAGACAATTATAAGACTCCCTCCGCGTCATACCACCAAACTGCCCGTGAGGCTGGATGACATCAATAGAGTTCCACTGCCCTGAGCCAGCTCGTCGACGGTCTTTAAAACTCTAGCTGGAGATGACGCGATCAATCAGGGGGAACTATCGAGGTATATTTCAAGGTTGAAGTCCAAGAAGCACGCATGACTCCTAAGGGGACGGTAGCTTAGACAGAGCAGAAGGGAATTGTCGCGGAAATGTCCCTGCGAATCAGTACCCTGTGTCGACCTTAGACAGAGAGTGGTCAGCAGCACCCAAACCCCTCTTCTATTGATGAAGCCCTGACAGTGCTGAAATACAGGTTCCGTTCTGGTGAAAGGTCGACGACGCCTTTGCTACAGCTGTGGACAGTTAAGGCAACCATCCAACTTCGACCTAAAATGCGCGGCAATCATCCAGTGCTTTGAGGCACATGGACAGATGGTGCATCCCACATATCTCCACTCGTCCCTCAAAACTGCCTCCCACGAGCTTGGACTTCAGCCGCCAAAGTGGACATTCTCCGCCCCGGGTGTCGAACATTTGCGGGGAGCGATGTGGGCCTCCTGCCTCGTTATCTGGGATTCCCATGAGCTAACACACCGAATGAGGTTCATTATTGAGGAATTTCGCCGAGGCTATAGCGCGATACACGTTAGCCTGGTGACCCTTATTTTCGGCAGATCTTGGGAAGATGGGAGTCAAGACCCCCATGACAACTAGATTCAAAGCGATCACCCTTGGCCTAGCACATGAGAAGTCGAATTAGTTATTTAGGTCAGATCACTCGGACTCATACCGCTTCCACCCACCCCGATTTTTATCCCGTTCCTGGTGTTTGTGAGCAACGCAGTCCAACCGACGACGCTTGAAAAGGGAGCCAACTGGATCATTTGAGATCCCATAAGCAAACCACCCGAGTTAGTTGGTGTGTCTCGGTTATTGGGCTATCGCCTTCGGTCTCGTATCCCTCTCAGGATGGGTTCCATGGGGTACAAGGTCACGGGCAACGAATATGCTCATCCTTTGATTTCTGAGCGAGCGATCGACGAACCGCGGCCATTGAAGGTCATTTATATTGGCGCCGGAGTCAGCGGCATTTGCGCTGCAATTCAATTTCCCAAAGCTATACCAAACTTGGAGCTCGCTGTCTACGAGAAGAATGCAGACGTCGGAGGGACATGGTACGAAAACCGGTGGGTACCTTCGGCAAGTCCTTTAGCCTGGTCGAGACCTTGACTATCTGCAGGTATCCAGGTTGTGCCTGTGGTTCGTGGCCTGCATTCGAATACGCAAGGTAATCTACTAACCGAGGTCCATCAGATATTCCTGCGCATTCGTATCAGCTGAGTTTTGAATCGAATCTTGAATGGAGTAAATTCTATGCCGGTTCTCCAGAAATCCTCGAATATTGGCGCAAAGTTGTCGACAAGTATGACATCCGGAAGTATATGAAATTCAACCATAAATGCCTCGAAGCTCGATGGAATGAAGAAACAAGCAAGTGGCACGTCAAATTCCAGAAAGTCGGCTCGGACGACATCGTTGAGGATATCGGAGATGTCTTCATGACTGGTACTGGGGTATTGAATGAATGGAAATGGCCAGATATCAAAGGTCTTCAGGATTTCAAGGGGAGACTGATGCACAGCGCTGATTGGGACCCTAACTATGACGCGACTGTAAAGTATCCTAATTCCTTACCCAGCCTTCTACTGATGGTGTACAGGATAAAAGCATTGCAGTAATAGGAGCTGGAAGCAGTGGGATTCAGATTGTCCCGACGCTCCAGCCCAAAGTCAAGTCAATGGATTGTTACATCCGTGGACGCACATGGATCGCTGCTACCTTTGGCAATGAGCTCGTGCGAGAACGAAACAATGGACAAGACGGCAACTTTGACTATACTCAAGAGGAGATTGACGCATGGAAGAAGGATCCGGCATCCTATGTCAAGTATCGAAAGGCGCTCGAGATCGGAATGCAAGGCAACTTTGCCATGACCCATCGCGGCACAAAGGAACATGAAGGAGCTACGGCGCAGTTCAAAGAAGATATGGGAAAGCGATTGGCGAAGAAGCAGGAGATTGCTGACCATTTGATCCCTGACTTCCCGCCTCTCTGTAAACGACTGACCCCTGGTCCTGGTTATCTCGAGGCTCTAACGGCAGACAACGTCAATGTGGTGTACGACAAGATTTCTCACGTTGATGAGACCGGCATTACGACAAGCGATGGCAAGCATCGTCCCGTCGACACAATTGTGTGCGCCACCGGATTTGATACTTCTTTCCAAGGGCGTTTCCCAATCTATGGCCGCGGAGGAATGAATCTTCAAGAACGGTATCGAGTGCGACCGGAGACCTACCTCACCGTCTCTGTTGACAAATTCCCCAATTTCTTCCAGTCCCTGGGTCCAAACGCAGGTGTAGGAAATGGCAACCTGTTGATCATCGCCGAAGCCATCGCGCTCTATGTTGTCCAGATCTTGAAGAGGTTGGGGCAAGGCAATGTCAAGACGATTGAGCCAAAGAGAGAACAAGTCGAGAACTTTACTAACTACTGCGATGCTTACTTTAAGCGGACCGTGTTCTCGGCTGAATGTGGAAGCTGGTATAAATCCGCGCCTCCAAATGCCACTCATGAGGAACGAATGAAAGGCAGAATTACAGCGCTTTGGCCTGGAAGTAGCATACACGCAGTCAGAGCCCTTGAGCATGTCCGCTTCGATGACTTCGAAATGACGACGGTCGACGGTAATGAGTTTGGGTGGTTTGGAGATGGATGGGCTATAGCAGAGAGGTCGGGCGATGTCGAGGGACTATCGTGGTACCTCAATGATACCAGATTCGTTCATGAGCCCCTGCAAAAAGGTGAGAAGCTAGTGGTGAACGAGGACAAGGTTATGAAGCACACTGATGATTGCCTGCAAAATGGAGAGATTGCTGAGGGCTTCCGCGTGCCTGACGGCGTAGCAGCCACTTGAGGGATCAACGGCGCTTATTGTAATTATGATCTAGATAGATGTGCAAAGTGTAAAGAGACGGTTGGTAGACACATTTGGTCTCTCTGTATCTCTGATCAGCATACCTACGTTCACACAAAACATGAATTGAGTTCGAGACTATGCCAGAGGAGGCGAATGGAAGCGTAGCTTGACTGCCTCTTTAGGCCATCTCCGTCACCTTTCTTCATTGGCGCCTTATTCAAGACGCGGGACAGAGGGTGTATCGTGTGGTGTCCCTGATCAGCCTCACGTTGATATTCTTGCTCTCGCCTGCATACTTTGTTGTTTCGCGGTATTGAAGTTCCTAGACGATCAAAAGCTGTGCTGTCTAGTCTCTCAGGTTCGTGAAAGATGGCGTCGTGGAAGCCGTTGAGCGTGTTCATCTCAACTCTCATCATCTTCACAAGCGTCGCTTATCTCCTCTTCCTATCCACTCCAATCGTTCCAATTAGGCAACAACAGCATCTCTCGTCCTTTGACTCTTATCAGAAGCCTTTCCGAGCTCCGGCAGTGAATCCTTTCACTGAGATCGATGACCATGAGGCTTCTGATATTTATACCTTTCTTCAAGTGTCGTCGAACCTCAGCATCGCCCAAGACGCAAGGGGTAGAAGTGTGAACTATTTGATCGAACTACTGCGACCAAACAAGTCCGATGTGGTCAACTACCTTGATCACAGTGGCCCAGTTCCTGAACGATGGGCTAGGGTTTCGAATCTCGAATTTCGAAAGGACGATGCTTACATTGTCGATTACATGGTCGGGCCTCTCCCACCGAGCAACGATACCCAAATCCTTCCCCTGATATACCCACACAACTCTGGGCGCAACTACGTCCAAAGTCCAGTATCGGACGTCTTTGCTCTGCTAGACTGGGCCCTCGGTATCGGTGAGAATGCATCAGACATCACCCAAGAGTTGCTGGGCGCCACCACAAACCGTCATGATCCTTCGGATCCCGATGCTCTTGTCGTTGGCTCTCGTCCCGCCCTCATAGAGAACGGATCCATGGTTTACTGGCTAGAGTTCTTCGGCTCAGGTATCGAATCGGACAGCCGAAGTCTTCTCCCCCAGGGTCTCTACGTCAAGCTGGACACTCCCACAGCGAACCCATCCACCTGGATGACGGGCGAATGGTATTACAATGGCGTTCTGTACGACAACGACACCGTTCTCCGGGATGCGATCAAGTCGTCCGACTTCGTCAAGATCAAGCTCAACCATGATGGCCCGTGGACAGACACCGAGGACTTCATCACCTCTTTCCCAGAACGCGACATGCCTCCACCGCTCTCGATCCAGCCGTACGGACCACGCTACCACCTCGACCGGGAGCAGAACTACATTTCATGGATGGGGTTCTCGTTCTACATGTCAACGGCCCAAGCCACAGCCCTGTCACTCTTCGACATCCGGTACAATTCATCCCGGCTCATATACGAGCTAGGCCTGCAGGAAGCGCTCGCACACTACGCAGGCGTGGAGCCAATGCAATCGGGGCTGGAGTTTCTCGACACCTTCTTCGGCATGGGGAACATGATGTTCAGCCTCGTCCCTGGCATCGACTGTCCCGGCCACGCAGAGTACATTGACATGTCGTACCACAAGGGCGGCAAGATGTACACGAACAAGAACGCCATCTGTATTTTCGAGTATACTTCCGACGCACCTCTGCAGAGACATACGTCGGCATTCAGCGCGACCGTGAGTAGAAACACATACCTCGTTGTCCGGAGTGTATCCACGGTCGGCAACTATGATTACACTGTAAGTTTCCCAGGAACAGATAATTTTTTGTTCCCGAAGCACGTATCACATCCCAGACGTTTGATACTACTGGCAATTGACTGACCTCGGGCATGATTCACGTACATGTTAGATCGATTACATATTCTACCTTGACGGGTCCATTGAGATCAAGCTTCGGGCGTCAGGATATATCTTTGGCGCCTTCCACGCAGAACCTCGCAATACGCACACGCCGCCGCGCGACGAACACGCCAACGAATACGGGTACCGCGTCCACCACGCGCTGCATACCTCTATGCATGACCACGTTGTCTCGTTCAAGGCCGACCTCGACATCTGCGGAACAGCCAACACGCTCGTGCGCACGTCGGTCGAGCCCCTACAGCGCGAATACGATTGGGACAAGCCTGAGGTGCCCCTGGCCAGGAACACGATGCACATGGTCCATCACCCCGTCACGCACGAGACGGGCCTCAACTGGCCCAGGAACGGCCAGGACATGTACCTGGTGACGGCGTCTAATGCGACGAACAAGTGGGGCGAGACGCGTGCGTACCGCATCCTCGGTGGCACGGGCATGGGCAACCCGACGCACCTGACGATCCTGAATTCGACGACGCTGGGCAAGTCGGCGAGCTGGTCGAGCGCGGACCTGTGGGTTCTCAAGAACCACCCGGACGCCGAGCCGGCGTCGGCGCACCACCTGAACTACCTCGAGCCGCTGGACCCGCTGGTCGATTTCGAAAAGATGGTCGACGGCGAGGAAGTCACGGACCAGGATCTGGTGCTCTACTTCAACCTCGGCGGACACCACGTGCCGAGTACGCAGGACATTCCGAACACGCTGATGCACACGAGCGCGAGCAGCGTCATGTTCGTGCCGTTCAACTACTTCGACGACGACGTGTCCAGGGCTGCAAGGCAGGGAGTCAGGATCGATCGACGCGCGAGCGCGGGTGCTGCGGGTGGGCGTGGAGGTGCAACAGATGCTGCGAGTGCAAAGGAAGATGTCCGCAGGCGCAGCAGCCGCATGACGAAGCGCTCGAAACGGATCAACAATGGTGGTGGAGGTGGTGACGATAAGGAAGTCAAATACTTTGGAGGAAGATATACGAAGCCCGTCACCGTCCCGGAGGAGATGCTCTCGCCGGACCTGAGCCATTACATGAAAGATCGCGAGGGCGAGCCTGACGGCGAGTGGAAAACGGCCAGGAATCACGTCGGAGGCGGCTTGTTGGGTCTGTTCGTAGGGAAGGAGAGGTTTGAGGACCACGATGACAAGAGAAGACTGGATTGGTGATGACTCGTACGTGATGTATGTCACCCATCACATTTTCTGTCGGGTGACTGTTGACGGCGTTCTGTGAATCATGACGAATACGTTTCACGATTGTGCCGACATACACACACACACACACACACAGAGAGAGAGAGAGAGAGAGAGCGTTATCCAAGAACGCAAGAACCCTCCTCGATAGAGGGGATGATCCACCAAGAATGCAACTGAAGCTGTGCTGAACCAAATAGTGCAGGCGGACGTGTAACGAATGAATGACACATAAATGCTAGGAACAATTTGAGATAGACTGATAATAGCATACAAATACAATACCTGATATGCCTTCCCAATGAGCCCAACGCAAGCGCCGTCACTTCGGACGATTTACCTATCTCTTCTTCTTTTCCTCGCCTCTGGTCTTCTTGTTCTTGTTCAATTTGCGTAGTGGGAACGAAAAGGAAAGTCTGCGGGCCTTGCTGGATTCGTTCGTAGAAGGAGTAGCGACGAGGGTGTTTCGAGCAAAGAGTGACCTCGACCTTTCCCTAATCCCTACTTCTGCGCCGTAACTCTTCTTCGACCGCGGCTGTCGCGAAACTGACATGTCTTCTTCGTCCGTGTCATCAAGAGGACTCAAAGACTAATTTTCGTGGGTCGCATTAGTGTGAAATCTTATGTGCACAAGGGGGTGGTGCAAAAAGAGGTCGCCTCATGATATCCAGGGAGACACTTACATCGCCATCGTCGTCGTCGTCGTCGCCGTCGCCACCACCTCTCCCTCCACCATCCTCGTCACTTGTCCCGCACGGACTCACCGGACTGACATCGTGGTCTGTGGTAGTATCCACCGCGCGAGAGAAGCTGACTCTAGTACCTGGGTGCGGCTCTTCGTGAATGGTCTGGAGACTTGGGTCTGGCGACACTCTCATGCGTTCGTAGACGTGGACCACGGTCAGCGGTGGTGGGGTTGGTACAGACGGGGCAACCGCTGTGGTTGGTTTGACTTGTGCCGGGAGGACTTGAGAGTCTGACCTGGAGACATGAGTCGCACTCTCTGACAGGGTTGGAGTTGTTGTCGCAGCGGCCGTCAAGACAAGCGAAGTTGTACTGAGGCCGGAACCCAGGTTGGCAGTCAGACATTGAGCGTGCGCGGCAGGTGGATGCGGATGCGAATATAGCGCCCGTGCAGGGACAGTGATCTCGCCGAAGGGTGTCTTGCTTTCCATGGCTGCCAAGAGTCCCTCGCGAGTCCTGCGAAGATCCTGCTGCATCAGAGTGGCGCCGGGAGAAATAGCTGGGCCGCCTTGCGTGTCGATGCCCGCTTCGGGCCCGTACAGCCAGATGAGGTTCAAGTAGAGTGCTTTGGCGGTGTTGTGCTGGCGGACGAAGGGGGCCACGTTGAGAGCCAACGTGGCGCGGATGAAACGACATGTCGCCATGGTGGCCATGTGCCATTCGTCTCGCTCCTGTTCCGACACTGCACCCGATGCGAGGGCTCGAGGATTAGACCACTCCCCCAGGATGACCTTGGAGGAGTGAGGATTTCTGAGGAGGACAGGCTCGATGGATGATCGCCATGTTTTGAAGTTGGACTTGCCTAGTAATTGGCCGATTGTCGAAACGGGTGGGAATGACAAAGACTGAAAGTAAAAGTCGGTCGCCTTTGCGTTCTCGCTGTGGATGTTCATCGTATTCGGCATGTCGCAGCAAACAAAAGAGTACTCTGAGCCGCGCCTTTTCATCTTCTTAAAGAGGAACTCAACGCAGGCAAGACTTCCACATAACTGGAATGCCTTTTCTGCAGGGGGTCATCCTTAACTGCAGTGATTTGGGATGGAGCAATAACTCGATCATATCTGGCGTGGCGTATGAGACATTATGAACACTTACCGTCGTTTGCCCTCCGATTCCACCGCCTGACGAAATTGATGTTTCTGGGGACAACCCCAGGAACAAAGAAGTGCTTGATGGCTTGAGCGAGATAGCTTCTCAAGAATAGTCAATACAGGTAGGAAGAGCCCAAAAGGTTCCTGGTTGGACGGCCTGAGGCATGTGGCCTGCATGATATGGGACCCATGCGCACGAGGAATAAGACTTATCCAAGATTGTCGAAGATGGCTCAATTCAGACCCCGCGATCAATGTCTGAAACTTAGTCAGATAAACCAACTCTGACCTTTGCTGTTAAATTGGGTGCAAATAGCGGGACCCCAAGAAAAAAGAATCCTTGGAATATCTTGTCTGAAGGCCGTGGCACGATTCGTTCTGGAGTTGGACCTGTGTAACAGTGTCAGAGAAGTCAAGGAGTCCGGAAATTTTGTCAAGCCGGCAAAGAAATCTATTGAAAGAGTTAGATGCAAGTCAATAGGTCACAAAGACCGGGTACTGTCAGCCTCAGGGCCTCACACACTGTGGTCAAGCTCCAGACCTTTTGCATTAGCGTCCAGTGCTTTGGGCTCTCATCAATGACCTGCATACTCGTCTCGGGAGTTTGTGCCGAAGTGCGAAGCTGTTCTCTTCAACGTTTTCTGTAAAGGTGGAACTCCACACCGGTTGCCTTTCAGTTTTCAAAGGGGCACCAATTGGATGAAAAGCAAATTGCTTGCCGTAGGTTCTGATAGACGAGCAGTTAGTAGATGGAACTTACTGATAGATGGGCCTTATTCATCTTTGGCACCTACCTACATTAGTGTCACTTACCTGATCAGACATGCGCACTGGTGACCTGGAGAAATGCTTAATGGGAAGATATTCATGATCCTGATGTACCTGGAGGATTGTCTCGGGGAATCTGATCACCGCGATCTCTTCTTCTTCGAGAATGGGATTTTCTTGCCAGTTTGGAACTTCGCCATATGGTTAAGAAACCGGCCCGGCTTCACAACGACTGGCGAGATCTTGCCAGTTTGGAACTTCGCCATATGACTACGAAAACGCCCTGGCTCCACAACGGCTGGCGATACCTTGCCATTCTTGGACTTCTTTTTCTTATGTTCCCGAGTTTTCAAGTTTGGAAAATCATTATTGTCATTCGTCTTGTTGTTGTTCCTCTGCTTCTCATAGCAACTGAGTATATAGTCCAAAGCCTCTGATGCAGTGGTTGCTTTCTCACGGCTGTCCAGATGGTCTCTGAGGATTTCAGGCCCCGTGACCTGGTAATTCGCTGCTGGATGGGCGCAGGTACAGAGAGGTTGGCGTAAGCATGGGGTACATGCCGCGTTCAGGCTTTCCAGGCGTTGTCTACAGAGCTTTTCCCACATCTGGCAAGTGTACTGCCAGTACTCAGGCTTGGAAATTAGGAAGTGGGCTATCCAGGGAGAGCCCACGGCGTGTTGGTTGTATAGGAAACTTGAATCATCGTCGGCAACAGCGACTCTGAAGAGATGAATTTTGCGGCTCTCGAACAGATCGGCCCAAAGCTCGAGGTGTTCTGCAAATGTTTGGATGGTCACGTCGACCTCATTAGGTACGAGTGAATGGAGGGACCAGCTCAAGAATTCCTGAAGGGGTGTGTCCGCATGGCTGATAGCCCAAGCGACAAGCCAGGCCTGAGAAGGGCCCCAGCTATATAAACTGAGGCGATCATAGTGTGCGTAAAGGTGCCGAATGAGAATGTGATTTTGCTCACGCCAGGAGCTTGTTGAGCGGGCGTCATCTGTGAAGAGCGACCAATAATCTCTCGTCCAGAAACGCCAGCATTCCAGTATCTCATTAAGGGGTTCGGCCATCTTCTGGTCAATTGACGAAAACTGTGCAAACATGGTGTGAATCTTACCGTACTTATATATAATGAAGTGTGTTATCAAAAGGTTGCCTTCGGTGTTGTATGAGCAATCATGGTGGAAGGAAACCTGCGCATGAACAACCCCCTATCTATACCACGATCCCTGAATTCTCTCTTTGTGGGGCTTTTGGGGTATGCAAGAGTCGAACTCCTGGTCTCTTTGTCCCAATCTCTTTGAGGATGAATTGACACCAACACAGCGTCAAAGACGGATCCTTTGTTCATCCAACGTCCTTGGTCTCCTTTTTGCAATGCTGTCACGCACATGGACGTGCAGTCGTGCGATCGTCAAGCATCCTGGCCACACGCGATTGATGTTGTATTCTTGCCTTAGGTGTAGAACTTGAGACTAGCCATCTCTGTGTCGCCACAGCATAAAAGTTGCCCGAGATTTTGCTTAGAAGACAATAGCTATGCCTTCTGCCAGAGCACAAGAAATCACTTCTGCTCTTACATAGTGTAGCGAAAAATCATCACAGCCAGACCAGATCATGATCGAAGCATCGAAAGACCCAACACCATGTCCTTTTCTCCCCAAAGTCACATCTTGCCTTCCGCCGCCATGCGTTGTATTCGACTCAGTAAAACTGTGCCCTGCCTACCCAACTTTATCTTGCCGTTCTTGCCGGGTTTTTTGGCTTTGATCATTGCTCGACGCTCCTTGTCTCTCAATTCTCTGGCCCTCTGCTTTGCCTCAATGTTGGCTCTGTGTTGAGAAGCGAGCTCCAGCTCTTTCTTAAAGCGTGATTGCTTCGGTCTCCGTTGGCGGGGATGGTTTCTTGACGAGTGTCCCTGATCGTCGCGAGCGTCCCGACTATCAGCAGCTTCAACCATAGCCTGGCGGTCTGGGTGCAATTCGAGGCTTGCTGGTTCAGCATCCAAGGGTCCATCATGCGCCTCTTCGTCTTCGATGTGGGTTGATGAGACTGGGTTTGCGGCTTCTTCCTGCGCCTTGACTTTGGCATATGCTTTCTTGACCTTCGCCTTCTGGATGAGATCCCGTTTTATTTTTTGCGCTGGTAGCCGTTAGTAGGGTCTCTTTGACGCAATGCATTGGCTCACTTTTTCGTCGATAGGTTCCGTCAGGGAGATTTGCTGGCCCAACGGAAAAGCCCTTTCGTTTTTTGTTGTCTGGTTCATCTGCACCGACTGGACGGTCATCGCTACTTCTCTTCGTGCCCATGTTTCCTACTTTCGTGAATGGGATACGTGATGCAATTCTTAACACCGGCAAGGGCGTACAAAGGAAGCAATGCGACAAAATTGAATGGGTTGCCATAATTAAATTCGCTGGCGCGGGGAATACTCGTAATGGCCGATTAGCGGTGGACCATGCGCCGTCGAGTATGACATGGCATGACCAGAGGAGTCATCCGCTCATCGATTCCCGTTCCACTTCATACATTCCGCCAGCTTCCCGACTTGCCCTTCTATCTCTCCCTGTCTCACCATTTCGCCTACACCCCGCTTGCTAAACAAGCCTGACTTTGTGGTACCTCGATCCTGTCGACTCATGCGGCCGTCTTGACGAAGTACTGCACCTTAGTTGTCCCGAGGGATCGCTCTTTGTCCGCGATGTGGCCGCCGAATACGAGCCGTCTTAAGAAGGCAGACTGTGAAAGAGAGGAGCCTTCGCACCTACCATTTCTCTTGTCCTGCTCTTTACATTATTGGGAGCATGCCATTCGTCTTCGAGACGGAAGACGTTTGTGAAAGACGAACGAAGAGACGCAAGATTACACCATACCTGAACATGGCGAGGGATTCGGCTCAGGCATATTACGATATTGAGGTGTCTCCCAAGAGCCAGGCAAATGGAGCACAAGACAATTCTCGCTTTGTAAAGCAGAGAATTGAGGAGAGAGCACCTGTACCTGTTACAACTAGTGATCGAGAAGAGTTGATCCAGTGTATTAAAAAGGGACAACGGCCAACCTGGGTGCCCAAGCCTGGGCTTGAGGCTCTATGTGCTGAAGTCAATGCTGAACAAAAGGATACCCGTGCCAATCTGGCACAGTCCAAAAAGGGTTCTCACTCTTCAAAGATGCAAGACTTGCACGAATGGGAACGACCAAGCCCTACATCCACCCATTCAGTGACCGCCACAGAATCTTTGAGACGATCCTTGTCTGCCTTACACACTGGGAACTTTCGAGACGAGCAGTGTCCCCCTGCAGACATTAACGCTATTTCAACGCCGACAAGGCCCTATCCGCTTGCCAGTTATGGAGCTCCGTCGCTAACAGCATTTTCCGATGTGCAGCATCTTGCCACTTTGCCGTCACCTACCGAGCATTCAAATGCCTTGAGACGATGCCGAGCGCCTTCTTTAGGGAACGGCTTGTCATCAAGCTTCGTCATGCGGGTTCCAACCAGTCCACTAGTCCACGCAGTGAACAGTCCTTCCTTAGACTTTCCCACACAAGAATCCCAATGCAACGACGGATCCAAGACCTCCAGGAGGCGGACTATGCCGCCGAGTGCTTTTCAGCCCTTGTGTGCCTTGCCCCTCGATCATCATCCATCCAGCAGTGCAAACCTACCGTCAACGTCATATCCTCATCATGAAAGGAACATTCTGCCTCATCGACCTCGTCGCTCACTCAGCTCGTTTACCTACCAGCCGGCAAGCAGCCCCCAGCTATACTTTCCAGGCAGGCCAAGGCGTCCATCGGTGACATCGGATCCCTCACCTCGCCAGCGGGCATCCATGGTTGGGTCTTTCGAGGAGTCTATTCTCCGAGGTCGAATGTCCACTCCCGCTTCTAAACCTCTCGATTTTGTTGCACAAATTGGCGTGGTTGGGAAGGGCAATTGTCCACCGAGTTTGAAATGCCCAGCGCATGTCACCGTTCCCTTCCCTGCCGTTTTCTACAACTATCCATCTGCCCATAACTTCAGGTCTATATCAGATGATAACCCAAGTCCTTATGTTGGGACAATTGATCTGGAACGAAACTTGAAACCTCCTGAACCTCCATCCCGACGGCTCCGGCGCTCTCATGAGCCTGCTGATATCGAAGACTCAAGATCTGAGGCTACAGTTGTGGAAAAGCCCTTCTCCAGAGATGTGTCAGAAAGACGGAGCAAACGAAGTAGCTGTCCCAGAGTACCTACAGGGGGTGCCTATCGAGTGCCACAAAAGGGTCAGTTGCAGATCATCATCAAAAACCCAAATAAAACCGCGGTGAAGCTTTTCCTGGTACCTTACGATCTCGAGGGAATGTCCCCAGGAACGAAGACATTTGTTCGACAGCGAAGCTTCTCGTCAGGCCCAATCTTGGAAAACGCACTAATGGAAAACAATGTGAACGCGTCAGCGTATGACCCCCTGAGTAACAAAGATATTCTCCGGTATCTAATCCACCTGAAATTTTGTTCGACGGGTAAGGCCCGATTCTATCTCTACGACAATATTCGCGTTGTTTTTGCCAACCGCGTGCCTGATGGCAAGGAAAAGCTGAGAAATGAGGTGCAACTGCCTGAACCGAGGTTCAGTCCATACAAGCCAGCTGAGATTGGATCCCGAAGTCCGAGCATTTCCGAGCACAAGTTCTCGAGTTCATTGAAAGAATCGACCTATACAGATCTCGGAAGCCTAGATGACATGCTCAACCCGCGTGTGATTCCATCTGACAACGCGGGAGAGGCTCCTTCAATGGGTATGTTTCACACTGCCCGTTCTGAGAAATCATCTCTTGTAGGCCTCAACATAGTCAACGGGAACGAAGAGATGTGTGCCGCAGCCGATCAAAGCGTGCCTGCGGTCTCTGGGTTCTTGCCATCAACGTCTTCGCGAAATTCACCTGTTCCCTGGCTGGACCCTAGTGGCAACCCTGTTGCGCGTGGACTGTCCCCCGCGCCGTTGGAAGTGGGCGATGGTTTGATCTCGCGCAAGCTTCGAGAGTTAAACGGCACTGCCGGCAGGCCTTCGTGAACGGACCAGATTCGAGGGGTGCATGGGATTCCTCTCTTGTCAGGTCTTGTTGGGAGTTCACCGGGAGTCCAATCGCAAAGGGACGATCGAATTACTGGGAATACCCATTCGGCTTCCAGGGGGGCGTTAGGATGGCGTTGCGAGAATCATAGTAATAGAAAAATAAGTTCATCTCAGTGCACAGTTTCCCATTTTCTCACCCTGCCACTCTGTCACTCTGTATTCCTGTGTACTCCACTCCCGATCGGCATTCCGAGGACGACTGGTGGCAGCCTAAGGGGAGCTGCCGGTTCGCCTGGAATAATCTCTAGGGGGCTTGAAGAATCGCCTGCTCGAACGAACGAGTACACTGCAAGGACGGGAACAGGGACAAGGATCAAGGACAGTAGCAACGCTCCGTCATCTGTAGGGGCACAGCCTAGCGGAGTCTGGCCAGAGAAGCGCGCAGTTCCTGCTGCCCCAGCTCGCACATCTATTGATCAATGATGTGGCTGCTGCTGACGGATAGAGCGAGGATCGGGGAGCCATGGCGAGCCAACAGAAACGCCTATCGCCCGCACTAAAGTCTTTGATCCGCTGCCAACGCTCTCGCATCCCAGTCTCCAATTCGCCTGGCGTATCTGCACCTTGCACCTTGCACACTCACACTCACACTCACACTCTCACCTCGCTCGTCCTTTCCCTCGGCCTGACTTTTATCTCGTCCAACACGCACAACCAAGTCGAAAAAACGTTCCTCATCCTCCTCTTTCCGTTCTTGTTCACCTCGTGACCGTCTAGCTGATCTTCATCCACGACGGCCTGATGCAACGATCATAGCCTTTTCGCCTCACTCCCACCACAACGTCGATGACCTGGGGAGTCATCCGAAACGAAGATGCACAAGATCAGCAACTTCACCGGCCAGGCTCGCCATGGCTGGGAACGGATGACTCCAGCAGCGTTCGGCATGTCCAGATTCCATCAAGACATGTCTACGCCGCAGCCATTGAGACGTCCTCAAGGCCCCCCAGCAACCGGTTCCGCCGACTTGACTCCGGTCAACCTATCCTTCAACGTCCCTTTTGCTTCGTACCTTGCCGGCCCCGACCCAGATGATATCCTCCACTCGAGTCCCGGCGCGTTTCAACGATGGACATTTCCTGCAGACACTCCTGAAGGTACGCCAATTCATCAGCTCCCGGTCCATATACAGAACGAAGAGAGACTGCGATCGTTGTGCACGTACATCAGTGACCAGAGTGGTGGCCGTGTGCAAGCAACGGTGACTTCATCCGAGCCCAAGGCTGGACCTGCCTTGCACAGAAAATCACAAGGATTGGTCACCAATGTCTGTATTTCCGGAGAGGGAGAGTTAGTCTACAAGATGCGGTCCAAGATTCTGAACGAGACCCCTATCATGATGGTATGATGAGCAATATGAGATTCACGTGCGCTGCTAATAGAGATAGCGCCCTGCGATTGTGGACATTGACCCAGGCTTGATACTCGACGACGGGGAGACCGGAGTCCGATCGAGCGTACTCAATCACATTGATCTGTGCGCTAAGTACACAGGTATTATTCATGCCCGAACCTGCAATTTTCCCGCTACTAATCTGCTCAGGGACGGATATCTTTCTTCTCAAGCCTAAAAATGGAGAGGCATCCTCAACAGCTGCTTCATATGGCAATGGTGTGGATAGTGGACTCGACCAACGGTATCGAGTGAACATCTTTGGAGATATGGAGAGTGTTGAGCATGCAAAAACCAGGGCACTGATGATGATAGATCAAATTGTAACGTCCTCACACTGAAGGTCTTTTGACACTATGCAACTAACGTACGTACAGCTGAAGCACAAGATCGACGTCATAAAGCTCGAAGTCACCATGCACACACTTGTCTCTGGTCGGACTGGTAAGAATATCAAGATGATTGAATCGGCCACAAAGACTGCCATCTATTTCCCTCCGCCTTTCCCTGGAGTCTTTGGCTACATCCCCCCACATGCCACTCGTCGTGCCGCGGATGAAATCTTCATTACGGGAGAGAACCAGGAACGCATCAACCAAGCGAAGCAAAAGTTGAAGGAGCTAGTAATGGGCATCAAACTATATTCCAAAGATGCGGTTGTCTCTGCGAGCAAGATTGACAACATACTGCTTGACCGCCTGGACAAGGTCCGCAAGATTATGGAAACAAACGGTTCCCACGTCCTATTCCCCCAGCTTGCTAGTCAGCGTGGCATCATTCGGGTCCAAGGCACGGAAGTCTTACATGTCGAGCGAACGGTCAAGGAGATCATGGCACTTGTATGTATCTACATGCCGCTGGCCAGAACGCCGCTTTGCTAAACGCTGACGTTCGATTAGGCCGGTCAATTTTTCAGTGCGTCGTGGTGGATCATAATGCCCGATCCGTCACAAGGTCCTGCCATCCGAGCACCATCTCCCGACGATATCCGCATCATGCTGAGTGATATTTGCACCAACTCGGGAGCTGAGATTAGTTTCGAGAAGTTCACATTTACTATCAACGGGTCTGATGACGCTGTCAAAGCGGCGATGATGGTCATTAATCAGATACCATTTGTCAAGCGAACCCCATATCAGATTCGCGTCAAGATTGAACTTGCGAATGAGCACAAGGAGTTTGTGAGCGGCAAGAAGAACGGGAAGATTAACAAAATCATGGGCCAGAGTAAGTTCACTTTCTCACGGGGTGTGTAGCATCTAACACATGGAATCAGGCAATGTGCAGATCATCTTCGACGGCTTTAACGAATACAATTTCTACATTGATGTCGTGGGTAGCCAGTATGAAGCCACGAAGAATGGTCTGGATCTTGTTGAGCAAGAAATGCCGGCATCTATATCTTTCCACGTACCAGATCAATATCACAAACGCATCATTGGCATTGGTGGACAGCACATTCAACGGATCATGAAGAAGTATTCCGTTTTCGTAAAATTCTCCAACGCTATGGATCGAGGGGGTGTTGGCAAGGACGACGACGACATCAAGGTTGACAATGTCATATGTCGTACGCCTGCTCGCAATGCGCAAAGCCTGGATTTGGTGAAGCAAGAGATCATGGATATGGTGGAGAAAGTTGTAAGCGATGATGATTCCCCGACTGACAAGCCCATATCCTTATCAGATGAATCTATCTAGGACGCCGAATTCGTCTCCGAAACTGTGGTCATAAATCGACTCTACCACCGGGAACTCATTGCTCGACTAAGCGAGATCGAGGATCTGGAAAAGAAATGGAATTGCAAGATTGACTTTCCCAACACAGAACAAGCCAGTGACATTGTCACCATTTCTGGACCAGAATACCAGGTCCCCCAAGCTGTAGATGCCTTCCTCGGCATGGTACCCGAAAGCCATGAGATTGCCTTCCAAAAGGCGGAAGATCTCGATACATTTTTTTCTACAGCCGAATTCTATACCGACCTCCGACAAAAACTGAGAGACCAGTACGAAGTTGACGTCCATGCCAATCCGGAGCTTAGTAGCCTACCGAAGTCCGCCACAGCCTCTGTTGAGCGAATCGTCGGCCCATCTGAGGGACGACTTGTTCTTACTTACACCCGCAACAATGCCGGAGGACTCAAAGACGCCATCGACTACCTCATCTCTCAGTTGGTGCCACACGGTCTCGATGCGACCACTGTCAAAGGTGCTATTCCCCGTCCGAAGTCAGACTCGTTTGAGGATTCTCTGCCCTTCTTCGACTCAAAATTACTCCAAAATGCGCCGTCTCTCCACTCCACCGATTCTCCGACGCGATTGAGTTTCGCTGACGGGGAACATACCCCAGTCTCTGAACGCGCCTCCCTGTTTGACCGCCTACGCAAGCCTGGCAGCATTTCGTCGTTCTCGTCGTTTATGAGCCGCAAGAACCAAAACAACTCTCCGGGAACCTTCTTCAAGCACGCTTCTTCCAATGCCAGCAAGGCATCTCTAATTTCTATGGAAAGCCGCGAAAGCGGCTATAGAAATTTTTGGAATGACAGCGGGGTCAATCTCCCTGAAGAAGATGTATCTGCTTCGTCACTGAGTGCGGGCTGGCCGTCGCGCTATGAGAACAAGTTTCCCTTCGGAACAGGAACCTCTGTGTCGGGTGACAGAACGCCAAAGCATGAACACCCTCGCGCGAGTTTCGACTCTGGAAGGCCTTTGACATCCCACTCATTCTCCTCCTATCAAGGCCCCATGGGCCCACAACATCATAATCCGATGTTGACAGGTACCAACGGATCAGCTAACCATTTAAACCTCCCTCTACGCTAGAGGGGACTATGATGCTCGAAATCGACGAATGATACCCCTTATATGGATATGGAAATCATGATTTATCTCTTCTTATGTGCAGCAAGATACGATACCCTCTATGCTACAATGAAAAGTCAAAAGATGGAACCAGGCAGTTTTTGATGCATCGGGCAAGATGCAACCACAAGCGTGTTTTGAGTATTGATTGACATTGGTGGTTGAAGGGTTGCGAGAAGATCGTTTTTTGAACCATTCAACGACGTTCATTATGCCTTTGTTTTCACTTTGATTGCAATTTTTTTTTTTGAAGATGATACCCACGTTCTCAATCCGACGATTGTTGCAACTTCATCGTTGATGACAGCAATGCACGGAGAAGCCATGAATATTTCGGATGGCCACTAAAAGAACCATATATACCCCAGAAGGCTATCTAGAAGACCGAGTCCATTTACGAAACACCTCCTGACTGCATTTTCTTATGTCTTGTATCCGTTATCATGGTAGCTAATTTAGGATACACGTAGCAGCCTCTCTGGCGCACTGCGGGACAGGTAGAGGAACTAGCAGTCACGTGGGGGGGGCCGCTGCTGAGTCATCCCCAAGATTCAACGTGGTGCAGCCCGCACAGGGGGAAGTCTAGTGACTCTAGTGACTAGGCGCAGGCGCGACTGTCCGCGCTGCGCGTCCGCCCCAAATCTCGAAAGCAAACAATACCGGAGGCTATCCCTAAATGTCGCCCAATCTCTAGTAGTCATCTCCATCACTCGACCTATGTTCTTCTCACCTCCTTGGTCATGCCATTAGACGAATCCTTGCAGACAGCCAGACATGGCCGACCTCAACATCAAACTGGGTCTGACGATTGTGACCCAAGATGGAAGAGAAGGGATAGTCCGGTATATTGGGCCTCTGCACATCGCCGCTGGTGAATGGCTAGGCCTCGAACTTCCGGATCAGTCGGGCAAAAACGATGGGTCTGTCAAAGGCCAGCGCTATTTCCAATGTACTCCTGGCTGTGGCATCTTCGTGCGAAAGGAGTCCGCAGTCAGCATCTCCAGACAGGCCTCACAGAACCCCAAATCCAACGGGGCCCCAACCTCGAATGGCACCTCCACGAAACCGAGGCCCTCCAGCGGAGTGACTGCAGATGTGGCGAGGAAGAGACAGAGTTTGATGAGCTCAGGCTCGGGATCGGCCACCGCGTCAAGATTGTCATTGAGAGTGAGCTTGTCCCAATGTTTACAAACGTCTTTGTACTGAATCCGTCATGAAAGTCTCCTACGAAATCACCTACGAAGCCAGCACTATCTGTAGCCAGTTCGACTGGATCAACCCCACGGACAGGAACCCCTGCGACCACCGCACGAACGTCCGATTCCAGTACTAGATCTAGGCTCAGTACAACTGGAAGATCGTCAATGGCTCCGCCTAGCACAACAACACGATCGAGTTCAGTCGCGAGTCGACAGTCTTTGGTAGGCGGTGCAGTAAAACCCCTGTCCGCGAGACCTTCATCAATACAGTCCCGACAGTCTTTGGCAGGCCCGCGACTATCCATGGTCTCAAAAGCAGCTCCCCAACGTGACACGGTGATATCGCCCTCTGGATCTCATGAAAGTATCTCGTCACCCCCGCTACATGAAGAAAAGGAGTCGGGGTGGGAAGCAAATACCAACACAGACCAGCATAAGTCTGAACGTCCAAAAGTGCAAGATCAACCACTTCAGGTTATCGCACAACACCCACAATCTGATGCTCCGCCTCGAGATGTCGGGAGCACGCTGCCGGAGGATCGGTCGAGACACGCCCAAGTTATCAAGACCCTTGAAATCAAGGTCCGCAGCTTGCAGAAACAGCGTCAGGACGACCAGACTCAGCTACAAGGGCTTCAAGACCTAAGAAACCAAGTTGCACGGTATGAGGGTATCATTCAAACACTGCAGAAGAAAATCAAGACCAATCAACAAGAGATGGTAGACCTCAAGGCTAAGTATGACGATGCAGAGAGCCGGGCACGCAATATCCCTGACCACAGCGCTGAGCACGAATCCGAACTTGAGCTGGCTACGCTTGACAAGGAGATGGCCGAAGAACGTGCTGATGCGTTCGAGGCAGAGCTAGAAGCTTTGAAATTGAAGCATGAAGAATTAGAGCTCGAAGCTGAAATCCTGAGAGAAGAAAACAGGGAACTGAGTTCAGTTATGAGTCCGGAAGACAAAGCCAGTGCTGGCTGGCTTCAGATGGAGCGTGAGACGGAAAGGTTGCGGCAGGCATTGGTCATGTTGCGTGACATATCTCAGCAGAACGAAGCCGATATGAAGAGTGAAATCAGAGAGCTTCACGAGACGCTCGATGAGCTGGAACATTCGGCTTCCAAATACGAAGAGGCCATGGCCAAACTGACCAAGTCCGAAGAGACAAATCAACATCTTCGAGAGCAACTTGAAGCAGCTGAAGCGAATGACGATATGCTCGAAGCCATGAGCGCGGAACGAGACCAGAATCGTAGCGAGATTGAGTTGCTCAAGCGACAGATCCAGGACCTCGAGGAGCACATCCAGGTGACCGATGAACTGGAAGCCTTTCACGTGGAAGAAGAAAAACGTCTCCATTACCAACTAGATGAGAGCGAGGCAATCATCAATGACAAACAACGGCGCAGTCTCGAGCAACAGAAGACCATTGAGGATATGGAATACACTCTGAGCAAATTCAGGGAGGTTGTCCAAGGACTTCAGGGTGATATCGATGAGCTTCGACGGTCACGAGAGATCAGCGAGACAGAAGCCACCGAAATGAGTAGCAAGTCACGAGCCATGATGGAACTGAACCTCAAATTGCAAAACTCGGCGACCAAAACGCAGCTGAAGGCAATTGATCTTGAAATGGGGAGAATGCGGGCTGAACAAGCAAGTTTGCACCTTGAAATTCTGAAATACTTCGTCCCGGAATCGTTCGAGGTGGACAAGAAGCCCATTGCTGCTCTCTTGTGCTTCAAGAGGATCAAATCGAAAGCAGACTTGTGCAAGACTGTCCTGATGGATAAAATACGAGATCGGCCTGATCTTCTCCAAGACAATGCAATGTCCATTTTTGCTGTGATGGAAAAGATGAGCTACATCGCCAATATCTGCGAGAGATTTGTGCAGTTCATGATGACTTGTTCGTTGAGCGATTTCATGAAATACGCAGCTGCCCCCTTTGAACTTGAGCCGGTGGAAATCGCGATCACAGGCTGGGTTGAGGCGTTACGCCGCGATGAGTTTGCGTCTGATGGAGCCGAGCACTTACAGCGTATGGCTGGCATACTTGTAGACATGGCGGAGAAATTGCTCTCCGACAGTCTCGAAACCAAGGCTATGGAGGTTTTAGCAAACGCTTCCATGACTGAAATGTACACCGACAGCGTGGCACATCAAGCACAGATCCTCGCGAAAGCGGTGCAAGCCAGACTGGGAGATCCAACTACTGACGACGAAGATGCTCTGACCTTTGAGAAGAGAGTGGATCAACTTGGCATCAAGGCCCGCACAGTCAAGTATACTTCTGGGAAACTCCTCCATGTCCTCGATGACCTCAGAGCTCGCTCGATGTGCCTCGGTGAGCCACTATGGCATTCATTTGCAGATGCGGAGCACGCCGCCTCAACTTTGTCACAACTTACTCAACATGTTGGACATGCAGTCATGGAAGAACTCAACAAGATCGAAAGAGATGAACCACTTTCATACACGACCTTACTTGATATCATGTCGAAGGTCGTTGGCGAAAAGCGACTAGCTTCTACCATGCATGTAGACTCGGAGGGAGCTTTGGACATCTTGATGAAGCACTTGTCGGTTCTGCAGACCACGATCGATGACCTGCACACCAGGTCGGCCGACTTGTCCGGAGCACTTGAATTTGAGAAGGGTCCTCCGCCATGGATTGTGCGAGCGAAAGAAGTCAGCGCGCAAAAGGTTTTGTCACAAGACATGCAGGAGGAGATGGCTCGGCTCAAGTCAAGGATACAGGAACAGACCATTCGAATCAGCGAGAAGGACAGGCTGCTTGAAGAGCAACAAATCAAGGTCGAGCTTCTCGAGTCCAGAGCGAGAGAGACCAAGATGAAGGACGATGGCGTCAAAGCTATGAAAGAAGAAATTGAGAAGCTGCGAGCCGAAAGCGCGACAGCTTCCGACAGTCTACATCGACTTCAGGCTGAGCACCGTGCTCTGCTTGAAAATCGGGAAAGCGAGAGATTGGAACTGGACTCCATAAAGCGGAGAGCACCCGCGGACAGCCAAGGATTGCCAACTGGTGCCGTGGACGAAACCACGTCTTTGCATTTCAAGGCCGAAGTCGAACTACTGAAGACTGAGATCTTGAGTCTACAAGCATCTGTACGATTCCTGAAGTTCGAGAACACACAACTCCTAATGCCAGTGGACAAAGTTGGCATGGACGCTGTTGAACACGGCTGGCTTGATCCCAGTCAGCTCAAACCAAGTCGGGCCGAAGACAAAACCATGGAGTTACGCACTGAATCCAAGGATGTTTTTGCCGACCTCATGCGTCTGGCCAAAAGCTCGCAACCCATCAAGTTGGTTGCAAAGTCAAGTTCCGACCAGGCCGGTGCAAGTCGGGCATCTACCTGGCGATCACAGTCGACGACAACGCTCTACCAAGTTCTTCAGCGAAAAGAGGAACTAGAACGGTGGAATGAAATGAAAGACGATTTGGTAAAGAGAGCCAGAATCATCATGCGACCTTCAAAGCCGCGACATATTGGTGAGGGGCAATTTCGCGGCTTGTACGAACAACAGGCCTTCATGCCGTCGAGCGACGGCGTGCACATCGTGCAGCATTGATGTGAAAACAGGCCTACTGACACTGGCTGTGCTGGGTTCGCTAGACTGCGCTCTGAGTTGGATCAATGGACCCAGTGAATGATTGGTCAAGAAGCCGGATACCTCCAAAGGGCGGCTGTCTTGAAACTGATAACATTTGAATTGAAATTTTGGCTACCTCTTCATGTACATTGGCACGCATAAGCTCTAGGGTGGAGTCAGGACAGTAACCCCGTTCATAAGCATTTGTCCATCGTCCGCAAGGAGTCAGCGTGGCCTTGGAAGATGTTATACTGACAAGGTTCTGTCTGACTCTGCAAAATGAGGAACAATTCGTTCTGACGTCTGAGAATAGTAGGCCCCGTCTACACCCAAGTGGTGGAGTAGTAGCCAGCATGGTCGGATATGAAGGACGAGAGTATTACTGGAATCTGCACGAAGGCCCAAGCCCAAGCCCAAGCCGCCACTGGGAGATCGAATAGCTACTTAACGGGGAAATTTCTCATACAAGTACACCTACCAGGTAGTGAGCCTAAGCTTCCAACCTGCGTTCTGTGCGTATAGCAAGTCCTGTATCTTATCCTTTCCCGCACATGATACACGAGACCTCTTTTGAGCCCGAGACACAAGGGAGGAGCTCTAAGGCGGAGGGAATGGAACTTGCAGTCATGCCTCAACTGTTTTCTTCATCCACGGACTTTGGCCCTGGCGGCAGTCCTGGTGACAGCGTTCGCCCCTCGATCGCATCTCACCAGGCTGTCTACGAGGCTGTCTACGACAGTTTTGGCCACTCCAGCGAGCCAGGGAAGAAGAATCTTGGACGGGGCTTCTGTTGCATGAACCTCGTCCGCGATGTCCCTATAGCAAGTCTCAAGCAGTGTTGCGGATCAGTGCGTCAGGCCGATCTCTGAGATTCATCGGGTTATGATGTCTGTTGTATTATGCAGGTGGAGCACCGCACTAACTAAGGTAGTTAAGCTGGCAAAAACAAGAAGTCCAGACGCTTGGCCATGGTGGCGCAGACATTGACCGGTGTACCTTGCCTACCCTGGGACTGAGACCGAGACCACGTTGCGCGTATCCGACTTATACTGTCTGCAGTGTGAGGTGGTTGGATTATGGCTGATGCCGTCAGCTGTTACGAGTGCGGTCGTGGATGGGCGGATGGAGTATATTCGGCCGGATAGCGATAAGGGCGACTCCGACTCGGGCAGCGGGCTACAGCTTCAGATCCTGCGAGGGAGATTTTTAAGCTTAACCAAGACATTGATACCCCTGACTGATCGACGTCATGAATCCGTTGTTTGAGGCGCTGGTGGAGGCCACGGTGGAGGCCATGGTGCCCGTTAGCCCGGGAGTCAGTGAGGTCTTGTACAATATCTCATGCAATGGTGTCTGTGTGCCAGGGAAGTCTATCGCGACGTGGGAAGGGGCGGGACCGACAATGCTAGTGGTGCTTCGATCTCTCAGATAGAGGGAAATCCAATATTCCATCGTTACCGTAACTAGAGTGAAATGTCTCCTCCATCGACCATCCGAGCCAAGTGTGGCAGTGCTGTTTAGTGTTTTCAAAGCGGACAAGCTCCCCATCGTCCCACGTATCGCAAACCGTCGAGATCCCAGTCCTTCCCTGTCTCTCACCTTCAAGTTTCCGTCACCACGAGTGTTTGAAGAGGCTTCTACAGTCTGTACAAGGTCAATCTTCCATACCCCGCCACTTCTTTTTTGACTCTCTTGGCGAGCTGCTTGGTCTGAGCGCCGGCCCAACTATTGTACTTGCTGCTGGAGCTTCACTCGAGACCGCAACAAACCAAAGCTTCCTCGTGAATCCGCCTCCCCCCAACCGCAAGCGGACGCTTTTGAACGGCCAGGACGTATTCGACAACCACCGCTCTCCTGCGTTAGATTTCATTCCACCCTCTTTTCGCCATCCTTCCTTCTCTTCCTCTTTCCTTTCCTCACCGCATCGCTGCCTCCGCTTATTAGCTCAGGCCCGCTGGCGAATGGGTACGTATAACACCCCATCCTCGATCCAACGCCCTTACTCGCACACTGCACTGTACACCTTCAAGACCACCGTGTCGACACTCTTTGCTCGGTATCTCTGTCCAGTTATTGTCACTTTTGCTCTGTGTTCATCGAGACTAACGTGCGTTGGACGTCGCCATGACGGCGATGTCTGCCAATCCCACAGCTGCAAGCAAGATTCGAACTGCCTTCTTGAGGACTCTCACCGGCGAGCGTGACCGACAGCGGGAAAACGGCTCTTCCATGCCTGCGACCACCGACGATGGCGGCCTGAATGGCCGGGCCGCCGCTCCTGACGAGCGGACGAGCTTGCTGAACAGATGGGGATCTACAGACTCGGGGACGCCATACCACAAACATGAAAACAAGGCCATCCGGTATCCTTTCCTTGTGCTGCATTTGACATGGGAGGTGCTTAAAACAAACTACGTGAATGTGCTCTTGGTTTTCGTGCCCTTGGGCATCATAGCGGGATTGACCGACTGGTCGCCTGTCTCGCAGTTCGTGCTGAACTTCATCGCCATCATACCCTTGGCCAGTCTGCTTGCTTTTGCGACCGAGGAGCTTGCTATCCCGTTGGGCCAGACAATCGGTGGATTGCTGAACGCTACCTTTGGAAATGCCGTCGAGCTTATTGTACGTCTCATCTCTCTGGAAATGAGGTCATCAGGCTAACCATGGACTTTACAGGTCAGTATCATCGCGCTACAAAAAGGCTACATCCGGATCGTCCAGGCTAGTATGCTGGGAAGCATCTTGTCCAATATTCTGTTGGTTTTGGGATGCTGCTTCTTTGCCGGCGGTCTACGATACAAGGAACAGACATTCAACTCGACGGTTGCATCGACCATGTCCTCGCTCATGACAGTCGCGACCAGCTCTCTGATCATTCCGGCAACACTCTACGCAGTCATGGCTGAGAACAAGTCGCAGGAGGACAACATCATGATCCTCTCACGTGGCACGTCCATCATCTTACTCTTGATCTATGTTGCCTACCTATACTTCCAACTCAAGTCCCACGCCGACATGTTTGACGATGCAGAAGCTCAAGAGGGCGCCGACGAAGAGGTCCAACTTCTGGGTCCCTGGGCAGCTGCCGTGGTTTTGATCGTTGTCACGCTGCTGGTTGCGATCTGTGCCGAGTACCTTGTCGGAAGTATCGATGCCATTGTCGAGAAGGCCAACATCAGCAGAACTTTTATCGGTTTGATCTTAATCCCGATCGTGGGTAACGCAGCAGAACATGTCACGGCGGTCATCGTCGCCTGGAAAAACAAGATGGATCTGGCTATTGGCGTGGCTATTGGCTCAAGTCTGCAAATTGCCATCTTCGTCACTCCATTCTTAGTCGTGCTGGGTTGGATCATGGGTCAGCCAATGACCCTACACTTTGAGACCTTCGAGACTGTCTCTTTCTTCTTGGCCAGTCTTGTCGTGGTTCTTCTCATTCAAGACGGCAAATCCAACTATTTGGAGGGACTCCTGTGTCTGGGCATGTACATTATCATCGCTCTTGCATTCTATGTTTTACCTGATGATGCAAGCAGCGGGTTGGGAAACCTCTTGCACGGCTGAGGTGCTCTGATTGAAGGTCTATGCGGAGTGGCAGAAGATGTGAAAGCAATTTTCCATCAACAAGAGAAACATACCTTTCCTCTCTTGTATTACTTTTGGGGTTCTTTTGGCAGTGGAAAGGTATGAAAATAATCAAGCAGAAAGAGTGGAAGAACTCAAGGCAGATGGCGAAAGACAGGAATACTTCGTCACAAAGCAAAGCGAAAATCGACGGGAGACACATCGTATGGAGTAGGGGACAGCCACAGTACCACGTGTGGTTGCTGTGAGGGAAATCTCTTCTTTCTTTTGGTTTTAGATACCCGCGAGGACTCTCTAGGAGTTTCGTCTGATTGAAATAAAAGTATTAAAACCGTCCTCCACTGATGGTGCCTTAGTAGCTTCAACACTCACCACAGATTTGGGGAGGACTACTGGAGAGCATTTCCCTCAGTAGCGTGAAATTAATCCGGCCAAGTATTCGGCCGGTTGCGTTCAATGACACGTGACATACTTCTCCACACTTCCGCTCATCGCTGGCCTCGAGCTTTACAAGAAATCCATGACTGCACGATACGTCGGTGGTTTTATTTCGACATACCACACCACACATTGCCCACGATGCCCCCGCGATTACATCTCTTCGCCGCCCGATCGGTAACATTCAGGCCCAAGCCCTCGGCCTCTTCCCAATCCTTCACCCCCCCAGCGGTCCTGCAGCAACGGACAGCAAGCGATGATGTGTCGAAGAAACCGGCAACCACCCCTGTCGCCCCGGGTACCAAAGCCCCATACCAGGACCAGTTACCACACGTAACGGAGGAGCAAGCGGCGTTGGACAAATCTATGGGGGAAACTCCACCAGATATCGAGCAGGGTACACCCGTCCAAGAGGTAAGGGAATATTCACGGGGACACCAACCAAAAGGCTCGTTCATTACTGACTCGGGCGGATCAACACGGTAGATCTTGCGAAGAGACAAGGATGCACAAGAAAAGGCTCCAAAAGTTTTGAAAGACGACCTGAAAAAGCCCTCACCGCCCGGCACGCGATCGTATTCGACTGCGGTAGAGAGGCCACTCCCGTCACAGAACAACGCGAGGGTCGAGTTTCGGGACATGAAAGTCGTGGGCCTAGACTATCCTGATGCTGGGTTTGGCCACAAGTTTGTTCTGCCGGATATTCAGGGCATGACGAAACTGGACAACTTCAGAAGTCGGTACGACCCGGTGGTAGACCAGGTCACGAAGAGCATCATGAGGCACGGGAAGCTGAGTAGGGCTCAATCTGTACGTTGTGCTCTTCCTTTGGTTTTTTTTTGTTACCGCGTTCCGCCCCCTGTTCCTTTCATTTTGACCCCCTGTATCGTATCCGTTGGGACACTGCTGACTCCAATTCGCAGAACATGACTACGATTCTCGACATCCTGCGTACGGCTCCGGTCCCCTCTGCGGCAGGTAACGAACAGAGCAGCACCGGCACCGAGAGATCTCTGGTGTCCACCGTGCCTCGCGAAGCACTTCCCCTCGAACCGGTGAAATATCTCACGGCAGCCATCGACTCGGTGGCTCCACTTATCAAGATCCGGCAACAAAAAGGTATCATGGGCGGCGGTGCCAGTTTGCCCCTCCCCGTACCATTGGGCCTGCGACAGAGAAGGCGGACGGCGATACAGTGGATACTCGCGGCCGCCGACAGCAGAAGGGAACTCACCTTGGCCGAGCGGGTTGCCAAGGAGGTTATAAATGTCGCGGAGGGTAGAAGCTCTGCGTGGGAAAAGAGACAGAGAGTACATAGGCTCGCCATCAGTGCAAGAGCCAACATCCGAATTGCGGCCGGCGGGAGACGAATCAAGAAGAAGGCAGGATCCCGTTAGTAGATTTGGTTGGTCTTGTTGGATTCTTGAGTGTCGTACGAGGTGGTGAGGAGGATATCGAGTATCTCCACACTGAGTTCGGATACTTGCCAACCCTCGACTTTGACAAGTATTGTTGAAGGACTATCTCTGTCCTTCCCTTTTTTGGGCCCAAGTGTCTTACTATGGACGGATGGACGGACGTGACACCAAAAGAAAAAAAAAATGAAACGGACCTACGAGGGTAGGTAGGTAGCGTTCTTGATAGGGATATTTGTACTATACTACCATGTGTATATTGTACGTGACGACAATAAATTGAACAGTGCGTATTCCGATGCACGCACCGTGATGGAACTCTCTCCTGCCCAGGACCTTGGGACTTTTTTTGGGTTGGTTTGGTTCCATTCACATTTACTCGTACGTCTTCAAGACGTCTAGTAAATCGTCTTTGGCTCCCCATCTATACTGACTGTGTGTGTGTGTGTGTGTGTGTGTGTGTGTGTGTGTGTGTGTGTGTGTGTCGGAGAGTTTATGATTCTGCTCGTTGTATTCTTAATAAAGGTACCCCCGACTTGGTCGTGCACCGCTCTGACAGTCTGACACTACCACCACCACCACCACCACCACTACTACTACTTGGTTCCTCACAGGGACTCGCTTTTGAAAGGTTTGACGAACGTGAAGAACTACGGGGTACACAGTCAACCATACCTATCTATCTCCCTGCCTACCTCCCTAACTACCTCTCTCTACCCGCGTACTCGATCCCCTTGTTTCTCCCAAAAGAAAAATAATAATTCGACAAACACCACCATCTCCAAAGTGCATACAAGAGGCGGGAGTGGGCGCCCGTGAGGGTTTCTATGCACCAGCGTGAAATGAATACTTTGGAAGACATTTTATGTATTCTCTTGTCCTTGCCTGACTTGCAATTCATTAGTCCTAGGTAGGTTATGAACTTACCGGCAAAAAGTCTGCCAAAACATCATCTCTAGACAGATACGGCCTACCAAGTATCTCGAGACTGATAACGACTCACGAGTACTCACATTATGATTTTTTCAAAAACAAGCATCGTTCATGTAACCAGGGATTTTAAAAAAGCAAAACACAAGACCATCAGACTCAAAGAGACAGATCAGCCTGGAAGGCCCTGACCAGATAGACAGGTAGAAACATACTGGGAGAGGGGGATGTCCGGGAGAAATGTCGATCACCACCATATGGCATGGAAGAATGGCTCGACCACAAAGTCGGGTGGACACACTGAGATTTATCCTGCGCTCTGTCGCATTGTCCCAGACTGAGAGGAAGGACAAGCAAGTAAGTCGAAGAAGAATGCCCATGTCATGACCACCGACCACTGGCCCAGTCCTCACTGATATATATACCGGCCCCAAATACATTATTTCAGACTATAGCAGACCTTGTTATCAAACGCTTCCCTTTTCGATGCATTTAGATCAATCGTAGTGCGCCTCCGGGATATCAGAGCATCCAAATCACCCCAGAGAAACTGCCGAAATATGACAATATTAGCCCGCTGGGTACATTCACACAAACAACCGCAAAGCTAGTCAGTCAGTCAGTCAGTCCTCCAAAGAATGCTCCTTTCTAAACAAGCAAACGACTTTTTCCACTCATCGGTGAAAGTTAGCTGGATGATGATCCTGATGAGGAAGGAGCTCCAAGATGAAATTGATTCCACTTTTCCACCAACACGTCGTACGTTTCTTCTGGCATAACACCATCACCAAACCCAACGGCCTCACCGGTAGCAGCGACACCAACAACAGGTGAAGATAAACTGCCTTCAAATTGAGCATCTGCGTCTTTGAACAGATTCCCAATGTCATTCGACGACATTAGTTGACGCTGACGTATCTTGAGACGTAAAACGCGCAACATGCTTTCGGCTGAAACAGACCGGCGGGATAGACTATGCAAGGCAATGATTAGTTTGATGAAAGATGACTTCCGCTCGGCAGCTTCGAGGTCGTTCATGACAACAGACAGAGCCGCATTGACTGGCTGAAGAAAGCTGATGGGGATATGGTCCACACCCCAATATATAGATTGAAGGTGGACTAGGTCGGCGATAGCGAGGGCAGAAGTCATGTGTTGTGCTCGCACAACGGGAACAAGGAGAGAGAGTGTTGCATCGTCTTCATCGTCGGCCTGCAGCGTGAAGATGAGCTCGGACAAGACCAGCACTGCCCAGTGGTACTGGGCATGCAGGCTCCAGGTGTGAGGCGCCTTGACTCCATTGACTTGCACGCAGTCGGAGAGACTATCGTACCACAATGTGAGGTCCCGATGTAGCTCCTCCAGGCTATCGCGTGTGGTGGAAGTCGTATTCGGATTGTCGTCGACGAAAAGATACTGGCTGATGTTGTAACAAATCTCGTACAGAGTGCTCGAGTGATGAAGATGGCAATTGGGGTGAGCATGCACTTGCGGTTGATCACGAGGATATGGTATCCATACATCACCCGGTTCACCTTGGCACAGAGGAGGTTTGTCCTTGGTAGGGGGTTCCATCATGGGCCGCTTTTGAAGAGCAAATGTAGCGGCAGTGGTGGAGACGAATGCAGCCCAGCTAGTGTATCCCAAATGTCGCTGAGCACCAGACACTCTTTCCTTCCCCCGCCTTGTTCGAGGGTTTTGGGACCGACCTGGTTTATCAAACTGTTTGAGGCGGTGGATCATTTCCTGCATGATCGAATTGGCGAGCTTGTCGATACCACGGTGCTCCAAGCTAGGTCTCGATTAGAACCTACTTTATAGCCGACAGAAAAGGACTGTAGCTTACAACATCCATTGGACCGCCAGGAACTGTATCGACGGTAACGACCTCATCTGGACGGACGCCTCTGCCTGTCTCTTGGCTTCCTCGTAGAAAAGATCTTGTAGGGGCTTCTCAGTCGACGGGATGGAATTGTCCTCGTCAGAGACGTCATAGTCGAACTGGGATACTTTCAGTTAGCGATCACGTGTGACCCATGCGTGAATGCCACTCACGCAAGCATCTGCCAGGATCATGTTCACCAGAGGCGCAGTGCACACTCCGCCGTTCTCTTCTCCAGACTTCATTGCCGAGATAAACATGTCACGCTCGATGAAAGGGTGACACCAGTGGCGCCACGTGAACCAAAGCGACACAAGGTGCGACACAAGCCCGTCATCGTCCGTCACCGTTGTCCAAGGTTTGGCTGGCACCTTGAACGAAGGTGCGCTCTGCCCCGAATTGGTCCTCGAGAAACGACTTGCCGAAGACTGTGGCGACTGCTGGCGCGTGGAGGCCTTGCTGCGGGACTCATCCTCCTCGGCGTGAGGGAAGTTGGCCGCAAGATAGTTGGACACCTCCTCGTTTGACGCAGTTGTCCGAATCATGCCAACGAGGTTTTCCACTTGGCCATTGTCGCCAGTCCGGATGGCCTCCATCAAATCAGGGAGCAGTCTCTGGTCAGACTCCAACTCTTCGACTTTTCGCTTCCACGCCATTCTCCTGCGGCCATCCTCTGCCGCCTCGCGTATACAGTCCGTCCGTTTCGCAACACATGCTGCACAGGGAGTATTATCGTCGCACTATTGACAATCATGGTCCGTAAGCTTCGCAACCTTTCGACATTGACATCGGACTGGACAACGATCGGCCGGGCGAGGAAATTTATTGGCAAAGGGTGACACAGCCCGACTGGAAGCCAAGCACCAGAGGACAGGGCAGAGTGACTTGCTTGTATCCTACAGAACGGGGCCTCCAGTCAGACCGTAGTGCCTTCTGCCGAGTGAAGCATGGGAACAAGATCAAAAGATACGTACCTTGGTGCGTCGTTTCCGACAAGCTCTGCATGCGGTCGTGATGTTCCGTCGCTGTTTGGATGGTGATGGAAGAAGGGTCGGACCCGGGATCACAGCAGGATACAAGGGAGCCGCAGGCGCTAGAGGTCGGGGGTGTTTTTGCGACATGGTCGCAGGTGAAGGCTGAGTTTTGGTGTTTGACAGACCACCTGTGCGGTCAGTCATTGGAGTTGTTGTGGGCAGGCGCTTTCAAGACTAATCGAGAACTAACTTGAGGTGCAGACTGACAACTCAATAGAGCCCCAGCAGACCGGCGAGGTTTATGGTCCGATGCACATGGTACTGCCATCTGTTCCGGAAAGGTCGCAGTCGAAATCTCATATTGACCTTTTGCCAGCAGGAGAAACATTTGAGAGCAGGAAGGAACGCACATGAAGACGCCACGTGACAGCAGATTGTTCGCTGGTGCGAGAGCGGCGGATCAGAGACTGGAAACTCTTTCCGATCTTTCGATCACATCAAGACGACCACGGTCAAGAATGTGGATGATAGAAAGATCCGACCGAGAGGTCAGCCCAAGATCACAGTGGGGTCAAAAGCTGGTCAAGGGATTAAAGTCGCATTTGCTATCCCGACAGATGGAGCCCGACCTTGGGTGTTTTGCCGGGGGTTTTGAGCACCGGCCTTTGATTTTGCGCTCTGGCGTGCTGTTGGAACTTGGAACAGAGAGTGGGTGAGTTGTTAGACTGTTTGCAAGAGCTTCTGGCGGGAAGTACGTTTCCACGGGCGCTGATTCGCAGCGTGAAATGAGACCTTGCCTTTTTGACACCAAAGTGGAATACAGATCCTGTATCCAGCTCCTAGACAGCTTGAATGGATTCAGGTGTTTTCAGGGCGAGGGAGAAAGAATCAAGAGAATCAAGTTGAGAGGAAGACGACTGCTTTGCCGACTTTGGTGAATCGACGAATGCCTGAAATGCGGATGAAGACGATAACTTACCTCTTCTCGTCGACCGTGGCGGGACATTCTCGATTCTTATAGAGACAAGATCCACGCTGCCTCGTACGGCTCCTGCCACACAATCGTCGGTCCATGCTGAATCTACGAGGGGAGATTGAAAAGACAAGCTGACGGGGGTGGCGGGGACGCGGGTTTTTGCTCGTATGACTGTCAGGGGATGAAATTTGATCAAGAATTCGAATACAGTTCTGCTGAAGGTTCGAGATCGTCGAATTTGCCTCTCAGCGCAAACATGCCATTTACAGCCCAGCGGAAAATGATTCCGTAGAAACGCCACACTGTGATTGGACACGTCGGCAGGGGTCCTCAGCCGAATGGATTATTGATCCGGTATGTGACGAGTATATCCGATACCGGGTATCGTAAAGCTTCAGTCAAATGTCCTACGTCCAGGAAAACAAGAGCGGCCTGGAAGGGACTGCCTCAGCCAAAGTCAGAGGGAGAACAGTCGTGTTCGCGGTGTCGTCGCCGTCGGAACCGAAATATGAGGTATTGTATGAGGATGCTCGAAATGTTCCAGGCAAGCGAACCAAACAATAGCAGGACCCAAAAGACAGGAAAGGAGGGAAAGGAAATCGAGAAACAAAAGATGTGTTACAGAGTACATTGGCCAAAGAAGAGAAGAACGGGCTTTAGCTGCCCTGGGTACCTCTTATATACTGCGAGATATTTGCACCGGGAGCATACCTGATCTCTTTCCAAGAGCGCTTACTCCATCAAGTAAGACTGCAACCTGTTCCTGCAGGACTCGCTATGCAAATGTAACTACGTGAACCTTCTTCCACTTCCACGGACGCATAGCAAGGCTAACCCTGCCACCGCATCCACATACTGGCGGGGAATTTAAATATGTTACAGGCTCTGGGCACTGTCTGGTACTGAAGCTTCCATAAGGCAACCATTCTTGTTCCCCAGCTCGCGCCCAAAAACAGGTGAACAATACCTGAGCCATGTGACAGTACATTCTCAATCAATCCGCTCCATAGATTGTTCACTGGTATCTCATAGTTCCATAGGCACTTGAGTCTAACAACAAGGTGAGAAGGTCCATGGCTAGATTGCCTGCGTGCGCCTTTGCTGTCACTGAATGCTATTGCCGTGATACATATGTCGCTCTGATCGATAACGGAGGCACACGACTCTGCGAGCGTCTCTCAGGTTGACTCCGAGACACGGCATTTCAGCGACGTGTGATTGGTGATGTGGATAACGCAGCGGCGGCAGGCTATGACACAGGGTGACTGAATAGATAGCTGACACTTTCGCCGTTGTGGGTTCGTCGAATCGCCTCGGCCAGAACAGGAGCAATATCGATGAACTCAAGCCTGCACCCTTTTTGTCCATCTTCAACCTTGAGCGCTTCGACCTTTTCCTCTGGCACGGGAACGGTGTTCGTGATGACGAGTCTTGAGAGTTGAGAGGTTTGAAGAATCTCGACCGCTTTGCCAGATAGGATTCCGTGAGTGACTAGAGCAACCACATCTCGTGCACCATGTTTTATTAGAGTGTCTGCGGCTTTGGCAAGAGTCCCGCAAGTATCGGCCATGTCGTCAACCAAAATTGCAATCTTACCGCTGACGTTACCCACGAGCGTCATGCGGCTCACCTCGTTGGGGCGAGAACGTTCCTTGTGGATCAAAGCAAAGGGAAGATCCAGCTTGTCTGCAATGGACGTGGCCCTCTTCGCACCACCGGCATCGGGACTGACTATAACGCAGTCTTCCTTTGCGCCGTTGATATGGGCGTTGTCTTCAGTCGCATGCATGAGGTTCTCCCTCACCCACTTGGTAGAATTGGGCTCCGCGTAGAGGTTGTCCACTGGAACATTGAAAAAGCCTTGTATCTGGGACGCATGCAGATCCATTGTGATGATATGGTTACAACCTGCTGTCTGGAGCATGTTCGCCATCAACTTTGCGGTAATTGGGGCTCGCGACTTGTCTTTTTTGTCTTGCCGAGCATATGGAAAATTGGGCAGGATCGCAGTGACCCGTCGCGCCGAGGCCGTCTTGCAGGCATTACAGATGATGAGGAGCTCCATCAGGCCGTCGTTGATATCGTTTGGTCGCGTCGATTGAAGAATGAATACTAAAAGGTACCAATGTGTCAGACTATGCACTACGGCGTCACTGGATCAAGGACGGTCTGTAGAAGACGGGTTGGGATATGCTTACCATCTTCATCTCGGACCGATTCACCGATTGTTACGCTCGTCTCCTGGTTCGAGTATTGTAGGACCATGATCTTGGTAAGCTCGATACCCAGCCTGGTCGCCGAACAAAGTCAGGGAACTTGTTCCACATGTTGACCCGGCAGGAGATCCGGAAGCAAAGGCAAACATACCTCTTGGCCACCGCCTTTGCTAGCTCAGGATGACTGTTGCCAGTCAACAGCTTGATTGAATTGGACGCCATAGCTGAGGAGCCGAGGGAAGAAGTCGTTATCGAAGAGGGTCTGCCATGGGAAAGAAAGGACAGAAAATCGTTGCCGGTCATAAAGTCTGTAGATCAAAAAATTGGTTATGACGGATCATGGGCCCCGCGCGCGGACCGAGTGCTGATGTCTGGCACCTCGGGGAGGGCAACAAAATTCTGCGGAGCTTTTCACTGGCTACGAGCCGCGCTGGCCAGTCTCTGGTTCGAGTCTTGGCCTAGGTAGGTGAGAGCGGAAAAAATATGGACGAGATGTTTACCTAGATGAGGTTGGCGGCATCAACGATATACAATAAAGGACTCAAAGAAAGGCTGAAATCGCCCAATTTAGCAAAAGTGGTATGATTTTTGTGTCTTGCTAACTCTTTTGGCACCCCTGCAAGGCGCAGAACGCCGAGTGTTTGCTCGATGCTATCGAATGGCGTCGTGACACAGCTGCACGGTGCAAATTCCTGCCATTGTCCAGCCGCAACGCCATGTGAACCATGCAGGCTCGATAAGTGGTTCATATCTGCACGCTCCCTTGCCCACTATTCTCAGAGCAACATCAGTTGCCCCGTGACCTGTCTTGCGGTTGTCTTGCGTCTAGAACACTGTGTTCATCGTCACAGCTTTACATGTCGCGGGTGCGTGTGAAATCCGTCAACCACATTTACTTTCTCATGGAGGAAGCGCGTCGCTTTCGGAGCTCGGTTCTCTTCTCACGTTCCTCATGCACACGCTTGGCAAGGAGTTGAGCATACTCGTTGGCAGCATCCTTGGACGCCTCGGCACGTCTTCTCTTCAGGGCGATTCGGTGTCTCTTGTGTTGCATGCGTTGAGGTGTAACGAGTCTCTGGATCTTGGGGGCCTTGGTGTATGGCTTGGCGCCCTCCTTCTTGGGGATGACTTCTCGACGGATGACAAATTTGCTAGGAATTATGTTAGAATATTGCTCTGTAGCCAGTACTCAATGCGACGAGGTGTGGTCATACCGGACATCGTCTTGTTTGCTCAAACCAAAGAATCGTCGGATCTTGGTGGCACGTTTGGGTCCCAATCGCTTAGGGTTGACAACGTCGGTGAGACCTGGGATCTCGCCCTCGCCTTGCTTGACGATAGACAAAGCCAGGACAGACAGGTCTTGAGCGACAATGCAGCCACGGACTGACTTGCGCTTGCGTTCACCAGTTCGGCGAGGTCGGTAGCAGGAGTGGCCTTCGGAGAGGAGAAGTCGGACACGGGTAGGAAGCATCTACAGTAGACAAGTCTCAGCAAGAATAGTTCATGGTCGATTTGCTGGCGCTTTCAGCCACAGGGGGGTGTAGGTAGTGTACGTACCACACCCTGCTTCATGGGAAAGCCTTGCTTGTCATTGCCGCCAGTGATGCGGACGATCTAACAGAAAGCCATCAGCATTTGCGTTCTTGTTGTCCTTTTGACACAGCCTAGGAAGCCATACGTATCCCTTCCACTCATCACCAAGGCTGTCAGCTGGGACTTCGTTGCCCATGCGCTTGTCCATGAAAACACGAAGCTTGCGCTCATCTTCGACCTCGATGAGCTTCTGCGACCCGTTGGCCGGGTAGGAGACGTTCAACTTCATCTTTTCTGTCGGTGCTGAGAAGGGCTGTCAAGACTGGTGCAGAGTCTCGACAGGATGTCAGCGGTTGAGAGGGTGTCGAAAGATTAGTTGGGATTGATGACTTTCGCAGGCACGAAACGCTTCAGAAAATTGAAAGTGCGGACCGTCGCCAAGACAATAAACGCTAGACCGCAGAGGTACTAGTTCAAGATTTTCACTCCGGAAGACTGTCCTGGTACGAGTATTGTACGACCATGAACCCTGGTACCTCAGTAGGACAGTCTCCTCCACTCCACGTAGAAATCCCGTTGTCATTGGTGATGCAGGCTGTTTGCCATTGTCTCTAATATCTACAGGATATGACTGTCAAGCAGCGCCGTTGGCGTTTTCCAGTGCCAGATACTTCTTCTCTGCCTCCTCGAGTGTTCTGATGTTAGCCCGCGACTTATTCATGGTTTCTATCCATTCGTCTTCCTCCACGCTGTCAAAAACAATTCCACCTCCCGACTGCAGATACGCCACTCCGTCTTTAACGACCATTGTGCGCAAGGCGATACATGTGTCCACGGCGCCCTCATCCTCAATCTTAGATCCATCCATTGCAGTCCTGGAAAACCCAAAGTAGCCGACCGCCCCGGCGTAGACTCCTCTCTTTTCGCCCTCGAGTTCCGCGATAAGCTCCATTGCCTTAACTTTTGGCGCCCCAGACACCGTTCCAGCAGGGAAAATGCTTCGAAATGCCGTAAATCTGTTCTCCCCCGGTCGTAAAATGCCCGAGACCTGACTTACAAGATGCTGAACGTGGCTAAAGCGTTCCACCGTCATCAATCGATCAACTCGCGTAGACAAAGGATCGCACACACGATTGACATCGTTTCTGGCCAAATCAACCAGCATGACATGCTCGGCTCGATCCTTCAGGCTGCTGCGGAGCTCTTCGGCCAGTAGATCGTCTTCCTCCGGATCCTGGCCTCTCTTCACTGTGCCTGCAATTGGATGTGTAATGATTCGACCTGCTTCTTCTTTGACCAACAATTCTGGTGAGGCGCCGACGATGCTGAAATCCTCGCAATCGATATAAAATAGATAGGGGGACGGATTGACTGTTCGAAGATGGCGATATATGTTGAAGGGATGCAATGTGGTCGGTCGAGCAATCCGGTGCGAGGGGACCGCTTGAATTATGTCTCCCTTGCAAATATGCGTCTTCAGACGAGTGACATGTGCTTCGTATCCGTCTTTACCAAAGTTCGATTTCGAGGGCTGATTCTCCGCAATCGGAGGTTGGTAAGGAAGAGGTATGTGTTCGGCCTGCAGTTTGGAGACTGTATTGCGCAGAATTTCAGAGGCCTTGTCGTAAGCGGTGGCTAAATCTTCGGGCGACCCTGAAGAAGGCACGCGGAGGTACGTGATGACTTTGCAGACGTTGAAGAAGTGGTCAAACGCGACAATGGTGTCGTATAGCATGAAGAAGCTCTCGGGCAGTTTTAGGACGTCTTTCATTGGTCGTGCAGTCTTGGGCTCGAAATAGCGAACGCAGTCGTAGCCAACATATCCAATCACACCTCCTGTCAGCGGAGGCAGACGTAGAGATGGTACGCTTGCTACCCGATATTGTGCCAATTCTTTCTCGAGGCGCGGCAAGGGGTCCTCCTCTGGGCCATGCCCGGGACCGCTCTTCAGAACTTTCAATGGGTTGGCCCCTACAAAACTGTACCGCCCTATGGTCCCAGTCGTCGCAGCACTCTCGTAGAGAAAGGAAAGTTGTGAGCCGTCCGCTACTTTGAGATAGGCTTGCGTGGGCGTGAAAAGGTCGGCAGGTATCTGTGCGCAGAGAGGAACGAGGTTCGGCGGATATCGTGACTCCTTTGACTTTGCGAGGATAGAGGACACCTCGTCCAGGGAGGGTTGAATTTGCACCTGTGAAGGGTCAGGTAAAGGCATAGCCATGGCTGAAATGGGAACATATGAATACCATGTTTTCGGGGAAGCGACAGTATTGTATGCGAGATTTGGAGGTTCACAATATGCCAGAGCGACTGAATCTCACCATCTGGCCATTGGGACCTATTGAGGGCCGAGAGCGAACACTGGTGAGCAGAATACAAGCGAATCAACCTGTGTCAGCCCGAGCAGACGTATTTTGACTCACCACAAGGCTAGTACTGTATTAAGTGGAGGGAGGAAGTTCTAACAAAATGCATGCGGTAGCTAGCCTTACTCGCTAGCCTTGCTCCACAGGTAATTTCTCCGCTTTCGACTGCGCATCACGTGATTATGGCTGTGACACGAGCACCAGCCACATGTTTAAACCGCAGGCATTCTCCATCCGCATGCCTCTCGTCTTCAAGGCAACTACCCTCCTCTCAGATGTTCACCTTATCCTTCGCGTGCACTTGCTGACTGAATGGTTCGCATATGGTGCGGATGCTAATACTTCTTTTACTTACATATTGCTAATTCTATTTGTCTATGGAGCCCACCACGCCTATCTCCCCGACTCGTCCAAGTTCGGCGTGGACTAGTAACTCACTCTTCGCAGATTCTGCCATCAGCGTGGGCGCCAACACTCCTGGCCCAACCGACAAATCCCTCCCATCTGAAAAGCTGTCTGAAACTTCGTCTCATCCTGATCTGGCGACGCGTCTCAATGGCCTTGTATCGGAAATTTGGGCCCATGAACAGGATGGTGGGATCCGTGGTGAACAAAAGAGGAAACTTGAGCAAGCAATGCGAGATATCGAGCTGGTTCTAGAGGATGATCTGTCTGGCGCAGATGACTCTGAAACAAGCACTCCGCAGTCAGGAATACCAATAGAAGAAGATCGCCAAACTGCCTCGGAACAAGATCTTGATGCGGTTCGAACGAGCCTAGCCGCTACCGTCGAAGCCATGCGTATGCGCCACCAAGAGCAGAGACATTTGCATCAACTCACTGTCCAGAAGCTGGAGGCAGTTGCGCAGCGATGCCTGGACCAGGAGAAGCAATTGCGAGAGCATGCAGAGAACATGGCCATACTGCAGCACGAAAATCACCTTCTGAGGCAACAAAATGACCGCATGCATTCAGAGCTCAACCACGCTCACACAGAATCGGCGAAGAAAGAGGTGGCTGTCAATGCTATGTCGAGCGCAGTTTCTGGCTTGGAAGGATGGATTAATGCTTCTCCAACCCCCACTCACAGTGCGCGACGAGTTGTGACAAGAGGTCGCGGCCGATTTCGTGGTCGATATTATGTTGACGAAACCCCTGAACCCTCACCAAGAATTGGCCAGGATGGCATGCCGGACGCGAAGGCATTACACGAGGGTGTTACTGCCTGGCTGCGGGGGTTCCGAGATGTCGAAGAAGAGCTGAGAGCGTTGAAGCACTCAAATCCTTCACCACGCAAAGCAGGGAAGAGCAATTTCGACTTCAGTGATGATGAATGGGGTGATTTTGAGAGTGCACCTGCGTCATGATTAATGAACGTAAGTCTGGTCCAGACAGACATCGTACTGGGTGAATGCCAGGCATAATGTCATATCCACCTCATTACACGTCCACTTCCGGTCTTACGGGGCTGATTATCCCCGAAAGGCATTTATAAGGCCTAGTTTGTTCGCGAAAGTGCTGTGGAGGGGCCGAAGGATTTTCACTTGGAGTCTGACAAGATAGGTGGGCTACTCAAGAACTCAAGAGCTCAACGTTGGAAGTTTATAACAGCAACCTGGGAGTGTCAGAACTGGATCTTGGGATAAAACAGATCGGATAGAGCCTCACCTGAGCACCAAGTCCGAATGCAAGCTTTTTGCTGTCAACGTCCCAACTCAACGAATGGTCAGTGTTGGCCTGAATTGTTTCGCCATTAATACTCGAGGCACCACCAAGGCTGACCATGTCGTCGTCTCTAAGTCGACCGCCACCCCATGTTTCTGCTTCTCCTTTCCACGTTGCCATGTGATTGTATGCATGTTCGGCATTCCAGATGCGAATCGTATCATAACTTGCGCCCGCCAGGCAGAAACCATCCGGAGAATAGGACAATGCCATAACAGGCGAAGCATAGCCTATGATGAGCTTGCAGATTGACATGATATAGTTGCTTTCTTGGTCCCACCTCCACACCTTGATGGTGCCGTCCATGGATGAAGTGGCAAAATCTTGTTTCAAGGACGGGGTGGCACTGCCTAGTCGAGGTCGAATCTCTAGACCTGTGATGGCTGCCTCGTGCGCACTTTTCTTGATTAGATTCTGGACCGGCAGCCATATAGATCCCGTCTCGGCAGAGGCGGCTACCAGCGTCGCTACCGAAGATTCATGCCAGGCGCATCTGACAAACGTCCATGACTCGTTCTCAGCAGCATCCGAGCTCCACTTCTGTTGCAGCACCAGATCCGTAAAGGCGTGACAAAGATATACTGCGCGCTGGCCTGTTGCGCATACGACACCATTACCGTCGAGCAATGCGCAATCCATATCGACGAGTACTTCTGGCACCGATACTGACAAGGGCCCAGTAAAGTTGGGAGATCGGGACAGATCCCAGAGCAAGATTGAGGAGCCAGCGTGCTGTGGTGAGTCCGAGGACTCTGATTCGTACGGTGCAATTCCGAGTAGACGTAAACCCTGGCTTTGCCACCGCAGTGAGGTGATGGCCCGTTGTGAGGCTGGTAAGGTCTCCATAAGAGCAAGCTCTTGTCCATCAAACAGGTGTATCTGGCCTGCTTGGTTACTGTACGTTGCGATCGCGAGCATCTCTCCGTTTGGCTCCCACGCAACAGCGCTGACGATGGTTGAATCTGACGATTCCATGAGCTCTTGAAAGGGAGGTTGGTGCTTGGGCCCGAAAGGAGGATTGCTCAGGTTCCAGATGCCACAAAAGTCATCTCCGATAGCGGTCATCACGTTGCTGTCTGCTGCCCGCCAAGCCACTCTCGTCAAGGGTTTCGTGATCGCCATAGACCCATTTTCCTGCGTTGAGAGATAGGTGGTTGATGGCGTTAGATTTGCTACTTTGGCAGGTGCAACTTGGACTCCTATGCTCGCTCCGTTGGTCAGCGTATGTATAAGCGGCGCTACAGGTTCGGTGTTGGCATCATGGTGTTGATTGTCCGCGATCAATGACTCCTCGTCCAGTTCCATTCGATCACCATTGGCCAGAGTGCCACTCTCGTCGGGGCCCCCTTCGGTAGCTGACGGCGACCTGGCATCAGCAATTGAGGCTGGATGACCATTCACCATGTCAACATCTGGTCCAGTCGGTTGAGTAGTTCCAGAAGGTTTGCGCGCAACGCTTCCATTGCGCTCCGAGCCGGGTGCTGGCTTTCGGCTTCGCTTTGGTGCCGAGTGAGCTACATTTTCAGTAAGGCCATTGGGGACACTTTCTCGCCCTCCTTTCCGAGCGGTACTACTTGACGGGGCGGGTGATGGGGCTGGTATCGACTCCTCACGTAGCTCTGGCGGTGGCTCGTTGCTTTCTGGGCCAAAGAAAAACATGGTCGGGTTGAGTTGTTTCGAGGGTCGGCCATTCTGAACTGGGATTAGCGCCCAGCACATGCATGGCCCAGGTCATGGGTGGGAATACCTCATCGATGGTCAGTGACAGGTGGTGGTACCGAAGTCCCTTTTGGACCAAATGAACAAGGGCATGGCCTTTGATGTTCTTTGCGAACGAGAGGTTCTCTGCGTCAACTTTCCAATCGCGCTGTAGTTTGACAGCGGCGTCGGCATAGCCTACAGAGATGCGTCAGAAGAGAGAAAATGTGGACCACAGCGGCTCGGGAGCCTACCGGATTCTTGAAGATACCTGCAAATTCCAGTCAGCACCTCAAATCACCCGAAAAATGGGTTGCGCACCTCCATATGAGATAGTTTAACTGATCGGAATTCAATGGGGGCGGCTTTGCATTGAAAGTCGAAGCGCTGTCGGTCTCCATGCCGACATACCGCGTAGGGAGACAAGCCCAGAAGGGTTTGTTTCGCGCTGGCCCGGTGGCTTGATGCGGTTTAATCGAAGAGATGTCGTACTCTGAGGAACAGGCGCGTTTCTAGGGCCGGACTGGAATGCGATCTCAAGCCGAAGAAATGGCCAAGTAGAGTCGCCCTGCGAGATGCCAAAGACGAGCTTCCTCCTGGTCAACAGCACGCGCGGAAGATTGGATCCAGATGCAAAAAGATGGGGTTTGCAATGGCGCGAGCTGTACGACGGACGAAAACACGGGGATGTCTTGAAGTGATGAATGTCAAGATCTTCGACAGGCTTACGATGCGATGCGATGACGGCGAGGTGATCAATCGATACCAGACCCTGTAGTTGGTAATTGGATTGGATTCGAGATGAACAGCGTCTGAAAACAAATTCGACTAGAGTGGTAACAAGTCAAGAAGAGGGAATGCACCGATGGGTCGATAGCGGGAACATTTGGTGGAGGCGTTTCGTGTGCCAAAACAGCCAAGCCTAGTGAGCCCGATGGCCCATGGAGGGCTCACTAACTACAGGTAGGTTAAGGTACATGCAAGTAAAGGTACGGTAGGCATCTTGCGTAGGCCAAAGCCAGGGCTACTTGGCCAGTCACGGCCTCACAGGTGAGTCTAGGTACCTCTAGCGTCCAGTTCCCCCCAGCAGAGGATTTTCACAGGCTTGGAACTAAACCCTGTTTAGCTGCTCCTGTAGGCTCACTAGGCCCTTCCCACGCCTAATAAGCTTCCACCTTGTGCCCTGAAATCGCACCCAAAAACTTACCCGGACAGTACGCCACCGTTTGAAGCTCCTCGTCGAGGCGTAATGTCTGATCAAGTTGTAGAACAAAGTAGTCACCATTGTCGTTTTAGGATTGATGACAATGACAGCAAATTGGCCTCCTGTACTGGATCCGTAACTCCAGCCTGTAGGAACCTACTGTACTGTAGTTAGGCAGCTTCGGCAGCCTCATTGTGCCTGCAATTGGCTCTGCTGTGGAAGTCGTGATCCGTATCCGTTACTTGTAAGGTACTTACAGCACTGGTATACGGGCCCATACTAGTAATTCGCCCCGAATCTCTGCGTTGTGCAGGCGACAGACTCGCCAAACAGACATACACCACATCTCTTTTTTCAACTGCACGATCAACTTCGACTGTTCATACTTCCTTGTCACCACTCCAGCATTATCTCGGGCTATGCTCATCTTTGACTTGTCCGTGAAATGCCCTTCAGAGCCAATCTTCCACCCGTCACTCGCGCCCTCCTCGCAGCTACTGTTGCGTTGAGCCTTCTCTACAACATCGCGCGATGGCGTTTGCTGCAAGCGAGCCTTGATCCCACCACTGGAGACGAAGACACTGCATCCCGACGCGTCGTTCCCTATCTTGCTCTCGTCCCATCGCAATGTATAAGGTACCCCTGGACGTTCCTGAGCGCAGCATTCGTCGAACAGAACGTTTTCACGTTGATTTTACAAGGAGGCACCTTGTTCTTTGGAGGGAAATACCTAGAAAGAGCCTGGGGCACAAAGGGCTTCGTTTATGTCATCTTGCTCGCTTCAATCATACCATACCTCCTCGCGGCTCCGACCTACCTCCTATGGGCTTCTGTTACAGGTAGCTCCGACAGAGCCCTGACTCCTCTCAATGGTGGAATCACCTTGCAAGCCGCCTTTCTAGTCGCTTTCAAGCAGTTGGTGCCGGAGCACACTGTCAGCATCTATAAAGGCATGATCAAAATGAGGGTCAAGCACTTCCCTACGGTATTCCTGGGCGTCAACACGATATCAGGTCTTATCCTCGGGACGGATACTGCACTGATCCTCTCCTGGTATGGACTGATCACGACTTGGACGTATCTGCGGTTCTACAAGTGGCAGCCCAATCTGTCATCTACGAGTCCCGAGACTGGTGGTCTGAGAGGAGATGCCAGCGAGACGTTTGCATTCGCAACGTTCTTCCCCGACGTTGTGCAACCTCCCATCGCGGCACTTTGCAATCGAATATTTTCTCTCCTCTGCAGTCTCAAGCTATGTACACCATTCTCCGATGAAGATATCGCGACGGGAAATGAGCAGGCAGCCGCCCGAGGCGAGGCTGGTCTACCCAGCTTCAGCAGACAAAGCCGCGGGGTGCGTGGGATGAGCAAACGCGAAGAAGCAGAGCGAAGACGGGCGCTAGCACTAAAGGCGCTGGATGAGAGGCTCAATGCGGCCAGCAGTCGAGCAACGGCCCAGCAGGCTACGACGGGCACTCCCAATCTAGCTCAAGGGCAGGAGATTTTGGGACAGACCGACTATCGGCCTGATGCCTGATTTGCTTGCGGTCAAATTGTATTTTGAGCAGACTATGGCGGAACTCGTTTTCGTCAATTGAAGAATTGTTCTCCCATGGCGCTTGTAATAGAGGGATGCTGATTTGGGCACTTTTGGCCCCTTGAGTAATAAACCTTGTCCTCTGCAGGGCCGGCGAGATCCGTTCTACATCCCCCATATCTTTAGTAGCTGGCATGCAAAACCCACAAAAAAAAGATGCCTCGATCGTAGTGTCCCAGTTCGCCGTCCACTAATGATGCGTCTTTTCGCTATCTCGCTTCTCTCTCTCCAATCACTTCAGCACGAGTCGTGGAGATACGAGACTGACTTCATCTTCACTGCAACCCTGGCTGCCCTACTCTTGCGAGCTACAGTATATCAAGTATTTCGTGGACTTGTCTTTGACCGCGCACCCGGACTATCAACGCCTTTCCAGGAAAATGCACCGTCATGCTGGGCATCCGATTGACTCGCTTTGCGTGACTCCCCACATTAGCCATGGTCGATGAGATTTCTAGTGCTTCTTCCGTGTGATCACTGATGAGTCTTGAAGAGACGGTGTTTCCGAGAAGGGCCTGGATCTGCAAAAGCTCCGGAAGCTGCAAGGTAAGCGATAGCTATATATATTCGTTGACATGTCCCAATCTGCGTATCTTCGCATCTTGAGCTGCACGGTGAGATCTCTCTGCTCGGTTCTTTTAATATCTGAAACAATCCCTCAAGATCACCATGGCTTTCAAGCATGCGGCTCTGGCCGCTGCCCTACTGACCTCGGTCACTCAAGCCTCTCTCTACAACGAATCCAAACTCAACCACACCTGTGTACTAGGTAAGACCTAATAAATCCCTGCTATTGCTGTGGCCCCCAGATGCAAGCAGATAGATGTCCGTCTATCGATGGATCCTTCATCTCGATTCTATTCTCCACCCTAACACCTCACCACCCATTATTATAGAACCATCCATACTCTCATGTTCGGCCGCCGCCAACCCTTTGACCGTGGACTCATGCTGTACCGAGACGTACGGGGGCCTCTTGCTCTCAACTCAATTTTGGTCGACGTTCACGGGACTCGAAGCCAAAGGCCAACTCCTGCCCAAAAACACCTGGACACTGCACGGCCTGTGGCCCGACTTCTGCAACGGAAGCTACACCCAGTACTGCGACCTGAGCCGGCAATACGACCCGACGCCGTCGCCCAACACGACCAACGGCCTGCGCAACGGCACCGCCGTGCCCGCGTACAAGGGGCCCAGCATCGACACTTTCCTCGCGCCGTTCGGCAAAGACGACCTGCTCGCGTGGATGAACACGTACTGGATCAACCAGGGTGCCCCGAACTCGGACTTCTGGGCCCACGAGTTCTCCAAGCACGCCACGTGCTATTCGACCTTTGACGTCCCCTGCTACGGGCCCGAGTACAGGCAGCACGAGGAAGTGGTTGACTTTTTCGAGACCGCCATCAAATTCTACAGACGCCTCCCGACGTACGACTGGCTGGCCTCGGCCAAGATCACCCCCAGCAACAGCACCCAGTACACGCTGGCTGACATCCAGAGCCAGCTGGCCAAGAAGTACGGCGCGACACCCTACATCGGCTGCAGCGGTCCGCGGTACAACACGACCGCCGCCGGCAAGAACGGCACCGACAGCGGGCGGACAGTGGTCAGTGAGGTGTGGTACTACAGCCACGTTGTCGGACGGCCGCAGGATGGAAATTCCATCCCCGTGAACGCGACAACGCCAAACTCCAGTTGTGCCAAGGCAAAAGATGCCCTGTGGTACTATGAGATGACTCCTGGTTCAGTGAGGCCGGAGCCGAAGTAACCTCGTTCATCTACCGTCCTCTTCACAAGAAATCGTCGTCACCTATTGGAAAAAGAATGCACATACCTACATAAGTAATCTCAAGAATTGGCCAGTCAGACACATACATATCCTAGGTATATGAATAACATCACGGGGCAGTGTACCAGTTGATCCGAGACATCTCAATCTCAAAATGAATGGGACGTCTTTACATTCTCCATGGTTTTCGAAGATGCTACCATGAGTATTTATAATAAAAGGGGTAGCAATGAGCTCCCTGCACCTCGAGTCGAGCACTTTGACAGCAAAAGAGAGAGAAGAGCGAGCTCCCTTTCTGCTAGAGATCATGTTTGTGTATTATAACCCTCCATTCCAATGTTTACTTGGAAGAGAGAAGAAGTGTATACATTTTGTCCAATTTCACAAGTCAATCAGCAAATTGCAAAATACTTACCTAGATACATACATAGACATATCCCATCATTCTACCTGAAATGCCTAGATACCTGGGAATCGTATCCATCATACATACAACTACACAGAGCTGCAGGCCCGCAGTCCGGCGTTCGCCAGCACTTGGTTTGACAGTAAAAACACACATCAATCACGCCAGGGCGTCTACCTTTCTCCATATCACTGACAGTGTCACAAGCGAATCCTTCTGTGTCGCGGCAGTAGGTGGCACCGGGGATCGCGAGTTCATGGATGTTGGTGGTGCTGCAGATGTTCGGGGTTCCGAACATCTAGAGGATCACCAACATCCACGAACTCGAGCTCCCCAGCGCCACCCACTGCCATCCCGACATACAGAAGTCCTTGAGAACGACCACACTATGAGTGACCGAAGTGGCATTGCCCAACGTATTGATAACCAAACCTCATGATTATTCATAGAACAATAAGAGAAAGTCGTTAGGGTCAGATTTTATATAAAGACAGCCACAACCACACCGTTTGGCGTCTCTTATCCTTGCAGGCACATGAGACAAATGGGGACATTGAATGTCACCTGACCTCATGTGAGAATTGTCTTCGTAGCCCTTCATGATATTGTCTTGTTCATGGTCGCTTAAAGAAAAGAAGACGCAGAAGCAGTCTTGGCCCGTACAGCACCCGACTCTGGCCACTTACACCCGCGGCTGTGTCTGTTGCGATTGTCCGCCCGTGCAAAGAGCTTTTCACACCCAGGTCGGAAGCACCTGTAGCAATGCTCATCTTTTGGCTTTTTATGCGTAACAAAGTGCTTTTTGACATCTTTGGGAAGGTTCGTTGTGTACTGGCACCCAGGCCAATCACACCTGTATCGTCGTCCCCGCTTGTGATGCCTGCCCATGGGAGGCGACACGTTCTCAGATGTACTATATGGCCTTGGACAATCGCTGGAAGCGACCGACTGCCGGGGGGATGTCGTATCGCTGGACAGGGGGAGCGTCGGCTGAGGGGATGGTTCAGCGAGGCCGAGTCGAAGTTGACATGTCACATGGCAGGGTGACGGAAGCTGTACGCTTGACATATCGGTAAAGGAGTGCTCTGATGATTTGAAATTCGGCCATGAGGCGCATGTGCCAGGATTTGGTGACTCGAAACGGTTGAGCGATGCTGGTGTGTCAGCACTATTGGCGTCGAGATATAAATGGCCCAGTGAAGGAGTAAGTTGATCGAAATACTCGGAGAGTTCAGGGAAGAGTTGTCGGAGTAGAAGGGTATTTGAGGATGAGCGTGCAACCCTAACTGCGGAGGCTTGAAGCCGGGTTGAAGTATCTGGAGTGACTCGGTCGCTGAGAGTCGTTTCAGTACCAGTCCGCAGGTATGATTGAACTAATCCATTGTCGTAAGAAGGCGGATCGAGGGCCTCGATCCCGAAATCGATCTGATGCTGCCAAGGGTCAAAGTCAAGAAGACGACTCCCCTGTTGCCCGATGTAGCCTTGGAACGCAAAGGCCCGCCTCCGCTGAGAAGCGGGCCCTGCGCTTTATGTGAGAGTAGATGAAGGGTGGTAATTGTCCGGCTGGGATGCCTCCCAGGCGGATAGAATTCATCCAACGTCGATGACAGAAGAAAATGGCGAGGGAAGATGGGAAAGTGGACTGTGAGCCTGATAATGTATGCGTGGTCAGCAGCCCCGCGAGCACCAATGCCGTCAGGCGGGTTGATATCTTTCCGGCTGAAGACCTCCTGAGTCCTCTTGAGTCCTCTTGAGTCCTCCCCAATTCGTGGTGCCAGCCAATGGTGATGACCTTGCATTAGCCTCGCATCATAACCAAGGCTGCAAAGCTGGGTGGGCCAAAGAGTTCGCCGAACTCGATAGTAGAATCAATCCGCCCGCAAGGCGAACCCGCGAGGAGTTCTGCAGTCCTGATCGAGTATGGTGGCTTTCTAGGAAGACTTCAAGCCACCTCCAGATATTTCGAGCCTTACAGCCTTGTAGCTATAGTCATACGAAAATGTGTTTGGTCAGGACTTATGAAGTCCTCTGTGCCGCATTGAGTCCGGTATTGAGTCCTAAAGATTTGTTGATACCTTCGAGTTGATCATAGTAGGTTGGCATGTCTTTTGTGAATTTCCATCTCGAAGAAGTTTCATGAATTCCTGACTTCTATTTATGAGGGCGAACACTCCCTCATGCCCATGAATAGGTCGCTGAATATTCCTCCTTGTGTGTTCGGATTCAAAGTTCTCATAAAACTCTAGCCAGCAACATGCCACAATCAAACTCCACATCACTTGTAGCTGAGTACGGGTCGTCAAAGGAGTAAGTCTATTCACCTCCAGTAACCTCTGTCGTCGAGTTGTCACGACTTGTGTCCGGGGAGCATTAGCTCATATATCACAAACCTAGAAATTCGAGTGTCCCCGGTTATAGTCAAGGAGATTCATTCGGCCACAGGAATATATGTGTTGAATCAGAATTTGCCCGTCAACTTGATCGATACTCGAACTCCAAGAGCAAGATCGCTCGCGAGGCTTTGGACCGATATTTTGGATCATTCAGTTTGCCCGGATGTTCAATAGGTCACAGAGGGCGGCAGGATAGCATTGCTTCTCACGAAGCGAGAGCAAAAGATTGTGGTCGAGGACTTTGAACTTGCAATGGCCAACAGGTGCCACTCACGCTTGTCCGGAATCGAGCATCTAGACCACCTCAACCATTTGCATTCAGACCTAGACTCAAGAAAATCGGACTTCTTAAATGCTAAGTGCCGAACCAGTGGAGGGTGATGGACGTGCGACCTGTATATACAGTTATACAGTTTGGTTACCTGGCTTCGGTTATCGCTAAGGCCGGCCATTATCTCCGCCGTAGGTTGTCTTCGCAGGTCCACAGATGCGGAAGTAAGGAATTCTCAGGGCATCAGTAGAAGCAGCGTAATCAAATATATGCTTCACATCCTGCATCTCAGTGTCAGCTCGAGCTTTCAAAGTCAACATAGGTCAGCCTCTGCATGTAAAGTTAGCCCCAGCTGGTACGCGAATTTGGCCCCATCTCAAAACTTCCAGGCAGAAATACGTGACGAACTTAAACGCACAAAGAGGGCCATTGCTCCCTCCTGTATCTTCGGCAGCTTCACATTCGTTTGAGCACTCACCAGAATCACACATTCGACAAAATGCCAGTCACCGAGCTTGCACTTCTCCGACTCCGCCCAGGAATAGAATGGCCGTTAGCAGCATTGAATGCAAATCTGCGGAAAGCCAAAAAAGTTATGGAATCAGCCAGCGGCTTAAAATTTCGCTACTTTCGGTGCATTGAAGATCCAGCCACGATATTCATCTTTGGAGAATGGCCATCTGTGGAATTCCATATGACCACCTTCATTCCGAGTCAAGAAAACCAGGAGTTACTTGAACTGCTGAAAGACCAGGTCACTGTTGAATGGATGTTTCACCTGGACATCGATCAGAGTCATCGTCCCCTTCCGTGGCACACAAGTGTTATTGCAGTTGGCCGGCATTTCGTCGCTGATGGCGAGAAAGAGAGCTTCGAAGCAACATTCGAAGCGAATAAACATAACCTGGAAGCATTCATTGGAGGCTCTGACCGGGTAGTCGGAGGCTGGAGAATAGACAAGGGGGTTGATCCCTTGCTAGAAGGAGAGCTCAAGAGCGAATACGTCCTCATATCGGGCTGGAGCAGCGTGGAGCAGCACTATCAATTTGCAGAAACGGAAGGATTCCAGAAGTATGGTCAGATCAGGAACCATCTTGCTGGGGTAGAGATCAAGCACGCTGTACGGGTCGATTTGGAAAATGAGGCGCAGGCTGGCGCGGCCTCCATCGATGAATAAGAAGAACGAATACTCGATGAGCGATTTTCATGATGTCGCAGGGTTGAAACGAGGATGAAAACCATGGGAGTAAGCTCCGGAAGCGTCGGGTCTGTTGGCGCTGACCGCTCGTGAAGATTATCGCATCAGTCTCTCGATGGGCGGTGGAAGTTCAGCAAGGGCTAATAATTTATACTCTTAGGGGCGGCTTCAGGCCGTCGTCTTGCCAAGGTTAGGTAAGTCCTGGGCGGGTAGTTAGGTAGTTGGCGGAGAGCTTGACGCGGCAAGTGTGGCGGAAGTGACGTTTAGGTGGTTTGGTTGAGGCAGGTAAGGAAGAGTTGGTCTAATGGTTCTCCCCTCCTGCTCACAGAGATGCATCTTATTAAGCCATTGCTGTTGAATCATTTCCATTGAACCGCATCCATTGCGCACTCGCACGGTCAGAACAAATTGAGCATCGATTGCTGGCCCTGCACTTGTCTGTTTGTCAGACTCTCAATCCACTGCGAAGCCTGTTACCGCCGCCTATCGAAATCTGCCGCCCTTAGCCTTGCCTGCGCCACGACGGTCACCGCCGAGAGCTCAATTTCATCAGCATCCGCACCGTTGCGCTCATAAAGAGGACCACTTGTGGATACTCCGAACAATCGATATCGTCCCTAAGTTTGCCTGTGCCTGGCCGGTGCTGTTGCCCTGCGCCGCCCATATCGCCGCCCAACCCTGACGTGACCCTTGCGAGCTTTGCTGGGCCACTGCCCTAACCAAGCCTTCTCCGGATTCTCCTCTCTCCGTCACACTGGCATTCTTCGCCTCACCACTTCTGTTTTCTAGTCTTCCTACTCGGCGTATAGTGACCGATCAATTCGGACGGAGATATACGGTCACTGAGACGCCTAGCCGCTCATTTAGTTATCAGCCATCTCGACGAAATACTGTGGTTGGAATCTCAAACGAACTCGATCCCGCCCAATCTTCACCTCGTCAGATAGCCTCTGCAAGCATCTACACGCGGTCTTCGTTGGAGACCTTGCCCATTGTCAAAATGTCAAAGGTCGTCAGGAGTGTCAAAAATGTTACAAAAGGCTATAGCAGTGTTCAGGTCAAGGTGCGAAATGGTAAGAGACAAGGCAATCGTGGCAGCCTGCAACATAGCGTCTAACTGGTATGAAAGCCACCTCCAATGACCCCTGGGGTCCTACGGGGACAGATATGGCAGAAATCGCTGCCTTGACTTTCAACAAGTGAGTTGTGATCAATGGTGATCATGAATCATGGGTGCTGATTAGTTCCCGCGCAGTCCCAGTGACTTCTACGAAATCATGGACCTTCTAGATAAGCGCTTGAACGACAAGGGCAAGAATTGGCGACACGTTCTCAAATCTCTGAAAGTCCTCGATTATTGCTTGCACGAAGGTTCCGAATTGGTAGTGACGTGGGCGAGGAAGAATATTTACATCATCAAAACTCTCCGAGAGTTCCAATACATCGACGAAGACGGAAGGGATGTTGGACAAAACGGTAAGCTTGGCCACAAGCGTAGAGGAGACCAGGCTGATCCATTACAGTTCGCATCTTTGCGAAGGAATTGACTTCTCTCATCCTAGATGAAGACCGTCTTAGGAGTGAACGATCCGACCGAAAAGTATGGAAAACCCGAGTTCAGGCTATGGACGATAGTGCCAATCAGCCAGTCACCAGTCCTTCGCGCAGACAGCCACCCAGGCATTCCGCCGCGGACGAAGACGAAGATCTGGAATACAAGAGAGCAATTGATGCAAGCTTGGAGGAAGCGAAGAGGGAAGAAGAGCGCAGAAGACGGCAAAATGCTGATCAGGACTCTGACGAGCTACAAAAGGCCATCAAGATCAGTAAAGAGGAAGAAGAAATGCGGAGGCGTCAACTCGAGGATGCCAATGCAGCATCTCTCTTCGATGACACCCCAGCACCCAGCCAACCGCAACCAACTGGTTACAACCAAGGATACCAGCAACAACCTGCTGTTGACTGGTTTGGAAACCCTCTTCAACAGCAACCACAAAGCACTGGATATCTCAACAATCAATATGCCCAGCCAATGCAAACAGGCCAGCAAAATGGATTCACAAATGGCTTCCAGCCTACCCAGCCTACAGGGTACGATCAGTTTGGCCAGCAGCCTTTTCTTCAGCAGCAGAACACTCTTCAGCCACAGCAAACAGCCTTCCAGACCAACAATCCGTATGGCGCCCAGCCTTATGGCGACGTGTTCGGCGCACAATCTCCTCAAGCGCATTCTCTTCTGCAGCCAGGCACTAACAACCCATGGGCAACTCAGTCCCCCCAAGCCGCAGAGCCGCTCAGACCTCTACCGACTGGATCGAACAATCCTTTTGCGCAAAGGCCACAACAGGCATCGCCATCGCCATTCCAGCGCACAAGCACACAGCCTTCGCTGGGCACTCTGATGGAGGCGCAGCCAACTACAAACTTCAGCCAGCCTACGCAACCAAACCCGATTATGAATTACCAACCGTCTCCTCAGCCTTCCTTCCAGCAACAACAGCAACAGAAGCCCATTAATCCACAGCATGCTAAACTGAATGCGTTGTTGGCTTCTGGTGAAGGCCAAGACACCTTCGGCAACACCGGCGATTTGCGCCTTCCCGCCCAGCACACTGCTCCAGGAGCTTTTGTCAACTCGGCAGGACAAGGAATTGATCGTCTTCGAGCCGCACAGACCGGCACGAATCCTTTCTTTTCGTCGCAAGCCACAGGCTATGCGCAGCAGATACCTAACCAGACTGGACCTGTTGGTGGCTTTGGTGGCGGATATGGGCAGCAGAACAGCAATGCTTTTGGTGGGAGGCCTGGAGGCCCTCAAAGTGGAAGTTTGATCGACTTGTAGGCGTTTCGGTCTCGACAAGGATCAACGATGGTTATGAAAGTGGTAGTGAGTGATGATAAGATTGTGCTATACCCCTGGCAGTTGGTTCCCGGATTGAAATTGTTCCTGCATGCGCTGCAGTTTTCTCTTATGTACAAGGCCGGCTGCGTCGACTGCATCACAGTGGTGTTTTCCCCAAGGTTCCATTCGCTGTGTCGTCTAATGAAACTTTGTTCTTGCTTTGCTACGATGTTCTCAAGCACCTCCAAGCATATATTATTAGATTCGCAATGAAACTCAATTTCCTCGGCTATATGTCATGTTCGAGTGGCCTTTGAAACTTCTTGCCTTGTCAATTTCTTTGTCAATTCACGTGGTGTTTGATTGAGACTCGAACCGGATTTGTTTACGATAAACCCTAACCAATGGCTGCCCTTGTGGGTACAAGTATACGACGTGCAGTGCCATCGTTAAGACCTCCGGAGATAAATGATGAGAGGCTCGCTTAGTACTGCCACGCTCCCTTCAGGGCAACGATCCTCCTATAAACAAGGCCATTCATTGACGTGTACTACGGAGTACCGTGAGTGTACTCGTAGATGGATGGTGGTCAATGGGGCCCTGGGGTGAGAGAAGAGGGGCATTCACCCACGAAGATACAAGATTGACGAGATGAGAAAAGATACCGAAAACCGTGATCCAGACACGTCTCCGGCAAACTACCCTGGGTACTTACTCGTAGTGTCTGGTATCGTCCGGGACGCAGAAGGGGAAAAAAATCATTTGAAAGAGGACTCCTTCCCCCCCCCCCCCCTGGCAAAGTTCCAAGTTCGTCAACGGTGGAAGTTGCTTACGACTTGGAAGAGACCCTCTCACGTAGTGGTCAATGATCAATGATCGATGATCACAAGGACGTGGCTTGTTTTGAAGCCGTGGTGCAGATACAATGCCTTATGAAGGTAGATATATATACCTATACATGAATCACACGACAGCGATGTCGGCCAGTCAGACTCGGGGGGGGGGGGGGGGTCCAATGCACTCAACTCGACTAGAGAAACTCACCCGACACCTTCCGTTTCCACTCCGTTCTTCTCAACTCCAGAAAGGAAGGGATAGACAGAATAAAAAATAATAAAAAAAGAGAGAGAGAGAGAGGAGAAACGGAAGAAGCTACACATGAATACAATGTTCGTCTCAGCTGCGCTTGATATGATGTACTGTATAAACCTTCGTATACTGCTATATACATGAAAAGGGAATTGTTTTCGTCTTGAACGACGACTACTTGTTGTGATGTGTCGGCCGTCTTTCAAGTTCACGCTTTCAACAATCCAAACCTCTAAAAAAAAATGTGCATATGGTGTCCTACGGTAACCTAGGACCCGCATGAAGAAGAAGCGAAGTTATGCAAATTTTTCGTATGCTCGACGCCCGTCGCTGCAATGCTGTCATGCTAGAATAGCTTTTCAATCTTGGTCAAGGAAAATCGCCCCTGACTTAAGCGCAAGATGTGATGGTCATGACGATGGCGCTGGAAGAGGCCGCGGCGGCAGACGTAACCGCAACCGCAGCTGCAGAACTGACAGTAGTAGTAGCACCACCACCGCCACTGGCACCGATGATGCTGTTAAACACATCGGCGGCTGCTTGGTTCTGGGTGGTGGCCACAGCAGCGGCAGATGCACTGGTACACGACGCCTGGACATCGGCGGGGGCATTACAAGGAGACCCGAGACGCTGGCAGATGAAGCCGGCGATGACAGCAATGTTCAGGGCGGAGCCGTGGTTGAAGTCTGTTTGATCAGCGGCGATGAAGGCGGGAGTGTTTCGGCCGTCGAGACCGTTCTCGAACAGAATGGTCGGGTCGGAACAGGTGCCGAAGTCGCCGGCGGCGCGAGCCTTAAGCTTCTTTGTCACCCCGCCTGCCGCGTTGCATTCTTGCTCTTGAGTCTCGCATTGGCCGACACCGCCGGACAGTGAACCAGAGTTGGCGGCATCGGCACAGGCGTTATGCTGGATGGCGCAGGAACGTTGGAGCGCGGCACCGATGTTGATGAAGGTATTGCCGTTGACGGAGAAGGGGCGTGCAGCGCCCGCGGTGGAAATAACTGGTGGTGGAGGTCCTCCGAGCGAGCCGGTAAAGGTCTGCACGTTTGTGCCTGATGCACCACCTGTTGCGACTGCTGCGACCGAGGTCACTGTCGACGCTCCGACATTGGAGGCTGCCACCGTGGTAGTGATGACAGTGCATGAGGATGAAGCTGCTGCGGCTGCTGCTGTCGAAGTCGCTTCTGCGACCGTGCATTCACCCGTGGCGACGGCATCGGTGGTCGCCACCGCCGCCACCGCTGTCGCGGTGGTTTCAACCGAAACGACACCGGTAGCAGCAGCAACGGACAGGCCGGAAAAGTCGATGTCCGTGGCACTGATCCCTCCAGTCCCAGTGAACGTAGGTGTGATGTCGGCGACTGCGGAACTGATTTCGTCAGGTGTGGCGTCCAAGACCAGGAGTCTCTGGCTGAATATGCAACCTGGTTCATCATCCGCGGTATCACAAGTGTTACCTTTCCCAGTATTGTCGTCGAGACTTCCTGGTGCAAACGTGCCACTCTCCAAAGCCAGCAGCGGATCAGCACCAATGCCAGCTAGTTGCTGAGCGAGGGCGATAGTGATACCCTTGTTGATATCAGCGGCACCAGCTGAGGCAGGATCCTGGTGCTGCGTGATGGCTGCGATCTCGGGGTTTGCAGCAGTTTGGGTGCAGATAGCGCTGGCTAGACCGACTTTCCCTGTGTTTCGTTCGATTGCTCGGAAGACAAGCGCAGCTGCCATGGCGCCGACATCGCCTGCTGCCTTCGCATTGGTAAAGGCTGTATCAGCGGTCTCTTGTTGTAGGCAGGCCAAGTCAGTGACATCCCCAGCGCCTGCTGCTGCAGCTGCGTCGCCTAGAAGACCGAAGACAGGATCTTGGATGTTGAGAGGGTTGTTGATCAACAGTGATGCCCGAACCGAGTCGAGGAATTTGTTGTGCGAATGCTCCTGAGGAACTTCTCGGGCGTTGTGTTGGTGGACTGGACTAGCGGTGGACAAGCCCAGCATAAGGGCAGCGGCGGCGATTTCGTACTTCATGGCGCCGGTTTAGGTTTGGGTTTGGGTTAGGTTTTGTTGAGGTTTGGCGTTTGGTTTTGCTTTTCGTAGACACTTGGATCTCGTGGAAACCTGCTTCAAATGATGGGACAATTGTATGTTGAACGTCAAATGTAGGGCCTGCCTAGAGAATGCAAACGAAGACTGGCTTCGCACAAAAGAATGAAGGGGGGTTCACAGAACCGGTCGACAGAACGAAAGACTCGAAAGAGAGTGAGGAGTGTAGAAGCTTGATGGAAGAGGACTCAAGAAAGGGCGATTCCAAATACCTTTTAAAGACGAAACAGTATGCTAGTGATGATGTTGTCGACATGGTCGATGGGTCAGAGAGAAGCCCACCTCATGTAAGTTGTAACAAGCTTCGGACAGTATGTTGCAGTTGGTGCCTCAGTTTTGACACTTGAGGAAGACGATCGAGGGCCCCGGTGCGGCGGCTTCGTCGACGAGTCGAGTTGGCTTGATCGATCTAGGGTTTCTCATTTCGATACACGCCACCGCTGACCAGTCGCTGCAAGAGATGTCTCTTGATCGAGGTCTGAGCCCAAAGCTCAACGGGCGCCTGATATTGGCGAGATTGGCGAGTTTGGTGTTTGCAGCGGTGTCAAGTCCACGATGGTCCATCCAGGCCCATCCACCACCTCCGTTGTCCTCCCCTTGAAACGAATAACCGGCCACGTGGGCCGTTACTGGGTCTTTTGACACTAAGGTATCTTCCGAAACCCCAGAAGCGTTTGGTGATGAGATCATTGAGGCTCGTGGGTGCGTGGTTGCACCTACATACAGATCCCCTCCCAAGAACGCTGACGTCTCCCCAGCTACGGTAGAGTGAGAACCTGCCGGGACTGAGAAGGATAGAAATGGTTCAGGCCTGCGACCAGGGCACGGTCCTTTGTAGTGAAGGCACACGTTCAACGCAGGGCGCAGGCCGTTGTTCTCACAGCCGGGGCCACAGGGACAATTCTCTCACAAGCTCCATCGATCAAGTCGTGGAGAAGATGAAAAGGGAGGAAAGCCCGGTCAAACACAAATCAGATACAAAACATGTCGGACGAGTGACATCGCCTGCTCACAGACTTGGAGCTAAGAAATTGCAAGGGTCTTTCAGGGGCGACGGTCAGTCGACTTCGCAAGCTTCGTCTACACCAGCGTCTCGCCGAAACACCCGAGGTTCAGGCGGAGCCTCGTCAGCCTCACCCCGCGACGAGAAGTCGGGCTCTTTGTATACACCATGTTTGTGCTGTGGTCCGACATAAGAGTACGTGTACGGAGGATGACATGATAATCTGGCGGATACAGGGTTTAACAGCAAAAGAGTGTGATTTCCCGATGCCTGCGCAATCCGGACGAGTCGCAAGGCATCCAGTCAGTTTCAAAACAGCATTGTCGTGTCCTCGACGGCGGCCACGACTTGTTAAGTATGTTATATGCCTCGGGGCACCACAAAAGTGTCCAACATTCCCACCCAGACCTGAACGATACATAGTCATGTTCGGACGTAAGGCCAGGAAGAGCGGATGTTGGGCTTTTTGCCGGCCCGTTTCCAAGGATACTGATGCTGCTGAACTTGGCCATCCATTCCAGTTGGTAATCGCGATACTCACACCTCTTCGGCCCTTTCGCGGTGCATCAGCAGCCGCCGACGAAAATGTCGCCGTGGCTGTGACAATTTGTCTCGTGCACCGGGTTTCACTGAGGGACGCTGTTCACCCTGCCATGCCATTTTCCAAGGTACAACTCCTACAGCTGCAGACTCTGTGAGTTCGAACGGTTCACAAGCGGCCGTCTACAGACAGCTGCAGATCCAAAGCTATCTCCCCCAAACCACTCTGCATGACCAAGCTGTCAAGGATGCCATGCTTATCCTTCCCTGGCCTGCTGCTTGACCTCCCTTCGTCATCTTCCTTGTCAGACTACCCTCGGCCCGTTTGTAGGCGTGTACCTCTCCTATACCTCAATTGATCGCCTCGCATTGCGAGACGCATACGTCCTCGATCATGAGGGCTCGGGCAGACTGCGGGCGAAAGCAGATGGTCACCATACTTATCCACGAGGTCGTCAAATGATTGTCAAAGATAGCGAGGTGGCCCTCAATAAGCCTCGACATTTGGATGCGGTGATCATTGATGCAGATTCAATGTTGGCCAGGTTTTCTGTGCGCACGCGTTTCCATGTGGCGAGTCCGAATGTGGTTCCGTCTTCTATAGAGCGATCCTGACCTTCTGTACGTATGAGCTCACCGAGCGGTCCAGGAGTTCAACAAACATGATCGGGCTGCAAGCACTGCGGCAGAGATATGAGTTTGCAGAACCACGACTCTCAACGTCTGGTTCGAGAAGTCCGTCCTAGTCGCTTCAGATATAAAGGTCAAAAAGCTCAGGTCCTCCATTTTGTATTTTGCAGTTGCACAACAACGTATGGCGGGTGCTCGCTCATCACACACACGCGGTGGATGTCAGTTGGAGGTTGTGTTCATGTTCCACAGGCATCTTCTGGGGCCCACGAAGGCAAAGGGTGTATGTTCCTGCGAACAGACTCGTGGTGACAGAGAGCCATATGACCTGGAGGCTATGGGGACACGGAAGGAAAGTGTCCAGAGAGCTCTTGGGAAGATAATGATACGGTCGTGTTCAGCGCCCAAGCCCGGCAAGGGGGTGGACTTGGGAAACGTGGCTTTGGGGGGCCTGTAGTTGGAAATGGTCAAGTTCTCTCTGGTGATCGATGCTAACAGAAGCTCTCCAATCTCTGGATGGTGGCAGCTCGTACATGAGAGAGAAAATATCAGAAGGATCGTGAAGCAGACAATTTGTACTTTTGCACAAGTGTGCCACGATAAAGGATAAATGTCCCGGTCCAACGACAAGGTTCTACTGCCTTGACTCTCCGTCTTTATGGTCTACGATCCCAGAGCGCAAAATATCGATGGCAACCATCACCTTCGTATGGGTGATTCCAGGTGCTCAGATCCAGGCGGTGTAGGGTGCTGGCGACGAGAGACAGTAAGAGATGAATCTGGTTCCAAGATGACTACGTACTACAAGTACTCCGTTTCATGATTCCGAGCCGGACTGATATTGTTGACTGACAATGTCACTGAGCTGTGCATCCAAGGGCACCTCCTCACTGCCTAGTAGCTGCTAGACTGGTTCTGTTGATATCAATTACGACCACATCCTCATAAATCGCTGTAGCTTAAGAGGCCTCTCCCTCTCCAACCATCGCAGTAGAGAAAGGTTGCGTAAGTAACTGCTTGTATTGCTTGTATGAAGAGGCAGTCGTGGCTGGATGGAAGCAAACAATTTATTTCACTTGCAAGTACCCGCCGATTCACTTCTAGTCTTCAACTACTTAGACATTGTTACCTCTCACATCAAACTCTTGCTTCTGCCCGCCTCTCTCCTCATTGATCGTCTCTACCTCTCTCTTCCTCAGCATCGTCTGATTCTTCCTTTGCCCGTCTCCTGTACCCTGGTACTCCGCCTTCAGAGATCCCACATATGCAACACCATGGCTAGCACTCAGCTTCCTCAGCATATGTCCCTTGCTTACAAGAGATATAAACGGGATACTGAAGCTGTTGCAACCTGGTTAGCCGAGAAGGCGTTCAAACTGGGGTTTGTTGCTTCAGCCTCCGCTCCCTCGCCGAAACAGCCCAAACTTAGAGGCAGAGCTCGTAAGCTTGCTCGAGATGCTGCAAAGCTCTCACCGTCAACGGCTGCGAATGGACCGAAGTACACCTATACTGTCAAGACAACCGATTTCATCCAGATGGCAACCAAAATTGTCAGCGCGCGACCCAGAATCACCCTCAGTCGATCTCTAGAGACCATCTGGCGACGGGCCATTCAAGCCAGACTGGACTTCAGCGCTTGGTTCAGGTCTAGATCCAGCGTCGATCCACTTGCTGACGAGAAGCATGCCCATTTCACCACGGTTCTTGAGAAAGCCCTCGAACTCCTTCAGCCTTGCTGCGAGTTGCCAGACGCCCAAGAATTTCCGCAAGAATCGAAGGAGGAGGTGGCCGAAACACCTTTGGAACAGATGAATAACATGTTCCAGCATCTTGAGGTAGAAGATATATCGTCAGACGACGAGGAGCCAGCCGCAGAGAAGAGCACAATGAAATCGAAGACACCAGCACCGGCCCGGGCATACATCGAATTCAAAGAGGAAGAGGCAGAAGCAGAGTTCTTCTTCGCCATCTGGTCATTCCTGCAGGACGTCACTGCTGTCAGAGTATATGTCGCCTGCACGTGGCAGCTGTATTCGACTGGAGTCATTGAATTGATGCAGTGTGCTAGCGTGACGAACTTTGCTGTGGACCTAGTTCGCAGAGCAGAGGCTGACTTCGAGGCATCCTTGCAGCGTCCGCGAAATTACCCAGCATCAGAATTTCCTACCGGATCTTTGCCGTTCCTCATCTTCAAGCTTCATCTGGACAAGGAGAATGGGGGCCCTCTCGACTTTGATCCGGATCTTCCGTCCACCATCGTCATCTGTGGTTGCGAGATATGCGACATGCTGCTCTATGTTCCATGGGCCATGGCCAAGGCATATGTCGATGTGTTGGTGGAATGTCCCCCTACCTTACCCACGTCGAACAATGCTTTCGCCGTCGACGTTCCCGGGCTTCCACCAGCGAAGACTCACCGTGCTGAATTCTACCATGCGAAGAATCCCAGCCAAAAAGCCGTTGATGAACTTCATGAAATCCTGCCCACCTCTTGCATGCTTTCGCTAATGTTCAAAAACGCTTTTGTCGAAGACGAGATACTGCATGCTTCACGTCATCTAATTGAAAATCACACTGTCCCCGTTTGGGTCAGCTTTGCATTCCAAGTACAGCTTGACATGCAAAGACTCAATACCATGAAGCCAATCCCAGCGTTCAGGGAACTTGCAGAGTCTTATGGTGATATCAAGTCACGTTTCAAGCGTCACCGAGCTTGGGTCAAATCTCTTGAACACGCCGTATGGGATCTTGACGGCTCTGCTCGCAGTTTGGTCAAGGATTTCGGCGACTGGATCGAGGGCTCTAAGGTGGGCAGAGCTGATCCCACCGAGTTCAATCTCAGACTGGCTGCTGGTCAAGATAGGGCGTCCGCCATGAGAGACACCAAGAGAATCCCCCTGCTCGAGCTTTTTCCTTTGACCTGCGCAACGTTGAAGACCGAGTTGTACCTCGAATGGCATATTTTGGGTCTGAAACTCGTCAACTATACCGGCCACGTTCCGATGCTTTGTCACCTATACAACGCACTCAGAAAACTCAACCCAGACGCTCCTATTTGGCCAGACTTGGAGCTTGTTATTCGTAACCAGGACCCAGCTCGAGTTTTTATCGGTGGTATACCCAGCACTCCGGAAGATTTTCTGAAGCGCTTCTTCCTTGCCATGGGGATGTCCTCAAGTATGTTGGCACGGAACAACAACGCGGGTTTCAGTAAATCCAACGCCCGGAAACACCAGTTCCAAGAGGCCCCCATAGCAGGAAATCTTTTCGCTCGGTGGCTGGGCAGCGAAACACGCAAGGTTGACGAAGTGGCCTATCAATTGCAAAAAGTTCTTTCCGACCCCAAGTACAAGGATGATCTCGCCCACAGACTCTTCATTCCGGTACAGGATAGGTCGGATGAGTTGAAGATGACGCTTTTGAATACAGAGATGGTCCGTGTTTTGATTAGCTTCTCAGAAGGGTTCGCAGCCGAAATGCCAGCCTTCATGTTCGATTACTTCGCCATGGAACGCCGGTGCTACGATTTCTACCTCCGACTCAGAGACGCGTACCGGAAGAATATGGACAAGTACGAGACGTTGCAGTCGAAAGAGGAGGAAAAGATCAACAGTCCCGTATCCATCACAATTGCAATCTTGACCTTGGCCCGAGACGGAGAAGCCATCGCGCACAACATGAGGTCTCGCAGAGCTCAGAACAAAGCTCAAGGTCCTGCCATCGCAAAACTAATGAAGGCAAGCTTGATAGGGTACACAGACGAAAAGACCAGCGACTTCATAGAGGACCTGATCGATCTCACTCGGAAGAACGGAGCGGCTGAGTTGATTCAGCAGTACATGGACATATCTGAACATGCTCTGGCTCGAAACACCTTTCACCCCATGCTGGCGACGCTGCAGAACTTTCTCGAGGAGAACAAGAGCGACAGGGAGATCCGCAACCTGAAGACCAAGGTCGGTGACTCTGATTATGGCATCTTTTTGTTCTGCAGGGCCAGTCTCGAAGCTCTTTATAGCTCTCAGCATCCCGAAGCATGGGCCGATCTTTTGGTCCCAGATGACAAGCTTTACGATGCGTTGAAGTGTAGCGCCGCCAATCCTATTCTTGTGATGCTAGCAATTCTGAACTTGCGTCAGAAGAAGGTGATGTGTGGCACGGGAGAAGACTCGCACAGCGCAAGACTTCTGGAGGAGATTAGCCCTGCCGAGCTTGCCGAGTATGCCAAAACTCAAGGTCAAAAAGCCAAGAAGTCATGAGCATATGGACATGCCTTAATGAGCCCTTTGTTTGCGGTAGCTTAACTATGGCGAGACAAATTGTCGCATGCAAAACTGTCATTCATCGACTTCGAGCCTGGTGTGCTTCAGCATGCATCAGTCGATTCCAGAAGAAGTGCTGACAATGGCCGCGCCCACCCGGGTTTGGAGTGTCGGAAGTTGTTCATAGGTGGAGACGGCGTCCCTTTGCAAGGTGTTCTGTGTGGGATTAATATGCTCGGATGGGAAAATATGTGCCATGAGGAGCTTGCAGGAAGTTCGACGAAGATTACCTAGAGGAATGGGATGTTGAGAATAGAAAGTACCTTTCTTCCTGAAGGAAAGAAAGAAAGCTCTGGTCAAATGGCCCTTGAAAAGGGGTGTAGTGCTAGTCCTAATTTAGATTAGTTCTCTCATCTTCAATGGAAGCCCACTTGAGAGATTGTTCAGAGATGTGCTGTTCATTATTCATCTCTTCAGATACGCCGCCAGCCATTCATAGCCTGCTGCGGCCCTATTTTCTCGTTGCTCGGGGTGTAACAACCTTGGATCATTTATCAGTGTAAGAGTGTCTCTAGCATGAGGGAGATGTGGCGTCGTGTCCGAAGACGGATGTCGTGATTCATACAAGGCGTTCAATAGAGCATGTTGGAAGACTGGTCGCAATACAGGATGCCATGATGAATCTCATTGCCAAATATACTGAATCCAGTCCGAAGCTCAGCGGCCGCCGAGGATAGATATTTCTTCAGTGCAACATCTTCGACGACCACGACCTCGCCAGACACACTCTGCGAGCCCAGATTGAGAGAGATCTTCAAGAGGATCTTGTCACCTCACAAGCACCCCCTTCGCGACCACGGAGGTGCTGGAGCTAGCACGACTCTGTGTCCATTGAGACTGACGGCACCCCCCAACACAGGTCTGCTTAGGATGGACGGCTCCCCACGCCCTCGCAGGGCCTGTGACAGATGCTACAGGTACAAAGAACGGTGCCACTTTGAGCATTCCGCGAAGAAATGCACTCTCTGTCAAAGGTCCAAGACGCAATGTACCGACCTGCGGGTACAGCACCGGCCCGGTCGACGGCCGAAAGTCCCAACCTTTGGATCGGGCGGCTCGATGCAAATTTGGACCGTCAAGGACTCGTTGGACGTCAAGAAGGCCAGGAAGCGCAAATGCCAGCGTGACGGGCAGCCGCAGTCCTCCTCGAACTCGTATTCGGAGCCGAGCCTCACGCCGGACACGACCTGGTCATCGTTTCCTCCTTGCACGGCTACAACCAGCTCGCCGGCCAAGAGCGACAACGTACCGGTCTCGGTCGCAGCGGCGGCGACGGCGTCCTCGTCGTCGTCGTCGCCGTCTTGTATCGTTCCAAGCGACTCAGAAGTCACCGGACGATACTACTCGCCCGCCAACCAGCTGTACGAGTCGTCGCCGGAGATCCTGGCGCAATTCTCGCAAGTGTACGACCTGTTCATGCTCGGGCCGACGTTCGCAGAAGGGTTCCGCGCGGCGATCCGGCGCTCGTTCTTCAGCTCGCCGGGGCTCTTGAAGGACATCTTCGAAGCGATGTACTCCGTCGTCATGCGCGCGAAGGACAGGGTGCGGCCGTACGACGAGGCCGACATCGCCGTGGGCGCCGCGGCGCTCCAGAAGCTGCGCACCGTCGAGGTCGGCAACGTGCACGACGCCCTCGCCGTCAACGCGCTGGGCCAGACGCTGGCCGCGTTCGACCTGCTCACCAGCTGCAACGACCCGTCGCTGATCCTGCGCTACTCTCTCCTGTCCGTCGCGCCGTGGTACGGCGAGCTGTCGCGCGACCCGGCGCTGGACCCGTTCACCATCACCTCCATCTTCTGGGACACGGTGTCGTGCCTGTTGCGCCGCGAGGTGCCCGTGCTCAGATACACCCACTGCACTCCGACGCCGTCAACATTCGTGTGCCGCGAGCGCGACCACGCCGACGCCGACGCCGACGCCGCCACCCCCACCACCGCCACAACTGTCATCGAACGCTCCGCCGGCCTGTGTACGACGCTCCTGCCCATCCTGTACGACCTGTGCGTCGCCAGCAAGGAACTCGACGTCCAGCACCAGTGCAGCATCCCCAGAAGCACCGGCCCCATCAGGCTCGTCGAGCAGAGCTTGCGGCGCTGGACCCCGGACCTGGACGCCCTCACGGCGGTAGGAGGCAGCCGCGAGAACAAGTTCTCCCTGACCGAGTCGCTCGAAATGCAGTCGCAGGCCGTCATGTACCGTCTGGCCGCTCTACTCCTGGTCCACCGGATCTGGAACCCCATCGGCTCGCTGGACGATACTGCCACGCATTACGCCCAGGATATCCTGGATGAGATGTCGAGGTTTCGTGCTGCTGCCGCCGCCGCCGCCGCCGCCGCAACACCGCCATCACCCACGCCCCCTGCGAAAATGCACAATGTTGCCTTCCCTTTACTTGTAGCCTCTCTTGAAATCGCGGCCGTGCCCAAAGACATTTGGCAAAATGTCTCATTGTCCAGCTTCGCACCCTTGTGCGTCACAAAAATCCAAGCTCTCATCGAACATGTATGGGCAGAGAGGCGACGAGGCTCTAGAGAATTCATGTTGGACTTGATATCAACAGGGCCGAATTTCATGGTCGTCCCATGAGTCTTCAAATTGCCTACCCAGAGCGAACAAAACCATCAAACGGCACCATAGACAGAATTCACTCGATTGATATTGTTCCATAGACCTTGCCAAGGCGTTGTATTACTGGAGTCTTGCATAGCTCACCATTTTACGCTACACTATCTAATTCATCACGGTTGAACGTCATGCACACTATCATACATATCCAGCAGCTGTGTCTTCCCTTCCTGGCCTGCCAAAAAGACTCGCTTCAGCTAGGGTGTAACCATGTTGGCGTCATACGAGTAATCATCATGCATGCAATACAAAGCCATCACAATAATTGGTCTATGCTTGCGCGATAACCATTGTCTTTGCTCATTCTTCGATGCCCTAGACCGGAGGAGGATGGAGCATAAGCATGCCTTTTGCTTCTGTCGATGCCCGGCGTTTCTCGGGGTTTGCCTGATGACAATACCCTTGGTCGGCCCTCTGGGTTGGTCTTGGATCGAGATCTTCCGGGACCAGCCTTATTTGTATGAATATCCGACATGCTCACTCTTGTGCTGCCGACATAGGAACTGGGACCCTCGGGACTGAAATTTCCAAAAGGAAGATGTTTGGGTTCTGCGTTAGAATCAGCAACAACGTTGTTGTAACGTGGCGGCTGCTCCTTTGATGGCCGCCGTGGCTCCTCTCCACGCTTGATTTCCTTGCTGGGTCGACTGGGCTTCCTTTCCCCTCGATCTTCTCGGATGCGAAGCTCTCTCTGCTGATTGATCATGTTGCGCTCTCTCTCGCTGAGCATGACTTTCCGAGGCGGAGAGTCAGCTGGAACATCAAATTCTGACTCAGAAAAGCCTAACCCGGAAGTTGACACCTGCAGTCGCGGCAATCGTGGACCTCCGCGAACCGGAGAGGCCCCGGGTCCTGCCACGAGGTGGCAGTGGTAACAGCTCGGACGCTTTGTTACATGATGATGTGATGAAGGATTAAGGCTTGGCCGACTAGGATCTGCGTTTTCGTCCGTTGTGTCGGCTTGTAATCCTCCCATGCAATGACCATGCACATGAACTCTCCTCGGGGAATTGTCAATATCGGTCTTTAGGTTTTCCATGTCGACGAAGGAAGGAACATCTGCTTCGCTCCGTGGATTTTCAACTGAGCGTCGTACTGGAACAACAAAAGCCTGACCCTGAAAATAGGCTGCCGGGGTCGGGACACTGGAGGGGACCGGTACCGTCCTAGCACGCTTTGCCTCGATAGACGCTGCCACTTGCGCGAGAGAATTGGGCAAGATGTCCAGCGAGTTAATAGGGATAATGGTGACAGGAAGTTGTACGGCGACAGTCTTGGACCTCTTGACAGTAACGATAATGTTCACAAAATATCTGACCTCGAAATACCTCCCCGTACTGACAGTGACATGACCACGTGGGGCCTCAAGCTCGACAGTTCTGACATCTGACGAGTAGGATGGAACACCTTGCCAGGAGTCTGCCATTTTGAAGGTCGTGCTACTGACAGTGTCCGTGTCCGTGCGTTTTGGCAAGCGTAGATGAGTGGCGCTTTTCTCAAATGTCCCCGCCGGCGCATGAGTATACCACAAGGTGGTTTTCTCGAGTTGAACCTGAATCTTCCGGACCGTCTTCGCGGTGTTGTTTGCGACATGAACGTCGACGAAGATCTTGGCACCATTCACCCACGTCTGGCGGTGAAGGCCTGCAGTCAGCTTGACAGTCTGGATGTCAGGTTCTTTGGCGAGGTATAGTGTATCAGCTGCCAAGAGGGGACTAGGCAAGCTTGCCAGTGCTTTCTCGGGGTCATGTATAGTGAGCATCTGGATGCTCCACGTCTGCCTTACCGTGCTTCTCTTGTCACCTATTCTGATCACAATTGATGGACATAACATATAACGGATCGATGCTTGTTTGGAGGCATACGGTGGCGGTCCTAACTTCAGGGGCAGGTTGACGGAAAATGGAATGTTCGCCTTTGCTGATTTGAGCTCCCACCACGTTTCTGGACTCTCTGCAGGTTGCTGAGACGTTACAAGAGACGGTGGAGGCGGATTCTCCCTGTCAAACAACTCGGTAGCAAGTGACAAGAACACCCATCTTCTACCGTCGCTGATCTCCTCCACTCCTATGACATCCACAGAAGCTTTAGAGATATAGATCGGCTTCCACTTTGGCTTCCGAGGAGCACCACCGTCGACTTCAATGGACATGTGACCTTCAACGGTGCCGCCCCCTACGAAGAGAGGCGAAGGAAGACGTATCGACAAGTCGACGCGGGGATGTCGAATACTGCCGTTGTCCAGAATCTCGTGCGGAGGGGACGTCCGGATGAAGGTTCGTGTGAGGGATGGCCTGAAAATCTCGGCCGACTGAGCGCTTTGGTTGATGGCGCGGCGGACAGGAGACTCGGCTCGTCCTCTGTTAGGTATGATTTGGCTACTACCATCCAATTCTGAAACCTTCCATGTGGGCAACTCCTGCAACGAATTTGGCTTCGATACGGCAAGACCAGGGGAGAAGATGCTCGCGGACGATCTGCGCTCGGGTACACATTTTCGTGGTAGACTTATAGCGCTGGCAGCACGGTCGCCCAAAGCAGTAAAATTTCGAGGTGTTGGGTGAATAGGTGTAGGTGGAAGAAACTCTGAAGAAGGAGTTTGGGAAAGGGCGTCTTTTGGCGGAAGAGGTCGATTTTGAGGAGTGTCATTGGCACCATCTGTCCATTCACTGTGAACATTGGCTGCGGAGGTAGCCTTCGAAGATCCTGACACCTCGCGAATCTCTGAAAGCTGATGGATTCGGTGCCTGGCTAGCCCCGAAATTGGTCGCGTAACAGTCTCGAGCCGTGAAGATAAAGGAAGACGCGCTGGTTTTTGAGCATCTTCTGAGGAATTCTTCTTTCCGATGAGGAACCGCCTTGGAGGATCTAAGTGGCGTCAACTAGATGTCCAAAAGTCGTTGTCAACTCTCACCTTTTACCGCCCACTGCTCCATGGCACACTAACAATGTCGAACATGACACATGTGTGAGATCCAAAAATTCGTAGAACAGGCGAGAAAGTGAGCCAGACTCTGCACAACGAATGTAGTTTCTCCTGGCACAACCTCGAACAGTGCGAGTCAACGCGTAAGAAATGGATGAGAAAGGGAGCATGTGTAGTCCGTCCCGTCCGGGAAGGACAACGCCATCATATTGTTCCTGCGCTGCGGTCTTCACGCTTTGGAAAGAGGAAACAGCACGACCGTCGCCTCATCGCGAGACGCTCCTTCCTCCTCGCCAACAAAGAGCATTTCTCGTGTGGCAGCGAAGAACCTTGACTTTCGTCTGAAGTACGAGGACATTGCAACCAGGATATTGGGTCAGTATAGCATGCCGAGATGAGACTCATCTGCGATAGCAGGACTTGACAATCAAAATGACAGTCAGTTGCTCAGTTGCTCAGTTGCTCAGTTGCTCAGTTGCTCAGTTGCTCAGTTGCTCAGTTGCTCAGTTGCTCAGTTGCTCAGTTGCTCAGTTG